TATTTTAGTAGAATATATTAAGCTAATAATTGGTATTAGCATTGTAAAGTAGACAAGTTTAATAATATATTTTTATTAGGGTATAGCTAGAGCTATATTATAGTATATATTTTAGATATAAGCCTACTATTAATTAGCTAGTTATTTAGCTAGTTATTTTGCTAGTTACTTGATCAGTTATTTTACTAATCATTAATAGGGGTAGTATTTATCTATCTAGTCTATAGATTTTTGAATTTATTCCTATTTATTTCTACTATTTTATTTCTATAAAATAGGCTAGATATCCACTATATATAATCTACTACTATTAATAGTATAATGAATATTAATCTATTATAGAATATATATTTTAAGTGACTTGCTGGTTTTCTTATTATGATATATTATGAATACTATTATAATATTTAACCAAGCTAGATTAAGGATTATTTAAAGCATGTTTATAGTTATATATTATCTATAGTCTGAACCTAGCTAGGTGATGAGATCTATAATTAGCCCAATATTATTATTGATCCTATTGAACTAAAGATTCTTTTAATCTAAACCTAAGCTATTCTATAATTAATAAATCCTATGCTTAGATAGTAGTATATATTAATATCTAAATTATATTAGTATATTTACTAGTATAAAGATACTATATATTACTATTAATAAAAAAAGTATTAATAGAGCTGGATAATCTAAAAAGGCTATTCTATCTGATTTTAATAATCTACTATTTAGAAGTATAAGGAATAGATATATTAATCTATATTATATTAGTAACTGTTTTCTAAATAATTAAATTCTTAATATTTTACTATTATTAATAAAAAGAAGAATTCTTATTTTATTCCTATCATATCTAAATTTATAATTTAAGAATAAACCAGCTAGTAGTATACTAAATATAAGAAGTAAACTGCCTAAAGAATCTAGTAGAACTATATAGATAAGACTAATCTATAGCTATGTAGCTATATTAAATAGGTTGGATATTATATTTAGATTTATTTTCTAGTACTTAGTTATTAGAATATATCAATATGCTTATTATAGATAATCTAATAGATTAATCTCTTATTACTATAATAAATAAAATTAAAAAAAAGAAAAAGAAGAGATTAATAAAATTTTATTAAAAAATTTATATATAAAAGTAATTTATTAATGCTAAAATTATATCTTAAATTCTATATTAAGAAAAGTATTATAAAATATAATATTTAATCTATATTTTTAATTACTTTATAACTATAATAAATTATATTTTTAAATTTAGATATAAGTTTTAAATTAATAAGAATTACTTATAATTTTAATTTAGTTCTAAGGCTGTAATCTTATAAGAAAGAAGATAGTTATAAAATTATAGATTAAATAATATTATAATAAGCTCTTTATATCTTAGATATATAATTTATATAATCTTAGCTAGATTTAGTTATATATTAGTTAGCAAACAAACTTCATAGTGAGGCTATAGAGGCCACGATTCCTAGAGAGCAGCAAATAGCTACAAACGCTATATAACCCTACGTTTCTTACCCTACTGAGCACCCGTACTACTACGTCCTTGTAAACCCCTCTTACAGATCATAACACCAGTCCCCGAACCGCCTGCTGCGAGGCAAAAAAGTGATTCAAAAGGATCATCCTAACGAGCGAAGAAGAACGTGGGTTTGGGTTCCATCTCAGAATGAATGTAGTCTTATCCAGAGCAGCTCTGAGAGTAACCAGGCTTTCTTGAGATACAGCTTTCGGAATATAGGACAGCAACTCCTTCGCGTAAGCTGCCACCACCAGCGTAACCTTGTCAATTTTTATTTTTATAAGAGTCAGCATAGTTGTATATACTATAGATCATAAGGTGAGAAAAGTCAGACATTAGTTCTACTGCCTCTATCTTAATATATAATATATTGATTATCTTACAGATAGCCTCTCTCGTCTTTCTACCTTTGGCTAGAGTATTCCCAGATGTAATTGTTCTGTAATAAGTGCATGGATCATCGTCCTTGTGGGCGATATGCTTCTCTTCCCATTCTACTAGACAGCGATCACAGGACAGCGCATTGCCTGGTAGCGTATTCTGTAGATGCGCATGCTCTATAATGAAGAGATGATCTAACTTGATATTCAGCCGGCCGAAAGTTTTCTAGGTTCGCATTCTCTTTTCTATTGCTTCTCAAAGGTAAATAGGGTATTAAGGATCATCATAAAGTTCAGTAGCTCTCATCTAAGCTAGAGCATTCAGTAAGGACTTTGGCAGATTTTCTAAGAAATTTATAAGTTAGATACTAATATTTTTATTAATTTTATCTATATCATATTGAATAACACCACTATAAGAGCTCTTAGAATAACTAATAATCATATTATCTAGATAAATATTATGCTTTATAGAGGGAGCTTCTTTACTAATATTCATTATTAAGCTAATGTAAAGTAACTTACTAAATATTTATATTATATAATTAGTAATATTAATGGCTAAAGTACTCCGATACTGTTTATCTAGTAAATAGATAATTATAATCTAATGCTGGCTGATTCTTGCCAAGATGTATATATTAGTATCAGATTTTCTTTGCTCTTCAAGGATATCAAACTTTCTGTCCAGCATCAAAATGGCAGTAGCCGCCTCGATGAGCAGGGCACATACCCAGCCAACCTGGAACTCACGTTTCGGTAGAGTTTCCATTAAAGGCACAAGTCAGATAGCAAGCATGAACCCGATTCAGTTAAAACACAAGACACGATGGCTCTATATATAATAAGCCAGAAAGATCTTTAGAACACTGGTGTTATTGCAGTTTGGTCGCCTTAGATGGCACTAGGCCAAGAGACAACCACCCTGATCTTTTAAAGCTTACTCTCCTATCAGATCTCAATTTATCTATAGAAATTACTACAAACAATATAATTAATGCTTAGAAGAAATGCAATTATACGCCCTATAAACCAGGATTTCGCTTACTAATTTCCCCCTAAAGGTCTTTCATGACCAAACCTCATATCTCAGAGCACCACCAATAGTTCATTTTCCTCACTTGTATTCATTCATTATGAAAAGAAAAGTTATCATCTCATCTAGACATAATTTAGGCTTTCTGAGAATCGCAAAAGCTTGGACCATGACTAATGTAAGACCAAATGGGCGATCACTTTGATCGGCAGAGCTGTGACGCTCGTTGTATTGGCAAGTTGTTGTGTTGTCTTTGACCGCACTGGATGGCATTTGGTAGCTTGAGCAATCTGGGAGGTAGTTAGTAAGTTCGTTACTGATGATAAAATCTCTGATCACGTGAAGTTGTTATGGCTTCCGTTACTGACCCGCGCTCCCCACGTGAAGAAATGAGACTACAACAGTAATCTTGGTGACTTTACGTAAAATGAGGGTGCTGGAACCTTTTCTATGTACGGAGAAAATGGAGTCAATAGAAATTTAGTTGTTGCTTTGGGCTGGAGTACTGGTGCCGCTCAGCAGGTTGCTATAATTTTTAATATAAATCTTGGGGATCTAATCTACTCCGCAAATTACAACACCACCAGCTCTAGCTCCTACCTCTCTATATACAGCTGGATTAACTCTGCTCAGGCTAAATTCTGCATCGTTAAGAACTATAATAGTTATAATCCTTATGCTAAAGCTATTAGCCTTAGTATCCTATCCTCTAATAGAAGTATATACCAAGTCTACACTAATACCCATATTAATCAGCCATCTATCATAGGAATAAACGCTTTCACGCAGTTCTTCTATATTCGAAAGAGTAAGCACTGATCCAGAACCACCACTACTGGCAACCATTTCAACTTCTAGGCCGAGCATGGCTTTGGCAACTCATACAATTATCAGGTCATGGCAGTAGAGGCGTTCAGTGGCGCGGGCAGTGCCAGTGTATCTTTCGATTGCGTCATGCTGCGACACATCAATTTCTTTTCCAAAATTATAATTTTCTTTGGCACTGGCGATTGCTTTGTCAGCCATTACGCTACTCATACGGGAGCGATGGTCTCTTTGTGAGACAAGTAAGTTACCCTAGCAGAGAACGAAGTAGGGCAGATACATAGATTTTCACACCATCAATGACGAGAATGGCAGTCGCCGTCCTAATGTGGTTGTTAGTGACAGAAGGTTGAAACCTGGATGTTGTTCGAAACTTGCAATTTGGTGAATATAGAAAGCGCAGGCATGAGACAAGGTATAGTAGGAGATGTAAGATCGACGAACGTGCTTAGGGTGAAAAAGATAGTGTAGCTAAGGTGGAAATACCATATCTGTTGTGGAAGTGGAAACTATCTAACATATCCTGTTAAGAACGTCGATAAATATTTGATACCCATGCTAAATATGCCTACCCGTGTACATATTCTGAGAATAGAAGCCCCTTGACAGCTTCTCATCTTAATTGAATCTTGATAATGTGCGGCATTTCATCTACGTAATGTTAATCATACGTTGATTTATGAATAAAAAAAACACAATTTTAATTTTTAAATAGGTATAATATTAATGTAGATATGGACGTCCCATATTGATCAAGAATCCACCAACAATCCAAGACAATGATTGATAAGCTCTAGATTCAAGATATCGCTTGGAGGATTTCACGCAGCTAACTGTAGCTTACCATGTCATGCACGATTCCGCCGCTCACCCAAAAGGAACCGGTACATTACAACTGTAAAGTATCATACACGATAGTCGAGTACAGTTAACTGTAGATTTGTGACAGACGGACGGCTGGGTAAACGATGCACAAGAAGAAATAGAATTACCTCGATAAATATCTGGATAAATTATATCCATGTATTCATTCGTGGAAGGTACCAAATGGTCTGCGTATTCGGATCAAGAGAGATGAGCCAAACGTCATTTTTGAAAGAGAAAAGGAACACCAGTATTGAAGGATGGTGCATCACCGAGTAACTGACTGTTGAGAACATTTCTATAAATAGTAGCTTGTGACCCTTCGACGCATTATATATTTTGTGACGTGTACTGATCAAGCCTTGACCAACAACTTGGGCCCTGCTTTCAGAACGCGAACAAACACGATGATGAATCCAGCCGCAGCGATGGTTACACCTCCGTATACCCAAAGACCAGTCCAATTGAGGGAGCCAGTCGTCCCGAGAATCGCACCAGCACTTGGTCCGCCGATTAACAAGCCCAGACCTCCAATGGCAAAGCCCTGCCCAACGCGTGTACCAATCAATGCCCTGTTAGGCGTAAGCATAGCGAAGCATACCGGCGGTAACGCCACAATAACACCGCTGAAAAATCCTGTTATCACGGCCTCTACTACCATGCCCGCCGTGTTGGTGACACCGAGCATACAGAAGACTGTAACGCTCAGAATAAGAGCCATAGGCGCAAATGTATTAAATACCCCAATGCGATCAGATAGTGCGTTGGGGGCGATTCGACCGAAGATTGACGCTGCGTTGAAAATCGCTACCATGTAGAATCCCAATGAGCTATCCGTGAATCCCTTGTTGATCGGGTAGTAGGAGATGTAGAAGATGAGCACCGAGTTACCAATAAACACAATGAGGACGGCTAATGCGAAGATAATATAGGGTGTATCGGTAAATGAAGCCCAATCGATGACAGCGCGAGGCTTTGGCGGACGTATGCGCTGCTTCATGACAATCACAGGGATGCTGAATGTTCCAAGCGCAATGAAGGCGACGGTTCGGACAGCCCAAGGAAAACCGATGTGGTCGATGAGTCGATAGAGCACAATGGGGTAGATGACACCACCAAGCGATGCACCCGAAGAACCAATGCCAACCGCCAGGCCGAGGTGCGAACTGAACCACGTCGGGAGTAGCGAGACAGTCGGTGTGAAAAGCAGACCGCTGCCGAACCCAACACAGAGAGCCTGTGCTAGCATTGCTTGCCAGTATTCCTTGCAAAGGGAGAGCATCATATAGCCAAATACAATGAGAAAACTACCGGTAAGGAGAAGTAAGCGAAGGTAGCCTCGGTCGTAGATAGGGCCCGCGACGATGCCAGTTAACTGAAGGAGAAAGCATTGGATAGATCCGATCCAGGCGATGTTGGAAGAGGACTGAGTGAACAAGGCCCCCGATTCATAGTACGTTTGGAAGACAGCAAAGGTATTTATCAGTCCCCAAGTATTGAAGAAGATCATGAAGGCCCCAGCGACCTGAAGCCATGCTGTGAGCCCACCATTGGGAGGTGGAGGAGGACCCGTGGGCTTTGTGATCTCAGGCTTGGGAGGTTCAACAGCGTTGGATTCACTGTCTATAGCACTGCTGGGTAGAGCTGCCTCTTTGTTTGTATTGGCTTCGCTGCTTGGATCTGAAGACATGTTTGGTCACTGCACTTCGTAGGGAAAAAGAATCACAGAATACACGGCAACAAGTGTCCTGAGTCGAATGACTATGCTGGTAAATAGCGCCACAGACATTGTGTAGACGAAAGACAACAGTTTTATGCAACACACCCTTAAGGGGCAGGAACATGGTGTTCGTTTGTCCGCCGTCGCGGACCTGGCGCTGACAAATACGTTCACATGCCGCTTCCGCCGTCGCGGGCCTAGAGCTGACAAATGCATGTACATGCCGCTTCCGCCGTGACGGCGGAGAAAGACAGTCAACTCATTTCAGCCCTTGTCTGCAAACCTGATTCTTCCGAAAACACAATACAACTCTGTATTTGACCTCTCTCCGCTACGGGGCAAAGGGAACTCGCCGTGACGGAGAGCTACATAACCACGCAAGGAGCCGCGGTCTTTCGAACACGGTCTATCATGCCCGGTGACACGGAAGGAGAAGCAGCAGCAATGCTAATACCGAACCCGGGTTCAATAACTAATCATCGTAAAATCCGAAAAGGGACGCGGTCGTGTTGGGAATGCAAGCGGCGGAAAATCAAGTGCATTTTCCCTTCCTCGGGTGAGGCCACTTGCATATTCTGCCATCGCCGACGTGTACCATGCATTAGTCAGGAGATCCCAGAGTCCCTAGGCAAAACTAAAGAGGGCAATCGCAGCCTCGGTGATCGTATGGCCAGGATTGAAGATGCACTAAAGGACTTGCTTCATAGCAAGGATACCGAGTACTCTGGTGATGTTGGAGAATATCCCCAGCATAAGGGCCGGTGTCCAGCACATGGAGCATTAGGTCTGACGCCTTTACCAGTCCGAACACCCCTGACTCCTGCAAAGGTGAGTTTATTCCTAGCTTTAATTCTATACGAACCTCTAACTGACTATGGTCTCAGTCGTTAGAAGACTACAGTCTACATCGAGCACTGCTTGCATCTGTGTCACCAGCCGTGTCAGCTTCAGCGGAGACTGATAGCACTAACGCACACCCCTTGCTAGCAGCATTTCCCACCGAAGAGGACGTGAAGATATTGCTCTTTGAAAGCTATAGAACTTCACGCTATACGTTGCTCGTCTATACCCAGCCGCACAGTCAATTGACCCCAGAGAACCTTGGGGCACCGTTTCTCCCTGAACAATGTTTTACTGCCAGTACCCATCCAGTCATCATCGCCAAACGTATGCTCATCCTAGCAATCACAGCCCAGGCCCCATGTGAAGAATTCCTCGGACTTTCGGAGTCACCAACCGTACTCAGTCGCCGCTTAGTTACGGTCGCAGTGTCATGGTTGGCGACCCAGGATGAGATTCACAGTTCCGTCGACAGCTTAGTGTGTATAATTCTCGAAGCTGTCTATGAAACAAATTGCGGCAACTTGCGTAGAGCATGGATTATCTATCGCAGGGCAATGGCGGTTGCCCAAACGATGGGCCTACACCGATCACCAGTACCTCCTGTAAAACAGGTGGATGCTGCACTTAACGTTGACCTGGAGTTCATATGGTTCCGTATCATCTATATGGACAGGTATCTTAGCTTGTTGCTTGGCTTGCCACAAGCAACAAGTGATAAGAGCATAGGAGTTTCATTGAACTCGCAGTTTGAACCGCCGCTTGGTCAATTTGAGCGACAGCTTAACATCGTTGCGTCGCTTATTCTAGAACGCAACGACCGTACCTTTACTATGGACGACATTGTTACAACAAAAACTATAGATTCTAAATTGCTTCAGATATCGACCAATATGCCTGCAAGTTTCTGGCGACCTCCCAATTTCCAGACGCTCGCTGTAGGGTCACCCGATAATCTCCTAGAAGCAATACGGTTATCAGCTCACGTATTTTACTGCGGCTTACTGATCCAGCTTCATCTGCCGTTTATGATGCATGGAATAAACAATAACGTCAATCCTGAGTATTCCAAGATGACGTGCGTTAACGCCAGTAGGGAGATTCTATCTCGTTTCATTGCTCACCGGAACTTCCAGCCCAAGTCATCGTGCTCACGACCCGTTGACTTCTTTGCGCTTCAAGCCTCAATGACACTTTTACTTGCTCATTTGGATTCTCATAACCACCACACCACAACAAATTTTCTAGCCCACCAACGTCTCAGTGACCGCGCCGTGCTGGATCAAGTGTTGGAGAGAATGGATCTGATGAGAGACAACAATAAAGATGTAGTCATGAGAGATGCAGGTGGACTGATTCGTCAATTAATCGAGATCGAGGCGGATGCAGCCAATGGAGGTCGCTATAATGCTAGCACGCTTGTAGTGGATGAACAAGACGGTATGAAACGTATTGCAGATGAGGGTTGTGGCGAACTGCGTTTACCCATTCCATACCTTGGAACGATCAAGATAACTCGACAGGGAACTATCTGCCGCGAGCTATTACAACAGGCCACTACGATAGGGCCGTATCAAACTCCACAGACCAATTTTCCGTCTCAGGAGCCAGTCTACAATTCGTTTGCATCCGTGCATCATACATCACCGTCTTCCAATGTCCACGAGCCATTAAATCAGTTGCAGGTTCCTCCCCGAAGATCTCCATATCCTAGGGAGATAATGGCACCGGCACAGCTCAACAATCAGCTTCATCTTGAAGATGCCTCCGCGGGGATGCATGATTGGGCGTTTCAGGGTACTGATGTGGCTTTCTTTGATAGTTTAATGAGAGCATATCCTGATATAGGACAGTAGTCTGAGATTTCATGTAATTTGCTTTTCAATATTACGATTTTTTCTGGCCTGACTAGTCGCCACTTTATTTGTTTCTTAGGCATGATTCGCCAATTTGTGTATTCTGAAGAAAGGAAAATCGAGCTACCCATTGATTTTTATTCATATTGAACTTGTGAAAAATCAAATTTTCTGCAGTAAGAGATACTAAGCTCCAATTCGTCGAGCTATCCCTTATCATCTGCATTATCTTCCAATAGAAAAAGGCATCTACCTACTGAAAACCTTGAACTCAACACCCTGAGGCTTGTTATATGCTGGAATGAAGAAGTCTCCATTCATCTTCACGTCATGCGCAGTTGTGTTGTAGAGCTTAATGACACCGATTTCATCGCCAATACTGACGTCCGGACTGGCCCATAACCTCCAAGTCTGAGCCATCACCAAACGCATGATTCCATATGCCTGATTCATCCCCAAACAGATGCGACCACCCTTACCAAAGCCCACATTGTACCTGTCCAGCTTCTTACCCTCTTCGCCCAACCAGCGATCAGGATCGAATCTCCAGCTATTAGGGAAATGGCGCTCGTCATGGTGTAATATCACGCTGGTCATACCTACAGAAGTGTTTGGTGGAATTACCCAGGTTTTGGATCGCTGTGTGTCTTGAAATACCAGCGCAGTATCAGGATTCGAGCGGAAGTGTGGCGTTGTATTACCGTAGATTAATCGAGTAGCCTCTTTGAGGACAGCAGTTAAGTATGGAAGACCCTCCAAGGTAGTTAGTGGAATGTTGGCAAGATCATTGACGGTTGGCATGACGCCCTTCAGCTCTTCCTTGAGCTTGCGTAGTACGTCTGGGTTGTCGATCATCCAAAACAATAGATGCTCCAGGGTTGTAGCTGTGGTAAGTGTTCCGGCCATGAGTACCATTTCTGCGTCCTGGGCGACTCGGCCGATTTTCCTTTCAGCGGGAGGCAACTTGGCTGACTCTAAGAGCGATAGAGCTACCGGCTGCGTTTCTTTCCCGGCCCATTCGGTCTTCGGCATGGAAGAGAGCTTCTCGACTTTCTGTCGTGTTATGTGTTTCTGTTCCATGAACATGCTAAGTGATGGGTTAATGTGCTTGATGACGACTTGTGGTAGAGACATCATCAGATCGTTCAACCAAGGCAGACGTTTTGTGACGTGGAATGACATTGCGCCGTTTAAAGAGGCATCACGTTCTGTCGAGTCAAAGTCAGGTGTCTCTACAGGTTGGTTGAATTAGTATGCTTTGCAATTATTGTGCGGGTATTGTAGATATACTTACCAAGTTTGGAAGAATGCTGCCCAAAAGTGAGCATCTGCATCAAGTCTGACACAGAAACTTGTCAGCTCGTATCTACGTTCTCATCTGGGGTTAAATATACCATTACTCAATGCCGCATACATGCAGTTTGCGTTGACTGCCTGATCCGTATCCTTGAAGTTGTTGAGTCGTTGAAGGAGGACATTGAGTCTCTCCTGAATAACCGGCTGCAGCTTTCTTACGTACAAGGTGCTGAAGTACGGGTTGAGGGCAGCGCGACGCATTCGGTGCGTGTCATGATCGATCGTGGAGAAAAGCGAATCATCCAGTCCGAAAAACTTGGTCAAACTCGGTGTTTTGTTCACTCGTCTTTTGCTTGATGCACTAGGGTAAAGCGTATCGTAGAAGTCCTGATTACAAAGTTAGAAGAGAACCATAGGTAGTGATCTCTTGAAGTCAACATACTGGATCTCCAATGTGTAGATCAGTTGGCGAAATTCTGACGATAGGTCCGTACTCTCTGTGCATCGCGGCAACTCTGTAGACATATTTCCCGCCCAGCCAGTTGTTATAGTAGATTTCATATCTACATAGCATCAGCATTCACTGTCGGTCAACATATGAGTTCGGAGAGGAGTTACAAATGAGTGAGAGCTGCGAGACGTGGTCCAGGAAATTGGGCTATAGGGCTCATGTAAAGCCTCCATACTGCGATATACACAAAGAAAGCTGCCATGGCCGTCCCAACAGCCCATGAATAGACGGCCGGGGTATTAATGAAATCCATGAACAGTTTGTTGAAATTTACCTCAGGAAAGGTGGCTGATAAGTAGTCCATGATGATTGAAGAAGACGATTATGCCTTCGGCAATGGTGAGTATTATAACGGTGTGTGATCAGATACAGTATGTTAAATTGTCAAAGTGAGAGTGCTACAAGTCGAATAGACCTCAAATTGAGAGTGAGTATGCATTTATATATACACCCCCTGCGCTCCCACGTAAACAGTTTGAATAGTCTGGTCCACTTTACTTTCAGCTCTCCTATCGCATCTCTACAACACGGGCCAGAAGCTTAACAAGCCTTTTACTCGCCTCAATCTGAGGACTCTCTCTTATCACTTTTAATTAGTCCCGATTATCCACCATGTAGTGTTGCTTACGATGTCTTCTGCCGCTGAAACGGACAGTATGAAATATAGTTACGACGGAGTGCTGCATGTAGTCACCCAAGTCAATAAATATCGCCGGCGAATGAGAAGATTGAGATTCGATAATTACTAAATTGTAATAGCCGACAGGGAAGTCCATTTTTCGGCACTTTGTGTAGACCGGATACTTGTAGGCAATAATTCCAGAAGCTCCAACTATACGTAGATGCTCTGGTCAATGTAGCTGAAAGAGAATGCTCTGAGTATCGGTAAGAGACTGTAATACATCACAATCAGTCTGTCTCATCTGTAATGTACAATCACCACTACTATCAACCTAAGAGGATCGGAATCTCTTGCCGCCTTGGCTCTAGGCCTTGACGTTTGCCAAAATGGGACCAATTTAGGGTCATAGACTGGACTAACGTAACTCTTTGATTTTATGTAGTATCTATGAACGTAATGCAGCTAGAATAGATTAAAATGGCCTGAATCTGGCCTTGGCGGGACTAATGGGAATTCCATGGGTGGGGATTGAATATGCATATTTCCCAATGGAAGTAATATCTTCAGGGTTCCATGGGAATTGTCAAGGTATATTTGACTCTAAAAATCGATGAGTACTATTCTAGCCCTCTTCAGTTCTCTTTGAATATTACTTTTCGCAAGCTCACCTATGAACCTGGATGTGGGAGATCAAAGAAGCCTCAAATCTCAACTGATTACAAAACTAGGTATTCTATTTGACATTCAATGTTAACTGTATGCAGATATATTGGACGGGCTTTTGTGAAAAGAGACAGGGCCATCATTCAGCAAGTCTTTATATTTATAATATAAATCCTAAGTGACTGCAGAATCCTTGATATCTCGTATATACCCTGACAGATCCCCGTTTTGCGCCATCAGGGCCATCAAGGTCATCATATAGACTATATGTGATTGGCCATTGGTATCTGATGCGAGGATAACGGCGGGCTAAGTAAGCACACTTTTACCAACATAGGCGTTCATTCCGCAATTACCCGATTTGGCCACGCGAAGCTGCATGTGCGCGTGTTGGGTTAGGAATCTGCCATCTGCACACTTTAACAAGCACTGGGTATGGCTGGTAAAAAACACATGTGTTGCTCTCCAACATCACGCGCAGCGTTATTGGTTATTAGACTTGATCACGTGAGGATAAAGAAAGATATTACTTTAAAGATATAGGGTGTACAGAGCAACACATTATGATCGGCGGGATACTGTACACGGAACATAAAGAACTAGATGTATAAAGGCGCCCATGCACCATTATGCCTGAACCAAATCCTGCTACGATTCATGAATGTGATAATTTCATGTCCTCGACATGCGCAGTTGGCAACAACTCCAGAATCTGCTTCAGGATTGGTGAGAATCGTCGTTATTATACGCGTAATTCGGGCTATGAACTGCACAAGTCATTGTTGTTGCTTTATAATACTTAATTCCGCCGTCACGGACAATATGGCCGGGTGATCAGTGACCCACTACACTTGGACGTAAGTAGCATCACGGACGTGAAATAACAGTACTTAGCTTAACGACATGCTTCCTTTCGATATGAAGTAGTTGTCTGCTTTTTAAATCTTAGCGGCTTCGTATAGCAATGGTTCTCACATATATGAGCCTAGCTTACGCCCGAGCAATTCACTCACATTACCTTGACTCTGCCCCACGCTTGTTTGTTTTATCCAACATAAAATACAGTGACATTTACGGAGCAGAATGATGCGGCCAATGCCATGTGTTGGTAGTGGCGCCAGACAGGGTTCAAAACCATGATGCCTCCAGAATTCGGCCCCATATTCCTCGCGTTGGCTAGCGATTCTGCTAGGGGCCGCTAAACCCTCAGGCGAGCAATTGATGTTGATAGTGGCGATAAGAAATAGGTAGAGAGGGTCTAATGTCCGGTCGTGAGGATGGAAGTAAGGAAGGAATCAAGGAATCAAGGAAGGTTGGTTGGTTGTTGGTTCGTATTTACCCTTGCTTGCTGATTCTAGGACTGTTATCACTGTACTAACCCGAGATCATCAACTTTTAGCAAGAACATATATATCGCAGGCCATTGGAAACCCCATTTTGGGCCCAGGATCAAACCTTCTGCATCTTAAACTGCATTCGTAAATGGCTTGCCGCTTGGAGGAATTTGTGTAAACATGATTCGAAATGATTCTCATGACAGGCGTGACAAACACTAGTTTTGAGAATTTCTTCCCGGCACATTTACCTGACTATCAAAGCGAGACTATCCACTACAATTTCGATTCATGGACAGGAGGCTCGCTCCATGGATCGCAACTTCCCCCTCACCTTACGCCTACGAATGCCGAAAGGTGTGACGATACACATTTACCTGACTGTCAAAGTGAGACTATCCACTACAATTTCGAATCATGGACAGGAGGTGCGCTCCATGGGTCGCAACTTCCCCCTCACCTTCCGCCAACGGATGCCGAAAGGTGTGACGATATCGAGCAAATTTACAAACAAATTCACCAATCTCTTGACCGACTCATATCGAGAATACCGCTCTGTACTCCGTCACGCCTAAACCAAGTCAGGAACCAGAACTGTAAGCTCATCGCCAAACTCAAGTCGTTGGAAAGTGCAATCAATAAGCACACGACACAAGGGGCCATTTCGAACAATTCAGAATATCTTGGCTATTCACAGGCAAGCAGCGAACCCTCAAGCTTATTACCAGTTCGAGACCCATCCAGTACCGGTGGACATTTTCCTATTGCAGAAACGCAGGACGGGTGGCTAGAAGTTTCGGAGAATTGTGCGACACCTGTGCATAATGCACCGGGCGAGAGGATGCTACATCATGCTTCATGCACGTGGTCCTCACGTGCTTCCTCAAATTCAATTAATCATAGCTCCAAACTTGCCAAAAAGTTGCTCTTAATTGGCAATCAAGAAACTAGGACACAAGTTGCAGAATTCTCTATGCAACTTCAGTTACCTAGGTCTTCCATTGAATTGCCAAGGCTTTCTCAGTTTCCAAAAGTTACAAAATCCGCCGACGGTCATCATTTTTTGCAATTAGTCATCAACTTGGGCCTCACAATCGAGGACAGCATCTTTGTTGAACAAAATGCCAGAATTCGAAAAAGAATTGCCATGGCTCACTTCTATCATGCATACACACTAGCCCAAGAAAATCCCAAAGTCTTCCTTTCGTGGTGTGATCATCAAGGGGTACCAGGCTACTCAATGCTACCCAAGGGAGGTAATAAATCGATCGTGCAACGTCGATTTGCTGACCTAATCTTCTCCCGAGACATGCAACTCGGGTCAGATAATGCAGATAACGCCAAACGACGAGTAGCAAAGGTACAAATGTGGAGGAAGAGCGGAAAGAAATGGGCACAGTTTATTAAGCGTTTCGGCTACGGAATACTTCTACTTCTTCCGCCATGTCTCTCGGATGAAGAGTATGTAATCTTCCCTGGCAGCATGTCGCGATGCCATTAACAAAATCACAGCTTACGAATTGCTTCCGACGAAGTCATCAGCGATGGATTAGACTTGATTGAAAATCGGAAACATTCTTTTATAGATATATTGAATCAAGTGAACAATCTCTTTGAAATTCACTTTTCTTTACCGGATGCCACTGGGGCATCAGTAATACCGGTCTCGCCGACGGCTTAGTGGTTCAGGATGAAGAACGGCCCAGAACATATCATAATCACAATACTTTATTACATGTTCGGGACACTTGGTTGGAATACCGATGTTCCATGAATACAGCGACTGAGATCATAAGATTTGATTTATAGTTGATAGCACACCGTTGGTGTATTTTTAGGGGGCCAACTTTGGGAGTTTAGACTCTTTGAGACATGCCTTTAGAGGCTCTAACCACCTTCCTAGTGGGGATCTTTGTTCTTAGCGTAGAGTGACACATGTATCGGAAGACATAACTTCCTGTAAGAGAGATTAATCCCTATCATAATGATTGAAACAATCTAAGCAAGGTTGTAATGTAACATCAAATGGCCCCAAAATGGTCGAAGGTTGTGAAGTCATAAGATTAGTCCAGAGACCAAGGAATTGTGCGTGGAAATGCGATCATGGAATTCAGCAGGCGCCAAATACATCGTACAGAGAAGCTATCCATTAGATGCGTACAATATTGTTTGTGATGAATTGAGACATAAAACTAACCTATCATGTCCACGAAGAGTTACTCAAATATTCAGCTTGTGATGGCAAAAACTAGCCTGCCACGCAATGGCTTCAATGCAAAACAATGGGTCTTATCTCTGCATACCTAGACTTTAACAATCTGGCCCCTATTCAGTCAATAGCTCAGTGACTTGTGATGCAGATCAAGATATCTATCTTTCCTCTACTGGACCGTACCATTCGAATATTTCGAATACGAGCCTGAAGGCATAGTGTGTGCAATTTTGAAAATACTAACTAAGGCTTCGCTCTTCAAGCAATACATGTGCGATAGAAAAAAGAATTTCTTCAAATTGAACGTAGACCCCCGTTCAAAAATTTTGAAATTTCTCCTTTTCTGCTGGAGAATATCAACTAGAACTCAGATTCCTTTCAACAATATTCGGTCCATAACGCTGTCACCTTCTTTCAACAACAAATCTACTCTATTGGGATCTCTCGCTGTGTGACTCGCATCGTCCTCCGTGACTAAGTTATGTCAGCCTCAATCACCCGAGGACTTCCCTCAGTTCTATTGTTTGGGCCACACACGGATTTCCCTGAAATGAAGGTCTTTGATGAGTATCGCCAATATCTGAACCATACCCCTCGACTTGTAGCACTGAGAGATGCAGTATATGCCTTACCTCAATTCTGGAAACTCTTAATAGAGTTTGACCCTACCTTGTCCCCGGTTCCTGGGTCCAAGTATCTATCTGAATTAGAGCGGTGGCTTCAAGACGGCACTCCACTGGTCCACACACACAGCAAAGCGCCCAATCATTATAGCCTTCCGATCACATTCTTATCACATATCATTCAGTACAGTCGCTACCTAGATCGGCTTGGCGTCGACTCCCACTCAAAGGTCATCAACGAGGTGAAGGAAGGTGGTATTCAAGGTCAGTGCGCTGGTTTTATCAGCGCCATTACGGTGGCTCTATGTAGCGACGATACTAGCCTTGGTAAAATTGCCGCTATTGGTCTCCGTCTGGCTGTGTGCATCGGAGCCTATGTCGACCAAGACAGCACATATTCTTCTGAGGCTACAGATTTCATAGCGGTTGCTATTCGATGGCGTGGAAACAATCCCGATGACAGGACAGGAATCACTACGATTCTACGGTCCATCCCTGATGTAAGTGTTGATTCCCATTGTCTAAGTCATATCACCCTACTCAGGCGCTAAAATTTGCACCAGGCATACATTTCCAGCGTCAACGATGATACAAGTGTGACAGTCATTACCAAAAGCAGTGATTTACCAACCTTGGAAGATGAGGCCTGTAAGCATAACTTGCGAGTCAAGCCGATTCCTGTGTATGGTCGTTTTCACCACCAAAAGCACTCACATGTAGTTGACAAGTTTACGGACTCTGTACTATTTTCTTTGGGGCTGCAGTTTCCTAAAATCAACCAACTCCAAACACCAGTTCGTGACACAGCTACTGGTCATATTATCTCTACAAGTTCATTGTCTCGACTTGCCTTATTGAATACCTTGGTCAATGCCATGGACTGGTACGGAACAGTACGATCTTCCGTGGAGCAGCTTTCCAAGCCCACCTGCAAGATTGCCGTCGCTGGGTTTATTCCATGTGTACCGCAAGCGATCACTCGGAACCAGAATATCAAAGTCTTTGCTTTGTCTAGTGACTATGCTGCATACATTTCTTTGATGGATGCTTCTGTTGATAGCCAAAAGAACGATAGTGGCCCAGATATCATTAGGGCCCATGCCGTGGAAAGCAAAGATGAATTATCCAAATATCCAGAGCACTCAATCGCCATAGTCGGTGTGGCAGGACGCTTCCCAGGAGCTGAGTCAGTGGATGAGCTTTGGGAATTGCTTAAAGACGGCCGGACGATGGTAGAGCCTGCGCCAATCGATCGTTTCAAGCTTCCTCAAACCGGAGCCTATGCCGATAAAAAGTGGTGGGGAAACTTTCTGAAAGACTCGGATGCCTTTGACCATAAGTTTTTTGGAAAGTCATCTCGTGAAGCTGTTGCATGGGACCCCCAACAGCGAATTCTACTTGAGGTCGTGTACGAGGCATTGGAATCAGCGGGCTATTTCGGTGCCTCAAATCCACAACCCTCTGATTACGGCTGCTACATTGGAGCTGTTATGAGCAATTGGTACGATAACATGTCGTGCTACCCTGCGTCTGCATACGGAACGGTTGGTGTTTCTCGTTGCTTCCATAGCGGCCAAATGAGTCACTACTTTGGGTGGACTGGTCCATCATTGTCCATTGATACAGCTTGCTCTTCGTCTCTCGTCGCTATTCATACAGCCTGTAAAGCAATATGGTCTGGTGAATGTTCTCGGGCAGTCGCTGGAGGAACAAATGTATTTGCTAGTCCTTTCGACTATCTGAACCTCGCCGCTGCTGGCTTCCTGAGCCCCTCTGGGCAGTGTAAGCCGTTCGATGCGAATGCAGACGGCTACTGCCGTGGTGAGGCTGTATCAGTCATTGTGCTGAAGCGTCTATCGGATGCTATTGCTGATAATGATCATATTCATGGCGTAATCGTTGGATCTGCTCTCAACCAGAATCATAATTTTGGTGCTATAACTGCACCTAATTCTGATTCGCAGATTGATCTCTACAAGAAGGTTGTTGAACTTAGTCAACTGAAGGCTGAAGAGGTTACATATGTGGAAGCCCATGGAACTGGAAGTAAGCATTGTATTCCTTGTTGTCTTACCCTACCTTACTCCTCGTGGTCACTATGATGATCAAAATACGTGTTTCGACATATTGTTCTCGAGTCAAGGACAAATGATTGGACTTCGAATACTGACCATTTCCAAATAGCTGGCGTTGGTGACCCCATTGAGGTCCGAAGCATCCTTGAGACCTTTGGTGGTCCCCAGAGAGATTCTCTTCTCCATTTTGGCTCTATCAAAGGCAATATTGGACATACCGAGGCGACTGCGGGAATCTCTGGTCTCGTGAAGGTTTTACTAATGATGAAGCATCATATGATTACGACACAAGCGAGTCATACAACTCTCAACCCAAAAATCCCCAATTTCGAACGCGATCAGATGTGTATTTCCCGCGAGAATATACCTTGGAAGGCTTCAAACCTTGTGGCATGTGTTAACAGTTATGGTGCAGCCGGCAGTAATTCGGCTCTTATTGTTCGTGAAGGCCCTTCGATCAAATCTGAGAATGCTCGAGTGAAGCTTTCAAAATATCCTCTGTTCCTTTCGGCTGGATCTTTGAACACTCTTTCGCAGTACAGCAAGAAGCTGCTGGACTGGCTAAGTGTAGTGAAGCCTGACGCTCATTCCAACTTTCTATCGTCGCTGAGCTTTAATCTTGCAGACAGAGGTAATCATCAGCTATCTCATGTCCTGTCAGTAACCTTCAGTACTGTGCAAGATCTCAAGACAAAACTGGAGGCAGCGGTATCTGGTTCAGACCTAGCCACCGTGTCACTGAAGAACAGGAAGCCTATAGTGCTGGTTTTTGGAGGACAAGAAAGTGATTTCATTGATCTCTCAAAAGAGGTTTATGAAGCATCTGCAGTATTCCGAAAGCATCTTGATGCGGTCAACAGTCTTTTGCTTTCTGCCGGCCTTGATAGTTTCTACCCAAGCATATTTGATAGATCTCCATCCCAAGACCTGGTGATGCTTCACTCGGCACTTTTCGCGATTCAGTATGCATCAGCGAAGACGTGGATAGATTGCGGATTAGAAGTAAGCGCAGTTGTTGGCCACAGCTTCGGGCAGCTTACTGCATTGTGTATATCTGGCGTGCTATCGCTGCCCGATGCACTGAAAATGGTTTCCGGAAGAGCGTCACTCATGCAGAAGCACTGGGGCCCTGAACCTGGATCTATGCTATTTTTGCAAGCTAACAGAGCTACTGTTGAGAAACTTCTTCAATCTCTAACCAATGATCCCGAGAATCTCTATGCAGAAATTGCTTGTTACAATGGCCCCGAGAGTCATGTTGTTGTGGGTTCTGAAAGAGCTATTGAGTTTCTTCAAAAGCTTATTTCGAACCCATCAGAATTCCGACATATACGCACTAAGAAGCTTAATGTCACTCATGGTTTTCATTCGCGATATACCGAGTCAATGTTGCCTCATATCGAATCTTTGGCTATGGAACTGGAATGGAGAATTCCAAAGATCCACCTCGAGACCACCGATGAACTCGAGAGCAACGCGAAGCCTGACTTCAGTATAGTTTCAAAGCACACAAGGCAACCGGTATACTTCCAACAAGCCATTACAAGGCTCACTGCCAAGTTTTCTGAGTGCACATGGATCGAGGCTGGTCGTGGATCTTCAGTAATTCAACTCGTAAAGAATTCTGTGCCAAAATCGGGAGCGAATGCTTTCTATTCCCCTCAACTGAGTTCGGCAAATGGGCAAGAGTCTCTCACTGATATTACTGCAGATCTCTGGAGAAATGGCTATTCAACACAATTCTGGTCATTTCACAGAATTCAAAAAGCAGAATATGAGTTTTTAAGCCTACCCCCCATTCAGTTCGAGAAGACACGACACTGGCTTGAATTCAAAGGCAGAGAGCTCGAATCGAAACCCGCTACCGAAGAGCTTGAGAAAGTGGTGGAGCAAAAGCGTGAGCTCCTCACTTTCCGCGACTTCAAGACTAAAGCAAAGAATGATGCAGTTTTTCAAATCGACCCTCATGCAGATCGCTTCAAGTGCATGTTAGGAGGACACGTCATGGCTGGACAGCCTCTTTGTCCTGCATCTTTGTATTTTGAAGTCGTGACTCGTGCAGCTCTATATCTTCAGAACGATACAGAGGCAAAAACATTTGTTCCAGATATGGATGACTTGGTCATGAAGTCGCCAATCGGACAAAGCACAACGAAGACGATATTGCTTACATTAACAAAAGCCAGCGACTTGCCACCTTCTTGGACCTTCTCTATAACAACCGTGGAGACAAAGGTTCCTCAGTCAGAGCCATTTGAGCATTCCACTGGGAAAGTATCTCTGAAGCGGCGAGATGATGCGAACGCCAGTCGAGAATTCAGACGATATGAGAGCTTATCTGGGTTAAGCCGCTATCAAGACATAATTCGCCATAGCGATGCCGAAAAGATGAAAGGCAGCCACATCTATCGTGCCTTCAACAATGTTGTATATTACGGCAAGCCATTCCATGGTATCAAGGAAATAGCTAGCGTTGGTCTAGAATCTGCTGGTATCGTCAAAATAACACCAGCGTTGGAGGATCCAGCCGACCAGCGTCTCACTGATACACCGATGACCGATAGTTTCATGCAATTTGCTGGATTTCTCGTAAACTACTTCAACAATCCAAGTTTTGAAGATGTGTATGTGTGCATGCACATCGAGCATATCGAAATCGGTGGTGGCTTTGACCCCGATGCTGGAGAGTGGTTCGTTCATGCGGTCATGACTGAAGTCAGCCCGACAGAATCTAGTGCAGACGCATACGTCTTTGACTCTAGAACGAACAAGATGGTCATGGGTGTATTTGGCCTGCGATTTTCTAAGATGGCACAGTCTTCACTCGTTAGAATTTTGAAGAGTGTCAACAAGACTGTAACAGACAACAAAGCGCCAGTAAAGGCTACGGTGAGAACTACTATTACTGCTCCAACAGTTCCGAATACCCAACCTCATCCCAATCAAGTGCCACCAGCGCCACCGTCAGTCAAAAAATCTGCTGGCAAGCGTGAGGAGCTTTTTCAGCTGTTATCCAAGATTACAGATGTCCCACGCGAAGAATTGAAGGACACTACAACTTTAGACGACATTGGCATCGATTCGCTCATGGCGACTGAGGTCCTCAACGAAATTCGGGCAACTCTAGGTCTTACCATTGATTTATCTAGCTTTTTGTTCTTCCCTAGTCTCTGTGATCTCACAGGATATGTTAACGAAAAGCTAGGCATCAGTGAAGCTATCGAGGAGGAGGTTGTCTCCCCTCTAGCCTCCGTGGCTCCAAAAATGTCTATCTCAACTGCTGCCGTTACAACTGATTCTGCGGCTACTGTCCGTGCAGTAAAAGCATCTATTGGAAAGCGTCAAGAAGTGTTTCAACTCTTATCTGATGTTACCGATTTCCCTCTTGAGGCACTGACGGATGATACGACCTTAGAGACAATCGGAGTCGATTCTTTAATGGCTACTGAGATTCTGAATGAATTTCAAGCAAACTTTGGTATTACCATTGACCTCTCGACGTTCTTATTCTTCGGATGTCTTGGGGAACTTGTCGATCATGTCAATGCCAAGATGGGCCTCACCGGTGTAGACGATGATGGTACATCGCCCAGTACACCAACTTCGAGTAGGGACTCTATTAGTCAGTCCACAGGCACTAATACACCAGACATTAGCTACACCTCGAGTCCCTCAGAGGGAGAGGCGAAGGTTGAAGAGATAATATTGCCGGACATGCGACCTTCTGTGACTTCGGCACTGGAAGCATTCGAGCAGACACGCTTCAATTACGATAGGATTGCGGAAAGTACTCAGGCTGCCGGATTCTGGGAAACTACTTACCCATATCAGAAACAACTTGTTCTTGCTTACATTGCGGAGGCATTCGCTGAGCTAGACTGTGACTTGAGGAAGGTGCCAGCCGGTGATGTGGTTCCCCAAATCAAAGCCCTACACAGACACAAAAGGCTCGTGCACCACCTCTATCACATACTGGAAGACGGAGACCTGATTACTTCCTCCAAGGACAATAAAAGCTTTGTCCGTACCAGTGTTCCAGTCGATCCAACACCGGCCGAGGCCATCTACAAGCGTATCATTGACTTATTTCCGCAGCATGCTAGTGTCCATAAGTTGACACACGCCATTGGATGTGAATTGGCTAGATGCTTGAGAGGTGCTGCAGATGGAATGCAGATAATATTCGGAAACCGTGACACCAAGAAGACACTAGAAGAATTCTACGAATTCTGGCCATTATTGCGCACACCCACCACTGTCTTGGGCGACTTCTTGGCTAAGGCATTCAGTAGCAAAGTGAACGGTAAGAGGAAATTTCGCATCCTCGAGCTTGGTGCTGGAACAGGCGGTACAACTCGATATATCGTGAATTTCTTGAAACAGCGTGGTATCGACTTCGAATATGTCTTCACTGACTTGAGTACTTCGCTGGTCAATGCTGCGGCCAAGCAGATGCGAGGCACTAGAGAGTTGTCTTTTGATATTTTGGACATCGAGAAACCTCCAAAGACCGAGTATGAGGCTTCATTTCATTGCATTATTGCGTCCAACATTGTCCATGCCACTAGAAGCCTGGATGTTTCCCTCAAAAATGCTCGAAGAATGTTGCGTGATGACGGATTCTTGACGCTTGTCGAGTTTACTCAAGACATGTTCTGGCTCGATATTGTATTTGGTCAATTTGAGGGATGGTGGTTGTTTGATGATGGCCGCGAGCACGCATTGGGTGACGAAAAGCAATGGGAGCGCAAGATGAAAGCCGCGGGCTTCAGCGAAGTATCTTGGAGCGAAGGCACCGCACCAGAGGCAAAGACAGCGCGAGTTATTGCTGCATTTGCAACCGAGCCACGCCCGGCTCCTCACCCGGCGACAGTGAGAGGCGCAATGGAAACGGTCGTTTACAAACAGATTGGAGACCTGAAGATTCATGCTGATGTGTACTATCCAAGCGAAAGGGAATCACTCCCTAATAAGAAGATGCCAATCGGTAAGAGATGGCATTCATCATCAGCCCTTGCACTTTCAATATTGATAGATAGCTAACGGCAGGTTGATAGCTTTGATGATTCATGGGGGAAGCCATATGTTGTTCAGCAGAAAGGATGTAAGACCTGCACAAACACGACTTTTGCTCGGAAAGGGTTTCTTGCCGGTCAGTCTGGATTATAGATTGTGTCCAGAAGTGTCACTCACCAATGGTCCCATGGTGGACGTTTGTGACGCACTGGCCTGGGCTCGCAAGGACTTACCTAATCTCAAATTACGACGCTCTGGGCTTCAGATTGACGGTGAAAAAGTTGTGGTGGTCGGTTGGTCCTCAGGAGGACAATTGGCCATGTCATTGGCCTGGACAGCACCAGAAGCTGGTCTACGGCCTCCTGAATCGATTCTAGCATTCTATGCCCCCACAAATTACGAGGATCCGTGGTGGAAGAACCCGATATACCCCATTGGTGCTCCCTACAAGGGTCAGCAATATAATGTACTTGAAGGTGTCAACGACGAGCCTGTCACAAACTACGATATGGTGGGAGCATGGGAGGAGCCTCTTGCGGATCCACGCAGCATCCATGATGCTCGCACTCGACTTGTGTTGCACATTAATTGGAAAGCTCAAACACTTCCAGTCATCCTTAATGGTTTACCAAGCAAGCGGAAGGCAGCAACTGAGTTTCCGGACGTTAAGAACTGGGACACGCTTCCACAGCCATCTCTTGACCTCATCAGAGTAGCAAGTCCATATGCTCATATTGCTCAAGGCGACTACAATGTGCCGACATTTTTTATTCACGGCACAGCAGATGATTTAATCCCCTGGCAACAGAGCCAAGGTACATATCATAAATTGGTAGATAAGGGTATCGATGCTGGGCTAGTCCTTCTTCAGGATGGTCCACATATCTGTGACTTGAGTAGTGACCCGAATTCGGATGGCTGGAAGGCGGTTCTAAAGGCCTACGAATTCTTGTGTTCGTATGCCTCTTAAACCCCGGATATCTGACCGATGAATACCATTCCATTGAAAGGAAAATATATGACGAAACTGATATTTTCCCGCGTTCGTTATCTACATGGGTATTACCTTTAAGCAAAAATCGAGGCTAACCCAAAGCCAATACAGCTTCAATATTTATGATATGTATAATGTCTGGAGTTATTTAGGGGACGAAGATAACGGATTTGCGGTCCGGATCTACTAGTGTGAATTACATGTCGGTCTACAATTTAGCATTAGTCTATCATAGTCCAGTCCTAAGTGAATGTTATTGTAGTAGTAACTGCATCTTGAGAAATCCAACAGCTCTTGGCGGCTTCTGCCGATCATTGTGCATCAACTATTGTATCACATCGACTACGGTACGTCTGTATCACAGTCTCGTATTTCCTCAGCTCAAGGAGTGGTTAATGCAGAGCCCCTCGTTTGTGACGTATTGGCTTTGCTTGAATCATATTATTTGCTATTGTTTGAGGAGATGGCGTGACGTGAGCTGATGACCAACAAAAGTCTAGTTAATCATAGATAAACGAATGGGTTACTTAGACTATCGAGTCTCTCATCTCGTATAGCGTAATGAGTCTACACCAAGAGGTGGGGTTTGTTACCAGCCATCTGCTCTATATAAAGGGAAAAAGGTCCTCTTTCTTACACTGATCTCCCAAATTATCTTCTCTCATATTCTGATCAAATTCTTGGCTGAAAACTCGAAAAACGCATAGCCATCAAGCAATCATGGAAAATATCCGACAGCCTCAGCACTCAAGTGATGCAGTCACTATCGAATCGGGTTTGTTATCGGGCATTCAACAGCCTAATAACACAAGAGCTTTTCTGGGAGTCCCTTACGCAGCGCCGCCTGTCGAAGAACTTCGCTGGCGGCCACCACAACCTCCATCCTCGTGGGAGGGCGTCCGAGCTGCAGACAAATTTGGACCTAGCTGCATCCAATTCGCACCACCGGCCACGTCCATATATTCCGGTGGTGAGACAGATTTCAGTGAAGATTGTCTCTATTTGAACATCTACACCGGTCCAAAGGATAGTCAGCATAGACCTGTTCTTGTCTGGATTCATTTTGGTGCATTTCTATTCGGGTCCAGCTCCAATCCGGTGTACGATGGAAGCAAGCTAGCCGCCAAAGGAATCACGGTGGTCACCGTGAACCATCGCTTGGGTCGATTCGGATTTCTCGCACATCCAGAACTCAGCACGGAGTCTGGATACAATGGATCTGGAAACTACGGTATCATGGATCAGATTGCTGCGCTGGAGTGGGTGCAACGAAACATCAAGGCGTTCGGTGGCGATCCGCAGAACGTGACCATTGGAGGAGCCTCGGCCGGTGGTGCCAGTACACATATTCTGCGCAGCACACCGCTGGCCAAGCACCTCTTTGCCAAAGTTATTTGTGAGAGTGGACCAGGAGTTGCTCCCGCAATTGATGGTCCTGGCCATGTGGCTGCCTACGTGACGTTGAAAGCTGCAGAAGAGGCCGGGCAAGAACTCTTGAATCACGTTGGAGTCTCGTCGATTGCGGAGTTGCGCAAGATACCCGCCAAGCAAATCACCTCTGTACACCTTCCCCGTAGCAAGGGGCCATGGAAAGCCGACATCTGGCCAGGCACCGCCGGTTTGAGTATGTTTGACACGGCCAACCCGAATCTGGACGGCCATGTACTTCCTGAGTCACCCCTGTCGGCACTAGTATCTGGCAGGGCAGTGGATGTTCCCTTGCTTGCTGGCAATGTCGGAAACGAAGCATCTGGGTTGCCCTATCTTCGTTCTCTAGTCGATTACCACGATTTCGTGAAGAATTCCTTTGGGGAGCACTCTGAAGAGGCGCTTCGTTTGTATCTCGCCAGCTCAGACTCCGAAGTACGCGCTGCATCATCGCAGATCCTTGCGGATCAAGTTTTCACCTACCCCACATGGTCAGCCGCAAGATTTTCCGCCATGAATCAGAAATCGCCAGTGTGGTATTATAATTTCATGCGCGCACCTCCGATCACTCCAGACGCAGACATAATCGAGAAAGCTGGAGCTGGCGCTTTTCACATTGTTGGAATACCTTACGGCTTTGAGACCCTAAATGCGTGGCATTGGGACTGGACCGAAGCTGATTGGGCACTTTCAAAGCAGTTTTCTAATTCTTGGGTTCAGTTTGTGAAATACGGTAATCCAAATGGTGGCGATAGTGATCAGGAGTGGCAGCCCTTAACCTCAAGCAGTAGCTTGATTAAACACTGGAATATCGATACCCATTTAGGGATAGTAGCACCGCGCATCTCAAATATTGCAGAGTTCTTTGACAAGGTGTACGGTGTTGCGAACCAAGTTGCTTTTTAACGTTGATGTTTGCAGTCTGACGATGGTGATATTGGACGGAAGTTAGAGCAGGATCGTATTTGTTACGGTAGTTATAGGAATTTGATACAGCACTAAGCTAGATACGTGCAAGCACACTTCTCATTCAATAATAGCAAGTATAATAATTCGTAGACATCAGTACACGTAGGGGCGTCATAAATCCTATTTTCCGACAAGTTCACATGGATGGTGTCCCTGTTTTGAAGCAAATATCACTCTTCGGCGCTTTCGCGGACGTGTTCGGTGCTCAGACAAAGATTCGATATGAAGTGCATGCAATTTTATTCCTCAGACAGGCCGAATCGTACGTGTATGTGCGCTTTGACAATTTGATATGGAATTTCTCCGGGCATGGCGATTTATGGCCCCTCACAGGTGGCGATATATATATACCTAAAAGAACCGCAGCAAAGTGTCTATAGCCATCTTACCATTTACTTCGCTCTCACACCGCTCTCATTCATCGCTGAGCACCAAAACCGCTTACGCTGTCAATATTATCTGCAGGTTCACAACAGATATCTTTCTACTTATTTTGTAGACCATGATGGATATTCTCATAGCAGGAGCTGGAATAGGTGGATTGACCGCTGCGCTTGCTCTTCGTCGACAAGGACATCGTGTCATTGTATGTACTTATCCGAAGAACCTTAGTTTTCGCATCGCATATCTAACATCGCCATGCATTTAGCTTTTTGAACAGTCAAAGCTGCATCAAGAGACAGGCGCTGCAATTGTCCTAGGTCCGAATTGTAACGGATTGCTGCGCAAGTATAACTTCATTCCTGAAGAGCACGGCGCCACTTCTTGTCTTGGGGTCAGCGATATGTCCATTTGTCACAATTGAGCGCGCCCAACGAATCCGTACACTGACTCACAAGTAGTGGAATTTATATACGGCCGGAGGAAAGCTGACCACAAAAGAAACATTTACAATAGACCAATACCCCAACGTAAGCAGTCCGAGTATTTGGGTGGAGTGATTAAGCTAACATGAAGAAGCCGTACCAATTGATTCAAAGACGACAGCTTCACGAGGGTCTGAAGACGCTTGCTGTGGATGCGGCGCAGCCAGGCCTGCCAGCAACCATCTGGACCTCCAGTCGCGTCGTCTCAGTAGATGCTGAGACTGCAACAGTGCATCTCGAAGACGGCTCCAATGTCAAAGGTGACGTGGTGTTGGGTGCTGATGGGTGGAATTCCAGCACGCGCGCGGCAGTGCTAGACAGCTGCGATTCCACGATCAAACCATTTTCCGCAGGAAAAAATTGTTTTCGATTCCTCATTCCACGAGAAAAGCTTATCGCAGACCCGATCACCAGGCCAGTGTTTGAAATCATGAACACTCTTTGCCTCTGGATGTCGGAGGACACTCGAATGGTGTATTATCCCTGTGATAACAACACAACCATCAACTTTGTCGCGATTCACCCTGCTCACTTGACAGATGCTTCAGTCGGGGACTGGCAGGCTAAAGGAAGTAAAGAGGTAATGACCAGCATCTATGAAAAGTTTGGACCTGCGGTCAGAGCAGTGCTGTCACACGCAGACCCGGAAAAAATCAAACTATATCCCTTGATGGATATGGAACCACTGCCTACATGGACTACTGGCCGTCTCGCGTTGCTTGGAGATGCAGCACATCCATTCCTACCTCGTAAGCATTCAATGCTTTTCTTCCCGTAGGAAGTTGTTTGCTGACCCTACTAATAGATTTGGGACAAGGCGGTGCGCAAGCTATCGAAGATGCGACCTCTCTCGGCGTTTTTCTCACTCCGGATACGAAACCATCTGAAGTGCCGCAACAGCTCAAGTTGTATGAGCTTGCTCGAAAAGAGCGGGCGCATCGTATTCAACAAGAGAGTAGAATATTTGGACTGGACCTTTCTGAATTCCAGAAGGCCGATTTCGATCGACTTGGATCGCGACGAAGTATGTTTGAATTCGACGAGTTTGAGCACTCTAGCCAAATTCTGAGAAGCCGCTCGGCGGTAATAAGTGGTGAAGCTGCTGAAGGTGTGAGGATCTAAAGATTTGCTACGACATGTGGATATCCGGAAGGTATCTGCCGTCCGCTTGGATCCATAGAGCGATATGTATATACACTATCAATTTTTGCCACCTATCTTGCAATTTAACCGTTCTACATTTCAAATTACCTATGAAACTTGTTAATCATGAATTTATTATATAGCTTCATTTCATACCAAGCTGGTGGTATCCCTATCCAAAATACCTGATTGTATTTGTTGGAAGCCTAGTTGTGACAGTGGTTTACAAGGACGTAGTAGTACGGGTGCTCGATAGGGTACGAAACGTAGGGTTATATAACGTTCGCGTTGGCAGCTATTTGCTGACTAAAACATGACTAAGCCTAGCCGATGTCACGTGCGTCACGTGCCTGGAGTACAGAGGGCTTGGTCGCGAGTGGAGCCGGCCCGGATAGCTCCGGGCTTCCGGAGCAGAATGCAGGCGGAATTAACCACCGTATGTAGTATAGCGTACATTTGTCTCCGGAGATATGTCGACTAGTACGGTGGAGMAAGCCGATATGCTTACGTGCCTGCCTACTTTTAGCTTGAGTCCAAAATTCCGGCAACCATCGCCGTGCAACACGTGACATTATCTTATTTGAAACGCACTTAGCGCGTGTACAACATACCTCCGCCAAGGACATGGTCATAATGGAGAGTCGCCTATGAATCCTGCTTTCATACCTGACTACTGCGTGATGAATTCATTGCCACCAACCTCTTCGAACTGATGACATTGCAATGGAGACACCCACACCCCACCAGGTTCACTATGAAGACAGGAGGAGGTTGAGGGCACAATTATCTTGCAACTACTGTAGACTGAAGAAGTAGGTCATGGTCGACGGAAAGTTTCTGAAACACAAGCGTGTGCTAATAGGCTCATCACAAAGGCTCAAGTGTAATCGCGCACTTCCGTGCGATAATTGTCTGAAACGTAACCTGGGGGTTTCTTGCCAATACCCGGATGTTACGGTGCGAAGAACGGCACAAGCACGTCGAGTGACTGGCTCAGATGATATAGCCAACAGAGTACGCCATTTGGAACATCTCATTCTGTCCTTGAGATCTTCGAACTCCGGGCAGCATTCCGAGCTCCAACCTCAGCTACAACCAAGTACCAAGCCTCTTCCAACTGGTGCAGCACTTCTTGAATATGTCGCAGAGCAACCTCAGTCAACCGCTCCCAGTTCTGCAGGTATTCCACTGGAGAAAGAGCCATACGCAGCAGAAGAGGAGAGTGTCACCTCCACTGGCACCATGTTAGCTTATCAGATGGGTACGAGATGGGTGGATTCCTCACATTGGCAAGCCATTCTAGACAACGTAGGTAATTCATCACGAGAGGGGAATCGAGTCATACACAGCTTGTAAAGCATATCCATCTAATGCAACTCAAAAAGTTGACAGAGCTCAGGGGCTGCACGGAATTACTCGATGATCAAAGTAACCATTTCGCTACAGACAACGAGGAAGAGCAAACGGAAGGTCCAGCACTATTCCTTGCCGGGTCTAATTTGATAACTCGATCTGGAATACTCACGTTTCTTCCTCCACGAATTGTCGTCGATCGCTTGGTAGCACGCTATTTCAATTCAAAGGACGCTTCATTAGGTATTGGAACTACGCAGCGACCGGTCACAGGAAGTGTTAGAATATAGGCTAATGACAGCATAGTGGCCCTCCATGTACCGACATTCTACAAAGAGGTGATTCAGTCATAATACGTTTTGTTCTGATAATGACTGACACTTTTGATCACAGTACATGCACTTTTGGGAAAATCAGAATACTGCATCGGTGACGTGGATTGGCTTGTTGTTCACCATTCTTTGCCATTCGCTATTCTTATACCGTCGAGCTGGCGACACCCCTCCCGGCTCTCTGGGCAACACTGCGGAAGTCGGTGATTCTTTTCGTATACAAGCTGCGCATTGTCTTGTTTTGGGCAATTACACTAATCCAGGCGAGTTCAAAGTCGAGACTCTCCTCCTTTACTCGGGAATAGAATTCCTGAGAACCAATGACATGCAAATCGGCACATCGATGCTTCTAAGCCTCATTGTTAGGCTAGCGATACACACGGGCTACCATCGTGATTCGAAAAGTTTCTCTAATATCTCGATACGTGATGGAGAAATGCGAAGGCGAGTTTGGGCATTGATATGGCAAATGGATCATCTTGTGTCGTTTCAAGTCGGTATTCCAAGGATCATCAACGATGCGCAATGTGATACCGAGCTGCCCCGCAACTTGAATGACGAGGACCTTGACGAAAAAACAGCAGTACTACCCCAAGCAAGACCGATGAACGAACGTACACCAGTAACGTACACCATCATCAAGAGTAGATTAATTTCCGTTTTTGGTCGCGTCGTGGAGAAGTCTTACACGGCACAGGGTGGGATACGCGAGACATATGAGGACATAATGCATCTTGATGAGCACCTCCAAAATGTACATGGCTCATTACCAGATTTCTTACGCATTCGGCCAATCAGTATGTCGATCATGGATCCTCCAGACCTCATCATGCAGCGATTCAATCTGGAACTGCTGTATCAAAAGACCCGTTGCATTCTCCATCGCCGATACCTTGTTATTGGGCGTACAAATTTGAGGTACGCCTATTCAAGATGGTCCTGTGTAGACGCAGCGAGGCAGATGCTTCAACATCAGCACGACATATACCATGAGACCTTGCCGGGAGGACAGCTACATAGGGATAGATGGTTTGTGACATCACTCACAAGCCATGATTTTCTCCTCGCGGCAATGATTTTGTGTTTAGAACTGTCTTCTAAGGTGGGGAATGACCGGCAAGATTCACTTCCTGAGGGAGCAAACAGGACATTCGATGGCCGAAAAGATCTATTACACGCCTTGGAAACCTCAAAGAACGTTTGGGCGGCTTGTGTCAACTCTTCTTTCGAAGCCTCTAAGGCATCGGAAGTACTTGCAATTATACTGCGGAACGCAAGAAAGGCAACTGATTCGAATGCTCGAGATAATACAGATGATCATATCGTTAATGAGTCCCTAGATTTGCCTTCTCTTGACTGTAAGTGGTAGCTGCCCGTCTCCTTCAAAATAGTTTTCGATCTTAACGGATGTGTTTCACTCGCAGATCCTGCTGTGCAGTCTTCTGTGCCGAATGAGGATGTAATGGAAGCAAACAGCCAGCAAACAGCCATTCCGAGCGCAGACGAGCAGCCAATGCATATATCATTAAATGAGATGATGGATAATCTAGAAGAGTTCAATTGGGTGAGTATTCAAACCGTTATTTCAGGTTGCCAAATCACCGTTACAAGACTTTTCTGCGGGCACTAACGCCTGAGTAGAGTACATGGGACAGACTGCAATGTTCAGGCTGGAACACTACAGAAGATGAGATGCTCTAAGGGCAAAACAGCTAACGTATAAAGGCTGGACTGATTTGGGTATGATTGGTTTGATATTGCTCAACTCCGACGGTAATAGGATGATCAGGAGCGACAAGATGGTATATTTAGCAATTTAGAAATATACAGTTATCTTATATGACATGCAATATCCGTACGGATGCTGATCAATTTTACAACCAAATGCGTCAGCTCGTAACCGACTTACAAGGCTGTCTTCTCGCGCTCCTGGCCGATCTCGCTTTTCTTACCACTATTCCAAATGGTACCTTTACAGAAGCGGCTTACAGTCTGCGAATTTTAATACAACCGCGGCTCAAGGCAGTCAACCGGAGCTAAATGTGTGTATCCGAATGTAGGCAGGGCTTCCTGGTTTTGTGGGGTTCTGATCCGGAGCCCGGAGATAGATACGGCGCCTACTCCGGAAATGAGACGAAATGCTGCTATATCCAAAAGCCTACGGTGACGTTCTGCACCCATATAAAAAAGTCTAGTTGTCGCGGAAAGCTCACGTTATCCTCACCCCTGGCCTTCCATCAACATCCGAAGTTCTACACACCACGTCACCAACACATCTTGTCGGTTTCCATAATGCCTCGCAAATCTACTACACCGTCCTTCTCTGAGAAGGATATACCCAATTTAAAAGGCTATGTTATTATTGTCACTGGTGGTAAGCAGACGCCTCATCTTCTTAGTTTAAGTAGCAGTCAAAAACCGACCCGTTCTACTTAACAGGTAATTCCGGAATTGGATACGAGACTTCCTTCCAGCTAGCACAACGCGGTGCTCGAGTGTACATTGGCGGTCGCTCTACTGAGCGTGTTGAGGACGCAATCGATCGGATGAATCAAGCACATGGAGCCAAATTGGACATCCGATTCCTACGGCTGGACTTAACTGACTTGAAGTCAGTAAAGTCAGCTGCTCAACAGTTTGCGACTCTCGAGAGACGCCTAGATGTGCTCATAAATAATGCCGGGGTAGCTCTATGCCCGTAATATGTCTACTATATACCTACATGCTGACACCTGGTTATAGATCATGTCAGCGCCATACAAGTTGACAGGTGACGGGTTTGAAAGTCAATGGCAGACAAACTACTTGGCCCCTCACGCTTTGACACATTGCCTCATGCCGCTGCTGCTTTCTACGGCCAGCAGCTCTCCTGACGGAACTCGTGTCCGCGTAGTCAACGTCAGTAGTGACGCGGCATTCTCCGGTCCGAAGACCATCGAATGGAACGATGTGAACATGACCTCAACAAAGGGTGTGATGGAACTTTGGTAAGTTTAGTGTGATCTAGAGAAGAAATTTGATTCTTCTGTAGCATTCCCCTAACCAAGCTAACTTTTGCGTTGAAAGGAAACGCTACGGCCATTCAAAACAGGCTAGTATTCGAGATGCAAAGTATCTTAATGATCTCTACAGCACACAAGGTATGTTGGAACCTTTACCCAGTTACTGAAAATCCCTTTTCTTCACTATAAAGGGTTCATGATTGATGTTATTTTACGCCACAGGTGTTACTGCGTACTCTGTGCACCCGGGCTACGTCCCGTCTAACCTTCAGAGTCACGATCCGACTATAATAGGATCTGCTATTCGGTTAGCAATGAAGCTATCGAGAACGACGGCTTTGCAAGGAGCACTTACAACCTTGTATTGTGCCACGAGCCCTGAAGCTCCTGCTGTAGGTGCTGGCCGGTTCTTTGTTCCTGTCGGCAAGTTGGATGCGCGTGCAGATACTTGGTTTGCAGACACAGAGGGCAACAAGCGCTTGTGGGAGATGGCAGAAGAACAATCCAACACGGGCATTAGTTAGCTTTTTGTAAAATGGCTGCTATAAGTTTTAGAGATGCTAGAACTCAAGTACATCAAGATTGCAGTATAAGTTCTTAAAATCAGATTTACATGCTATAAGAGCTAGCTAACTTGCGGGATCATGAGACTAGAGAAAATATCAAGCATGGCCCTACTTTACATCTTTACCTTATTATCACACAGTATGACAGTTCGTATACAGCTATGACAGATTGGCGAGGTCACAGGTAACTACAGCAATTCATTTGTCACGTTATATAGGTCGGAGGCATAGAATAGAGCGATAATATTGACTCATTCGACAGGGCTGCCTCCAGTCTACCCGGACACCCGTATGTGGATGCTTCGGGAAAATTGCTTATGTAAAAAACAAAAGATTGACATTGATTTTGCAGATAAGTTGTACCAAATTCCTCTTTTATCACATTAAAGACATCAGGTCGTGACAATAAATTGAACGATATATTTAGAATATTGATTATTAGAGTGTTTCCGACCCCAAAGGTATGAATCAAAACCTGTAGAAATCAGAGCTCAGTGCACATGTTCGATGACAATTTGGAAGAGATCCAGACAAGACAATCGGTTTTTAGAGGAATTTATACAGCATTAATTATTCGATTTTATTAATTCAGCTATGAGTCAGCCTCATTTAAGAGTTCACCAGATATCCTAGAACTCAGCCTAGGCATGGCATCGAATTGTGGCTCACATGTTCGACCCAATCTGCCCAATAGACAGTCTCGTTGAAGATATCATTCAAACTTCTTCCAATGTGCTATCATACTTGATACCAGCCAAAGCGCGTGCTTGGTCCATCCAGCCTAGCACCCGCAAGGATTCTTCCATCCCAATGACCTCTCCCTGCCCTGGCGAAGATTTTCTTGCCTGGATCTTTTCCGCAATCACATCAGCTTGGTACCAAATTCCCCAGCCCTTTTCAACTGGTTTCTTAACGATTTCGTTCTTCTCGATGCCGTTCTCATCAATATATTCATCTCCATACCACTGCACATGGAACTCCTGTGGTCGAATGGGGGGAAACGGTACGGCAACTGACGCCTTGGTACCCTCAACTCGGACGGTTGGAGCAGATCTGTTTGCTTGTAGACGTTGATAGAAGGAGGGTTTGCTTGAGCCAGGGATTGTCATGCTAGTTGTGATGATTCCAACTGCTTCTTGATGGTTGGACTCTTTTTGGCGTTTGGAGAGAATAACCGTAGTGATATCGTCCACGTCATTTGGGACGCCAGGAACGCTCATTGTGCTAGCATGGACAACCTCAGTGGTTGTCGTGCCCTCACCCAAGCCATTGAGAGCAAGGTCCGCCCAGGTTAAAGCATAAACACCCTGATCCAGAAGGCTCCCAGCTCCAGCTTGCTTATCCAAAAATCGGGATGAATGAGATAGGTCCTGAGAAACGATCGGGAACGAGAATTCCGCGTATACACGTTTGACTTGCCCGATTTTCGGCAAAAGCTCCTCGCGAAAATATCTTGCGGCAGGGAGATATCTAGTCCACATTGCTTCCATCAAGACCACGCCGTTCTGGATTGCCAACTCTGTCAGCTTCTCGTACTGTTGTCGATTCATGGTTGCTGGCTTTTCCACGAGAACGTTGCGTTTGCAGGATAGTGCCTTCTTGACATGTTGGTAGTGTAGCGGGTGCGGAGTCGAAATGTACACGACGTCAAAGTCGCCCTTTTCTAGCAACTCCTCCCACGAATGATATACAGGCATCGACTCCGCGTGTGGAATCTTGTGTTCTTTGAACCACGACGCAGCCCGTTCCTTCGACCCAGTAGTACTGATGGCAACAAGTTCATGTTGTATACGGTCAGAGTCGTCGCGTGGCAATAAGAGATCAGGCAAGAACACAGATGCGATGTTGGACAGTGAGAGAGCTGCCCATCGGCAGGKAAAACGCTCTTGAGCCATGGCAGTTTGCAGGATTCTATAGAAGACCTCCCAAGCTTGTATTGCCTCCTACGGGAAAGAGCTGGAGCTTCTCTTCCGCCTTTAAGCACAGAGGCAGACTCTTTACCCGATTGTGATGTGCATCGGGCCGAGTGACTCTGCTGGAAACGGTGTATTGGGAAACCCAGGTGTCCGCTGGGATGATCCTTTTAGCCGATTAACAGACATTGGCCGTGGGGGTGAATGTTTCTGGGGGATTGCGGCTGGGCCTCGGAACAAGTCCGACCCCCAAACTCTTGCACTACGCCTGAAACGGCAGGKCTACTTTTTCTTCTAGATTTCCACGGTGAATACTTCTAGCTGAAAGACTAGAAGATGTAGCTAGGAAAACTGCCGGTCAATAATTTTTGGCGCCTTATTATGGAATGTATTCTATCAATAAATCCCTCTCAACTCGTACACCACCACCGCTCCTCTGATCACGTAAATGTAGTATAGAATTGTCTCTTATATATGATTAATTTTAAACTAAAATTCATCTGCTTGACATTTAGAAAAAAGATCTTGGATCGTCAGATACCATTTAAATATCCGGATGATTTTGGACCTATTACCCGATGCATTATCCAGTATCTCTTGAAACGTGCTCAAATTCCATCTTCCTGTATAGCTGAAATGCCTCCTCACGACAATACAGCTTGATGTTTCCACGAACTCGCTCCTCCATCAACCAAGATATCCTGCCCCGTCACCCAGCCAGCAGCGCCTCTAGCACATAAGAACAGTAAAGCGCCTTTAACCTCTTCAGGATTTCCGATACGCCCAAAAAGCGTCTCCTTCTCGAACTGGCCTACTAGCGCCGGCTGCTGGCTTTGCAAACCTCGCATCATGTCGGTCATCATGTAGCCGGGGCTCAGGCTGTTGACACGGATGCCATACGGCGCAAGCTCCATTGCGAGAGGCTTGACCAGACTGCGTACTGCACCTTTGGACGCGACATACGCACTAATGTTTTGTGCCGTGCTGGCGATGTGTGTGGCTATGCTGCCGATGAAGACGATACTGCCGCCGGATTTGGAAGGGTCGATCCCTGAAGTAGGCTTTCCAGCCTCATCGGTAGGTGAAGCTTTAGTGAGTCGTCTGACCATGCTGTTTGCACATGCTTGCGCAACTAGGAATGAGCCCATGAAGTTAACTGCAAAAGTCCGCTCAATATTCTTATCCGTCGTTGTAAGAAAGGTCTCGTCGGTCACGACACCCGCGGCATTAACATTGATGTCGATGGATGGAAATTGAGACTCGATCTGCTCAATGGTCTCCTGGACTGCCGTTCGAGAAGTGATGTCGACTCGGTAATATTCGACCCTCACATCGTGTTTCGCGTGGAGTTCGAGCAATGCAGGTGATGGCTCGGGAAGAATGTCAAGGACGGCAATGTTGCAGCTTGCCGCTGCGAGTGCCTCTGCGAAAGCCAACCCTAAGCCTCGAGCGGCGCCGGTGATCACGGCTGTTTGTCCCGAAAGTGAAAACTGTAAGCACAATCCAATTAACGTCAAGTTCAATAGTTTAAAATCAGAGACACTTACAAGTTCCATCGTCTTTGATAGTCCAGACTCTGCAGCCGTTATTTTTTAAAAAAAAAAAACCTCTAGGCAGAACTAGCAGTAGCTTCGATTTATGCGAATTTTTAATCTATAGCTTATATTGGGATTTCTAGCTAGTTGCTCCCCACAAGATAGCTGTAGAGCAATGAGCAACTCGTGATGTCGAGCAGCATGCAGTAGAGAACGCGGGGTCCCGGGGGGTAAATTGCCCTTTAAGCCTTTAGCCGTTTTGACGATACCGCGTATCTTACCCATTGCAAGAATCCATCAGCCTAMCCAGCCAATAGCCGTTGTCGGCGACTTGTGCAACAAGATGTTTCATGGCTGAGGATACATACATATGTTCTTGCACTGGATATGCCTCAACCGCTACCTAGGTATGTTGAGGGGTAGAAGTGATTTAGTCGTTGCTGGGCCACACCGGACAGTCCACCACAGCAGACACCATAGCAACACAACGTTCTGTTGCTTCTGGTAACAGTGATATTGTTAGCTTTATATGCAATGGAGGGATCTCGAGAATTCACCCATATTGTCGTGGGCGCTGGATCTGCGGGATGCGTTGTAACAGCGAGAATCGCAGAGAATCAAAACTTCAATGTTCTTCTCATCGAAGCGGGCCCGGATTACGATCCAGCGAAGCAAAGTCTACCTCTGGGAGTCCAGAATGCTCGCCGAGTACCTATGAAAGGTCAATCTGAGGTCTTTGATCCGCGGCTCGACTGGAACCTCGTTGTGGATATCCCCGGTGGGCGATCAATGCTGGTTCCGCAAGGGAAGGTTATGGGAGGGGGCAGCAGTATCAACGGAGGAACAGCACTGAGAAGTACCTCTGCTGATTCTACAGAATGGGTGGAGCTTGGTAACGATAGATGGGACTTTGAGAGCGTTTACCACGTTTATCAATCAATGGAAGAAGACGAGGTGAGGGGCACGCGAGGCCCTTGTCCAATCGTTCGAACGCCAGTAGAGGAAGTCGGCAAGATTCAAAATGCGTTCTTGGAAGGAGCAGCCACGTCTGGATTCAGGCAAATTCTTGACTTTAACGCTCCGGGGGCTGAGGGCGTCGGTCCCTCTCCTGTCTGTCGGCGAGGTGATCGACGTATCAGTGCCTCCAACACCTTCATCGATCCTATCCGCGACCAGAATAACTTGACAATTCTGACTACAGCTCAGGTAGAGAGAGTCATTTTTTCCGGAAAGAGGGCAACAGGAGTTGTTCTTATAGATGGCAGAAAGATATTTGCAAGCAAAGAAATCATTGTCAGCGCAGGACCTATCTTCTCTCCGGCGATCCTTCAGAGATCGGGTGTTGGGCCCTCTGCTCTCCTTCATTCACTGGGCTTGACAACTGTAGCGGACTTGCCCGTTGGCAAAAACCTTTCTGATCACTTGTGCATTCCTATCATGGCCAAACCAAGGAAAGGTGCCTATGAAGAGGATGATTACTCTTTGCAGATGCAGGCGCGGTGGTCCTCTTCTCTTCATCCTGGGACAACAGATCTTCAAATAATCTGTTTCAGTTATCTCTATGCTCAAGCGCCTGATCCACAGGTCCAGCATCGCGGTCTTTCGGGGACAGCAACTGGCCATGTGGCTGGGATCGGTTGCAATTTAAACAAACCGACATCGCTGGGAACCGTCACTATAAAGTCCAAAGATTCATGGGAGGCTCCACTAGTTGCACCGAACTATCTACAGACTGATCACGACCGGAAAATAGCTCGAGAAATTGTCCGAAAGGCCTATCGAATTATGACTTCTTCCGCGATGCAGACAGTGCTTGAGCAGCCCATAGGTCTCGATGATACAATTCTTGACTCCGACCAGCTTCTAGACAGATGGATTGACAGTCAATACTCGACGACCTATCATTTCTGTGGTACATGTCGAATGGCTGCCCGAGAGAAGGGCGGCGTCGTTGATCAAAGTGGCCGCGTGTATGGTGTACAGGGACTCCGAGTCTGTGATTCCAGTGTCATTCCGACTGCCCCTGCTGCCAACAACATGTGGCCGACTATGATGTTTGCACAAAGAATTGGTCTCAGCATTAGAGATGGTACGGATGTCGCTATACTGCATCAATCAAGACTATGAAGTATGCTAAGTCACTAGCAAGAATACAGCTGATCATTGTCATCAAGTCATGCCTAGTTAGTACTGTACTAATATGACATTTCAAATATAAATATACTCTGTAACAAAGCAATGTAACTAGCTTGTTTCGTAGTCTTACATTCCATATTTACTATCTAGTTATGGTTCTCTGCTGAATTAGGATGACAGTCTCAGGCTAGAAGACTGCCTCATGGACATTGAATACATCAAGAGTATCGTAGTCTTGTTTTCATTTACGTTATTGCAGTTTTTACCGAAGAAGATGAAGAAGCTTAATGCTGGGTCTTGATGTTAATAGTATACAAAATACACAAAAACCTCACACTGTACAATATGGAAATTGCATAACAGTATTGGTCGATCTGACTACCTTGAAGGCGCAGACAAATTCGTTGCAGGTCCAAGCTGGGATGATTTCAGGATCCCGAATTTCACTTCAACTCGCCACTTTCTTCTTTGTTGTGAACGTCAAGTGCCTCCATGTTACGATCGGTCGCGCCGTCAACTTCGTCTAGCAGTGTCCTCGCGGCAACGGCGATGTTACCACCAGCTTCAGCCACACGTCTGTCATATTCGGCCATATTGGCGCTGACAAATGGACTGTCACTTGTGAACAAGAGGTCAACTTCCTCAAGAGAGCGGCCGGCTGTCTCGACATAGAAGAAGTGGACAATGGGCATGACAACAAAGTTCATACACCCGAAAAATATGAATGACCACCATCCAATGTTTTTCAGCATAATGGGAATGACAAATGTTGTCGTGCCGCAGCCAATGGCCCATCCCAGGATCGTAAAAGAGTATCCTTTGGCACGCACCTCCTGAGGCCAGATTTCTGTACCATATATCCAGCACGGCACGATATTGAACATGGTGAAGAAAAAGACAAATGTAAAGGTGAATGCGGAGCCTGCAGTTCCCAGAGCCCGGGATTTTGCAGGATCTGTAAGGATCCGGTCCTGGGATGTTTTGATGAGAGCTGCGACAAGGAAAAGCGATATTCCTTGGATGATGAATGAGATCTGAAGGGATTTTCTGCGGCCAAGCCGATCGATGACGAGCGAAGCAGCTGCGGTGCCAATCACTCCAAATGTGTTGAGCAGTCCAGACATCCAAGAAGCCTTGTATGAGTCGAAGCTTGAAAGTTTGTAGAGCTCACTCGCCCAAGATACCATGACCAGAATACCAGTCCACTGTTGGATCTGTTGTAGCAGAAGGCCTAGCAGGGCACGACGGCCGAGGTGAAGTTTGCCGGAATACCGGCCAGCTAGGAATATGTTGACATAACTGTTACGCTTGTGGTTTGATGCTTCAACAACAGCCTCAAGCAGTTCCACTTCCTGAAGGATGGCTGCATCGTCAATGTGTTTGTCGCCTCGAATCTTGCACAGGATTTCGACAGCTTCTGACTTTCGGTGATGTGCCATGAGCCATCTCGGGGATTCTAAGATGGTGAATTAGTCAACGTATAGATTGATAAATCCACACTGCAACTTACCTGGAACAAAAAAAATTGTGAGGGCCACCATGAGCATTGGAATACACATGAAGCCGAGAGGAAATCGCCATCTGAATTCTATGGGACTATTACGAATGCCAAAATTGATCCAATTTGCAAGGAAGATTCCGAGAAAGTTGGAAACAAAGACAAGGGAAAAATTCGAACCACGATCGTGCGCCTCGGACAGTTCGGACACCCACGACGGTATCAGGACGTTGATAAAACCTATGCCGAGACCGGAAAGCACGCGCGCGCAGATAAACATATTGGAATTGACCGAACCGCACTGAAGAGCAGATCCCACAAGCGAGAGAATGGCGCCGATGAAGGCTCCTTTCTTCCGGCCCAGTTTGTCGCCCAGCCATCCGCCGATAAAGCCGCCAAACATTGCTCCAAAGTAGTATGCAGCAGCGAGTCCGCCCTGCTTTGTCGTTTGCGTAACTGTGCTTCCGAAACCGATTCCAGACATGGAGATGAAACCCGGTGTGCCAGAGACGCTGCCATAGACACCTTGGTTGTAGCCTTCATATACCAAAGCAATGGCGCTGAAGATGTTCAGTAGCAAGAGCACACCTTTGCCAGGCAAGGCGCGCCATGGTTGGAAGGGCATCGTGATACAGCCGAGTAAGGAATAGATGAGTGAGTTAAGAGAAGGGTAGGTGAATTTGATGAATTGAAATTCACGTGGGCTAGATCTGCAGGATATGCCGATATATATAGTTATCACAACACGAAGCGTGTCTATGGCAATATCGCGCGTTCTCGGGAGACGAGAAAGTCTATCCCACGCCGAATGCGTACTGTGGAGAGCTCTCTCTTCTCTTTCTCCACGGGGAAAAGCATGGGGTAAGCATTCCGGAGTGATTTTTACCAGCCATTCGAAGCCCAACCTGCTTAAACGGCTGACCGGCTGTACGGCTGAACGGCTAATAATCTATAAGAGTCACCTGAAAGTGGGTAAGGGTGTGTGTCAGATAAGTGATATGGTTAAATAAATACTATTTCAGATATTTCAAATTCACTAAGTTTTCTTAAATCCCTAAAAGACTACTAAAATACTATCTAATAAATAGAGATAGAGTACCAAGAAAGGTTTGCCTCGTCAAAGTAGGCAAACGCCGGGTGGTGGTGCAGAATGGAGCGGAATGAATTGACCAATCAGAGGCCAAATAAATCTAACTATATCTTGTCTGTGGTGGCTTTACATAATCTCTTATTTTGCCTGCAGTTACGAAAGCCGAACCGCGGTTCGTCTGAGCTTATTGTGATGGCTGGCGATACTTCCCCCTTCGCAATCGTGATGCATCTCCCTCTCCTCTGCGAAGATCAAAACGTTCCATAGGTCTTTGTTCCGTGTAAGACTGCGCTTGGGCGAGCTTGTGGTTTGAGCCGTTGTATTATTGCTGGTAGTACTACCTCAAATGAAGCGAGTGACCTGACTCCCCAAATTCAGCGGCTCAAGGATAAAGTGGAGAAACCTGCTATTAAAAATTTTGTCTCCACATATATCGTATTCCCTTTTCCTCCTGTTATACTTGTTGTAGCGTATTTCTGATTGCGTGGCCCTGTCATGGGCACCTAGGTGATACCTTGTGGGCGTGTGTTTGGGTCAGGCAAGAACAGATATGGCGGAGTCATAATTCCCATCCAGCTCATGTAGCAACGCAGCGACTAAGAGATTTTTCCAAATGTGTACTAGAGGGCTTTCCTCCTCCTTTGTGTTATTGAAATGGTGAGTCAAGCCACTGTAGTTGTTAGTGGCTGTATCGAGGTATTATATAGCTTCAACCTCCGTCCTACGGAACCTTAGTTTTTAGGTGTAATCGCACCTAACATTGCTTCTCTATCCCTCGCACCTAAGCTAGCAAACTCCCCTCATAATACGAATCCCTCATGGCAGGTTCAGCGGACTTTTATCCTCTTCATACCGACTTTCAAACACCACAAGACTGAGAAAATCCCGAAAACTATGAAACAGGCCCATGGGAGCGTCGCCCCACGCCTGTTGGTACCAACAAGATCGTAGATCCCTCAACTTGTCCCAGCTTCCATGGTATCGCTTCATCTGTTTATTAATAACTTTCTTTTCCAACTCTCCCGCCTTCTGATAGGCCTCTTCTAGGGCCTTCTTTGCGCTCACCAGTTAATCCCCTTGTAAATATCACGTACATATTGTCCCCTGCCCGTTATGCTCGTACATCGCGACCCCCCCCGGCCCTCGATAGTTAGCCGCACGATATGCACAGGTAGACTCGTTTCTGGAAATAGATCAAATTCATAGCCACCCATCCAGGAGAAATTTTCCCAATGTAGCTCGAAGACACTCAAAATAGGGTTGTTGAGCCTGTAGAAATGGGGACCAGAGATTACGGGTTGCGTCCCGTTGGTAAGAGCGTAGAACTTCTTAAGATCATCCGGCAGTGTACAGCCTAACTTCGATTCCACTCTAGCATTTTCGTCTGCCCTTGCCGGTGCGCGAAGAATGGTGCGTGGAAGCGTGGACTCGTCGCCATTACTATAATCCTCCCACATCTCTGGGAAGCGCAGCGTATTCCAATCCAATTCGTCAAGCATTTGCTGGAAACTTTTATCCTTGTACTCATCACCGGGCATTACTAGCTCCTCTTCTAGTCTCTTCTTGGTCACAGTAAGGATAAACTTTATATGTTGCTTTAGCTCATCATCTAATAAATCAAGTTTCTCGCGTAACCAGCCAGACGTGAAATATTTCTTCTATGCAAGCTGGATACAGGATAGGTCTCTGGCTTKCCCATTTGCATAGATGCGATAGGCAATGCAGGCTATGATTTCATCTACTTCAGCGCTTTTGTTGAGAAACAAACAGATGCTTAGAAGACCAGTTAGATATCTCGAGAAAGATAATGCCTGATCGCGATAAGCTTCATTGTTTTTGTTTTGTCAAATATACTAGTGGGTAGCAAGAAAAGTGAAAGACTTACCGAGGCCCCCGTCATGGCATTCAAGTGAGGGTCGGCGGATTCTAGCGTTTTCTTTACCAGACTATTCAAATTCTCAAAGTCGGCTTCTGTCACATTTCTAGTGATATCTATTACCTCTTCTGGTCCAAGACTAGATCGCATTCCTCGAAGGAATTGATCCTCGAGACGCTGCTATTCATCTTCTCCGTTAAGCTTGTCTACTTCTCCTACTTCAGGTAGCAAAGTCTCAACATTTTTCGTACAAGAATGGTGTCACTCTAAGGATCATTTGATTGAATGAATAATTATTATATTCTTCAGCATTCTCTAAGCAGTAGTACTGTGTAGAAACCGCGAAAATGGCTAAGGCCTTATTAATCTGGCCAACTATCGCAAGTTTAATGGCCTTTGGCCGGCAGTGGAAATAACTTTGGTGGTTGAGCGACTAAACAAGAGTGGTGTGAGCGAAGAAGCCGCGTAAGAATCCAGTCATTTTTGCTTATTTTAGTTTTTTTTATTTTCTCCTCTTTGTATTTGCACAACCTCAAGAGTGGATTCTGCTGTCTCGATAAAATCAAAAAGATACATCATGGGAGATCAGATAATGCCACTTGATTTTTTCAGCCGTATCAATCCAGATTCCACTGTACCGTATTTCAGTGGGCTAGCTTCAAAATTCCTGGAGAGACACCACTAAAGCGAACTAGTCTATAAATAGGTAGCAAGGGGCAGTATGTATGTCTCATAGTTTCTACTTGCACATATTCTGATATATTTTAGCAGTATTTACTACCTATGGCTGTGTCTTTGAATTATCAACCGCAGTCTCAGGTGTGTTGAACGCATATGTTGATCCCGTTCCAAACAAGCACTTTTTATATATTGTTTGTAGCTTTCCTAAGAATCCGACTTATTGGGCATTAATAATCAATCTGGACATCACTCTCCACGGAAAGGAGATTTCCTTAATTTTATAAAATTGATTTAAATAAGAAGGTGTAGGAATATTGGAACAACGCTATTACTTTAAACCTCAGCTTTGTAGACTCATATCGACCTAGACGTGAGGTTGCATTTACACCAATGCAGGAACTTGTGTGGTATAAGTAGTATCTGCAGAGGAGTAAAGTGATTGTTGATGCGGCATATGGAGTATGAATAAAACTAATATCATTGTTTAAGAGTTGTTTTGATATAGTTTATATGACTATCATCCTAGCATAGGATGGAAACTAATCCTTGGAAACCACAGCTGTATTAACAAACGTACTGCCTGCGGTTCTCACCGACTCATCGGTCGATGGTAGACTATTCATGGATGAGATAAGATCGTTATTTCAATAGATGTAAGAAATCCGCACGCCACGAGTAAGAACCATGGTCGATGCGTCTCATTAGCGACGGCGCATGTATTTAATGGCAACACCAGAGCTGGAGGACCTCATGCTTCGAAAATTTCTCAAGATGCTTCCAGGTGTCATGTAAAAACAGTGAGATGATGCGTTTAAGTTTGGACTGGCTAGTTCGCTCCACATTCTACCGATTCTAGATAGGCCTAAAATGGTACCATTTTATAACGAAGGTAAGAGAATAGGTGGAACTATTACAGTAAAGCCGTTGTGATAACTTGCTTGTAGGAAGCACTAGAAATAGAACTTTGAAGTTCTGAAATGTACTCTTGATAGGGAATGTACCTAAACCAACACTTACAGTTCAAGCTCGGCAACAAATTCAAAAACTGCAATTTCACATGCCATCTTTCTCATGGGTTGAGCTTTCAAGGCACACCAATAAATTTGTTTTAGATTTGTCAAAAGGCACATAGCTTTGCATTCTTTTTCGATTTACCGCAATTTATCGCTTCTATAGTAGACTGAAATTTGAATTCTCACTTTATGATCAGAATCATGTTAAACATGCGCTTTACCTACTCTCTGTTCATGTCGGTGTTTCTAGAAGGGTGACAGTGACATTATGTTATTTACCCCTGAAACAAGTTAGTAGTCTAGATTTGAAAAGTGCGGGGTAACGCCTTGGCTGGATTTTAGACAACAGACTTCTGAGAGGCTCAAGCAATCGTAATAGGCCGTATCAGGAAATTCAGCCCGCTGCTATGGCCATCTTTTAAAAAATATTAATAATTAAGTTTCCCCAAACTTGTACCAGAGCTGCTTGAGGTCAGTGCTAATAATTAGCTCGTGTGTCATGATGCCCAAAACGATTAGGGTTGTCAACTCCACCAAGGCTGAACTCGTGCACAGGCTCGCTCAGATATCCCCCTTTTCTCATAATTGCTGTGACTAGCCTACACGTCGAAGATCAGGGCAATTTTGGTAGAATATGGTCCTAGTGAAATTTTACTCGAGCTACAATTCGCCTGCTATTCTCTCCGCTTTTCCCTTTCTTATTCTTTCTTTCCAGTTGCAAGGTTCTGGGCTTTAGGGCTGGGTACTCTGATCGGGCATATAATAAGATGATTAAGCTGCTTCCGCCAGGCTATAACAAAATCCGGCCTTTTTTCATTCTTCTGCTAAATCTTCTATGGGATGAAAATAATCCTTCCTTTTTTGTCTGTAACTCGTTCGATCGACGTCAGCAAATATGGACCCTAATAATACTCCTGCTCTACAGTCGCCACCTGGTCAAGTGACCAACCTCAGCAATCCTTACTCCCTTCGATCTGATATGTACGTGGCGGCCGGCGTGGGGCTGGGCATTTCATCTGTCGCAGTCATACTACGAGTCTTCACGAAAGTCAGGGTGCTGCGTTCCATGCAACTAGAAGACTATATATTGGTTCTCTCGTTGTTAGGGTTTTTTGCGTTCACATTCCTCATGATTCATGCTGTTCATTTGGGACAAGGCACACATCAATGGAATGTATCAGTGGCTCATCTCCAGCAAGTCATTCAGGTCGGTTCTATGCCCCCAATTGAAAGTTTCCCTGGACACCACCGCTGAAGGATCTATTCACAGATTGCAAACATCATTGAAATTATATATTGTCCCGTTATTCTAGGAGCGAAGGTTGCAATACTCCTCCAGATGAGACGAATGTTCATTGTAAAAAAGACAGGCAAACTGTTCTGGCTGCATGAGATTCTCCTATGGACGAACATTCTGTGTTATGTTACCCTAACGCTGACCTTTGCATTTGCTTGCATCCCTCGTGAAAAGCTCTGGAAACCCGAATTGCAGGGACATTGCATCTCCTCTAATGGTTCTCTTATTGGATCTTCGTCCCTGAATGTGGTGTCCGATGTGTCCATGTTATTGCTTCCTTTGTCCGTCATTCTACGGCTCCAGCTTCCTCTCAAAAGCAAACTGATCTTAAGCACTGTGTTTGGCACAGGCGTTCTGTATGTTTGACGCTTTTTGTGCCCGACGGATTTAAGAAAGTTCTGACGCATCTATGGTATCAGGGCCTGCATATCTAGCACTTTCCGATTAGTGTATGGGATCCGACTGACAACGACCGATGATTTTACCTGGAGCATCGCTCCTGTTGGATTTTGGGCGTAGGTGCACTCAGATATGCTTTCAATGAGACCAAATTGCTGACGGACACATTCTTAATCTTAAGGATCGGAGAAATATGCACAGTCATTCTGGCTGGCTCTATTCCCATGCTGCCAGGTTTCGTCAAGTTCGTTCGGGGTAGAGACGAAGCTCGATCGGGTTCCTCCTTACCCAGGTCGCGTTCGAGGTGGCCTCACCTGAGCAACGCTACATCAAAACATCACCCTATTGCCAACGAATATTCTCAATGGGAAGACAGCTTTGCTCGTATGGGGGCTACGACAGATGCACACGTTAGCGCATCAGCTCTTATCGACCCAGAGACAGAAGTGGTACCGCTGAGCATTATGAAAACCGTTCATGTAGTAACTAAAAGTAGTTGAGGCTGATTACTGATTGATTGACTCTTACAAATTCACTACTAGACACAGGCTATACTATGTTTGAACCTTTTCCAAAAAGCAAGAATCACACTTGATTTAAATCGATTTCTACAATGCAATAGGCGAACCTTACTTAACTTTTGTGGCTTKAAAAWTCTTATGCGGGCTCGGAATTGAGTTGTTTTGATTCAGAAGCTTTTTGTGCCCCATATTATCAATCACACAACGAAATTCACAAAAAGGATGAACGATGGGTGTTAATCTACAGTGGGATGAAATATGTGTTAACACCCCCCGTATCCGAAATATCCACACCGCCACTGATTCTGCTGTCCAAAACGAGTAACACTAAGTATTACGGGCTAAGACCTGGCTTCTTCGAGGGATAGATAATTGCTATGTAATGAAGGCGGTGAAAATGTGGAAAGCGTTCGGATATGGGGCTTTGCTGTATATCCTATTCGTTCCATTCATTGCCATTTTTTGCCATGTTATAGAGATAAGGAATGCAGAGGATCTAGATAGATAGAGGCCTGTTTACAAGATAGTTTCCCAAATCGCAACAACCAGTCATACATACTCTTGTGAAGACAAGGCTGACTGCAACACATCTACATACCAATATAGTTGGTCATACTGTAGCAAGTTAGAAAGTCCGACTGCAAGATAGTGATACGAGAATGAAGTATCACAATAAGGTGGTATCATCATAATTGTAATAATAAGTGTAGAGTTTATCGAATCTATCGAAGAGATAGGCGCTCGATACCGAAAACAAGTAAGTTATGCAGACTTTATCCTTTATATGATCCCGACCTCCGGATATAGTCCCTAACGATTCTTCGAGAAAAAGAACGGAGGTCTTGAAAAACTCCCACGATTGACTCGAACGTGAACTTTATTGGTCAAGCACTTGAAACTACTACCGTTACTACGTATAATTAGTCAAATTTTAAAAATTATCGTCTCCGGTGTACCGCGAGGGCATTTTGAAACCCTATTGAACCCGAAATTAGCCTTGACATGTGAGGCCCAAATGGACATGGTAGCTCGGGGTAGTATTGAAAAGGTGGTTACAAATAACACCAGACGTTGAAATGACAGAGTTGTTAACACGATCAAGCGACATGACTGAGGCACTATACGAAGCAGTAGCCCTTTTACGGTTCACCTCAGAAACAGAAAAATCATCCCACTGCACCCTATCATAGTCGCTCATATCTCCTCAAAATCTTGTACGGAGTAACAAGCTTCCCAAAGAGATGCGCATCACCGGGCTGACGCAGGGTGTTGTCTACAGCTATCGTCGTAGCCACCCTGATACCATCGATTTTTCCCGGCTGTTGTTGTCCTTCAATGAGATTCTCCTCAGAACCATTCCTAGTTTCATTTACAGTCGTTATCAGATCGCGTTCTGCCATGCCAGTAATTGACTTTTTCAATGGGCGACCACGTCGGTTGGCAGACCGGTCGTTAAACCCTTTACTGGAACCACCGGGAACGGATGAAGAATTCTGTGTCCCCTTAGCCAACTCGGGTGCTGAGTGGTACGGGTGCTGAGTGGTAAGGGTTCTCGGACAATTTGTAGCCTGCACTGCCATTCGAGTACCCAGAAAGATCAATTACCCGCGAAAAGAGGGCTTTCATAGCTGGCAAGTTCACGGCAACCACAGCTGACTGAATCTCAAGCGCGGCAACAACTACCATATTGCCGAGGATATAAGAAATATAATCGGTGCTTCCAAGCTCTTTGAGTACAACGAAACGACATAGAGCAACAATGACGGCGGAGGCACCGAAGCCGATCACACTGAGAACGGCCATTTTCCGGCGAAAGGGCATTTGAAGCGACATGACAGTGGGAATTGGAAGGAATAGAATAGCCAAATCAGTTATTGTATTCTATTTATAGTCAATGAAATGAAAGCCGTGGGTCAGAATTAGTCATTAGTGAGAAATTACTTACCAGAGCTGATGGCAGCATCAAGACTATATCTTCCTCGATACATTTTGCATCTGGATAGTTTTCAGGATGTAGTACAGCATCAAATGGGATATATTGCAAAAATGCTAGTAGCCAGTTTGTGATGGTGACCATGGTGTTGAGAGCCATGGTACCATAGACCAGTCGTCGGAAGTTGGCGTCTGGGGAGAGACGAAGATAGAAAAAGAGAAAAGACATCTTGATGGTCCAGTGAGTAAACATATAAAATATTTCTTCGACGATGAGCCACTGTATTTGGAATCAGATCTGTAAAGGAGAACGGGCGTAAGATGAAGGTGGCTTGTCATGAGCAAACCTTTTCGATATTGTAAATTTGATAATCGTTCAGAGTACTCACGTGTCTACAGCAATTAGAAACTTTCCCCTTATCCGGCTTGATACAATGGATCATTGATAACTTACAGGCCACAGCCGTAATGCAAGAATATGTACAAGATGGTCTGCTGCATGGTGTTGACCAGCTGAAGAAATACGCGTCAGCTTCAGCCCAATTAGCACCCAAAAAGGTAGAACCTCGAGTCTTCGCTTACCAACAAAAGTAATGCCGCAACATCGTCGCGGCCAAAAGTCCTTAACAAGATTGCTCGACAGTACAATCGCAAGAAAATTGAGCTAGTGCCAACGGCAAACGCAAGAGATATAACGATGTAGGCAACAGGTTGTAAGTTACTGATTGCCATTTTTCTCAAGCGTTGACAGAGAGAAGTCAGTGTTGAGATAATAAAATTGAACAAAAGCAGCATGTTAAAAGGAAAAACCTCCCCCTATCTCTATGACCGTTGAGTACTCCCTGCAACCGAAGACAATCCATCTTTACCGTTTCCCGTCATCCCTTCACTTTCTTAGGAAATGATCAGACAATTCTACGAAATTGTAAAACTTCCCACCGCTGATATCTTACTTTTTCAAGCTTTAGCTGCGTCAAGTTAGAAATCGACTACGTACTCCTTGAAATACATCCAACAGACAATTGTGTCGATCTTAAGAACTTGACGAGATATTTTGGTAGGCATCGATGAGAACGGGCTTTCGAATTTCATTATGAAACTGTCTAACCCTTTGCGGCTATCGCTCGAAGTGTCAACCACCCATAATATTCAATATGTTGCAGTTAACTCGCTCAGTATTAATAAATACCTGGTATGACAGCTGGACCGCTTCAAGCTGGGGCCGCTTGTCGAATAGGAATCTTGCCGATTACAACATTTATCCACTAGCTATACAATGCTACTTTTATGACCGATGTGGATACGACCAACATCTATGTCGTTGTGCGTAGTTTTCGTTTCTTCTTGTCCCGGCTGCAGCCCAGGATGCCGTTAAAGAAATTGGAGGAAGGCCCTGCATTATTCCCTACCACTTTTCTCTTCTTCTTTTCAACTTCTCGATTTCCTTGCTCTTCTTAATTYCCCCAAGCGCCTCTTCTCAAGCCATATTAAACTGCTTTTCCAGTTGCATCTTAATCTGATTCGTAATGGCTACCTTAGCCATCCACAGTCTGAAAAATGCTCTAGAAGCAGACCTCATATCAATTGCTATCTCAATGGCCATACTGGCCGCTACATTGCATTGGTTTGTTTTTCGTATAACTACCGTTGAGAATTATCTTGCACCTTTGCTATGGTTTATCTCGTGGCAATGTCCATTGTTGGCTCTGCATACTTTACTATAGCAAACTTTTCGATCCTCCAAACGCTGTTTCGGCTTACTGTAGTTGTGACATCATTCAATGGTGGTTTGATTCTCAGCATTGCAGTGTATCGACTGTTCTTTCATCGTATCCGTCGATTCCCTGGTCCCCTCTGGTCAAAACTCAGCCGATTCGCCGATGTAGCCCTGGCGGCTAAGGAGGCGAAGTATTACCGCGAGGTAGCGACGATGCGTGAGACTTACGGTGATTTCATACGAACTGGTAAATGCATTCTCTTTATTTCCTCTCCTGCATTTGAATTTTCGCAACATGAAATATATCAACACCTGAATAGGCCCCCGAGAAATTTGCATTGTACGCAAATCTGCCGTTTCACTTATCTATGGCCCACAATCTTCGTGCTTGAAGACAACCTGGTATGCCCAAGTGTCTCCAAATCCTAAAAAGTGCTCGATTCATATGACCCGGGACTTTGATGACCATCGCAAGAGAAGAAAGGCATGGGATCGCGGCTTCAGCATTAAAGGTATATCTATCGCTTCCCTGATCGTCCCTCTACCGAGATTCAAAAAGGCTGATCTGTTCGCGTCATATAACATTGTCAACCTACGAGCCCCGGATCAAAGCCATGGTTGATTTATTTGTTTCGCAAATCCAGGCCAATGAACACTCTCCGCTGGACGCAACTGCCTGGTCGATGTTTTTAAGCTTCGATATCATGGGTGAAGTTGATTTTGGCAAGGATTTCAAAAATTTGAGGACAGGAAAAGAGAACCCAGCAATCCAGGCTATACATGAGCATATGACGATTCTGGGTGTGCTCAGCCACGTGCCGTGGATGTTGTATCTCATATCCAGCATTCCAGGGGCAACGGCGGCCTATGCAGGCTTTTTCAAATGGTGTGGAAGTGAAATTGACTCGAAGCAGAAGGTATATCATATTTTGCCATGCTTTTTTCATCTCAAGGTACATAGCGACTTCCACGGTTGTTTGCTAAAGTTTGTTGTTCCAGACGTGGAATCCAGATGACTACCCACAAGACATTGTATCCTGGCTGTTGAAGTCATATGTTGAAAAAGATATATCGGCGTCGCCTTCGCTCGAATCTCTGCACGAAGACTCGCGTGTAGTAATTATAGCTGGGAGGTATGCGTAAAATACACTGCGATTAGGCTTCTTTTCGAATGCTGACACTGCTAGCGAAACTACGGCCACAACTCTCGCATCAATCTTCTTTTACCTCGCTAAATACCCCGCCACGCTCAAAAATTTACAGAGTCATTTAGATAAAGCACTTCCACGTGGTGCTTCAGAATGGTCGTACGAAAAGGTCAAGTCCGTCACCTTTATCGATGACATCATCAATGAAGGCCTCCGTCTCAAGCCAGCCTTGTTAATCGGCGGATACCGCTGTACACCAGCACAAGGTCTTCAAATTGATGAAGTTTATATTCCTGGTGATATTAATGTGTTTGTGCCCATGCAGTTGATCCAGACTGATGAACGATACTATGCAAATGCTCGGGAATTTATTCCGGAACGATGGGGAGAGCGAAAAAAAGAAATGGCTACTAGTGACGCTCCCTTTTTTCCATTTTCTCTAGGTTGGTCTTATTTTCCCTTCTTCACCACATTGAATAAGAAAGTAGCTGATATATTGTGATAGGTGCATACAGCTGCCCTGGCAAAAACTTGGCCCTTCAGAGTCTGAGGATTGCAATCTCGATCATTGTGCAGCAATTCAACGTCAGTTTCGCAGAGGGAGAAACCGGTGAGGACTTTGACAAAAACGCACTTGATACATTCACCACCACGCTGCCTCCTCTAAAGCTCCAATTTTCTCGTCGTTGAGAATTTAAAGGAGTGGCCCATGAATGATTACCCGCACATTGAACCCATATTCCCCCCCCCCGAGTCAATTGATTTTTAAGTACGACATCTATGGATAGATCTTTCCTAACTTTTGGAAAATAAACCCATGAGAACACAACAAGATTTCATACCTAGATACACTTCCATTCGGTGCGGTGGAGGTAATCGCTAAGTAGTAACTGTCACTCCGGATTTTATCCACGTACGGGTCCCCAAACCTTCGCGTACTAGCTTTGCCATTGCCAAAGCCTGGCTGATTCCCATGCCATGTCCAACCTTTTCTAGGCACATGATTGCCCAGCTCTTGAGCTGTGGCGAGGCAATCTCACAGTCAGCAGCCTCGAATAATGGCCAAAATAAGACATGTCCAGCTGCAATACCGATCCCATTGATGTTGACGGAGTCAATGTGTGATGGACTTTTTGAAATTCCAAAATGGTAAGGAACACTAGCACACACGTCTTCAATCATTGATATCAAAAAACGCCTACTTCTGGTGGCCAAATTAGAGTATGTAAAGGGCTGTGTGGAAAGCCTGGTATCAGGATCAGTCTCGATGTGTAATTCACAGTTATCCAATATGATCTCGTGAATGACCATTCGAGCAGTCCGCCAATTATTCCATACTGCGCAGGAAAATAAATTTTTGTATATGTGATACTTATTTCCGTAAGTACCAATAACACAACTCATTTGATTGTGGCTTTCCGCAGGGAAGTTGAGCGTCTCGTATCTAGAATCGGACTTAATGCGACTTGCCCATGCCTGCATTTCTGCGTCAAGGGTAAGCGCAAAACTAATCCTAGCGGCAGGATCATCAATGATGCCCTTTTTGATGTTTGCACAGAAACTGGATAGTCGAATAGTAAGTGTGGCTAATTCATCTGCATATCGGGATGTTGGTTCCTCTAAATTGCAAGCCTTTTCGCATAGTGCAGCGAGTACTGCGGAGGTGTAACTCTCCTGGAATATATTGTGCAGTATCTTTTGACGTCAAAAACCGAGTCTTCAATGGTTCTTACGTAAGGTTGTTGTGTAAACTTACTACCTGGGTTCGCATTAGGCGGAAGAGATGCAACCCTCGAGGGCTATGAAGTTGTTCTTCTCCACGCCACTCAAGCAGCTTAGCTGCACCTTGTATATGTTTCATCCATCGATAAATAGACTCTGGATCATTGAAGGTGACCACCTGGGTAAGGTCTTTAGCTTTCGACTAATAATAATGCTAGAAATTCAGAACACGACTGACCTCGAACATCCCCAGAAACATGACTGCCATCAAAATGTGATCGGTCTTTGACAATATAGGATCCATGATACCCTTATTTGTTGCTGATAATGCTTTGATATATTCTTCGCGAGCCGCTAACATTAATGGAGGGCTCATTCTCATGTTTGCCATGGCAGACAGTCCCAAGGCGGTTATAGCCGAGGTTAATGCAATGTCGTCTTTTCGCAGTGTGTCGTCACCATATAACCATAACCAGTTTTGAAGGTAATTCTGATGCACAAAGCACACAGCTTGCTCATGCATCGCTATGGATAGCCCAGGCCTAACACTTTTCCTCATATAATATCCTTCACTTTGACCGCGAAGCGAATGATCCTGTTTCTGAGTCCTATGTCGAATCGCTTGTTGATTTTCCACTTTACGACCCACATCTTCACTTTCGTCTAGAAATAGAAGCGAACGCAGGTCCCGATAGCCTGGACACTCTACGTGCGCACGAATGCATTGCGAGCACGATGGCTTTTCCTGACTACACTGTGTAACGTTAATTTTGCTGTACTCCCAAAGGCCGATGTCTGGCAGCATAGAATACACAAACCTTAAGTGCCCTACTTCTACAACGGCCGCACCTAGGACTAGGTTTACCTCTATACACCATCCCGCTCGGCGGCTGAAACAACGAATGGAAGGTCCGAATAACAGTAATTTTTGCGTTTGGAGGCTGACCAGTCTGTACCGATACAGCTGAAAGTAGTATGCAGCTAGTAGCTTCGATCGATATGCATCCGTCGAAGGATAGATTACGGTGTTGATGCAGGTTATATGCCATTTTAATTCTCCAGCCGTCAGCGATGTGGGCAGAATGGACTATTCCAAATCGGGTATGCTTCCAGTAGCGCCGAAAGTGGCGCATGAAGCGGGAAACAAACAGCACTGTGCGGGGAGACCCCGCTGGGACAGTTGGCCAATTAAAGCGCAAACCTGGTGAGTTACAACATGGACTAAGGCAGAAAGATTTCTCCTCATTCGAGCTCATTCGAGGCTCACATTAGAGTCTCGGTCGGGTGAGATCCAAGAATGGATGTGTAATTCTATAAAGAGCCTGTCGTTAACCTTATTCCGGTCGTTCTAGCGTAACGATATCATTAGGAAACCTTGAATTTGAACTCAGCTAAGGGCTAGCTCCATTTGATTACATGCCTTTTGTATGCTACGTACTACAGTATCACTATCAGTCCTGGCTCTATACTAGTTGAGCGTGGAATTCAGTTTTATATTTTACGCATCTGTTGACCACCTTGCGTCATGATATTATGCACCAACCTAGTCAATGTCGAGATAAAATTGTCAACCAATGTTGACATGGATGGAACATGGGTACGCATACAACGTTAGGAGTGAACTGAAAAGCGCCTAAACAGGCAATGGTTTGCTTGGATGTTGCAGAAGAGCTTCAGCTAAGTAAAAATTCGATGCTGGAAAGTATCAGATCTTGCCACCACCGGCATAGCACTAGATGGGAAATGCGAACCAAGTTTTTCGCCACAAAACAATAGACTCATCAGTCTTGATGAGAGGACCTTTGTCATGGAGGCGAGAGGAATTAAAACAGTACCTGAATGTCATATCAGCATGAGATTAGTATGATCTATTGCCTCAAATGACAGAGAAGAGAACCGACGTGAATCCGGAGTAGCCAGAACCTCAAGCTCTCCATCAAGGAAGGATCGCAGTCGTTTTTGTAGCACCGGATGTAACCGTAAAATTTGAGTCAGTCCGTTGACATTGAGACCTTTTCCATACAATCGTGGCCTGATGATATCGACCTCGTTGTGATCAAAGTTATTCAGGGTATGCTTGAAGCTGAACATCTAACAATGCATGTTGGCATGTTCACTCTTCCAATAATCCTCCTCCAAACAGTCTTTGCTCTGAAAAGGGCTATTTCCTTATATCTGCGTATACCGCTCGCTGAGATAGCACTGGCGTGTCGCTCAATTCAAGCAGTCTCTTTCTGTCCCCGGCAATGATGATTGGAGGCGTGCTCTATGGTTTGTAGTACCTGCCATTGCTCTTCCCATCAGGTGGTCAGTGAATTTTCTACCCCCATCCTATGCTTGCAGGTTAGGGAGGACACACAAAATCGCGAATTGCGGATCTCAGCTTTGAATTTGATGATACGGCGGAAACAATGTGTTCGGCAAGTTTCGAGCTCTAGACAGTCAGTTCAACTCTTTTCAGCATCATCAACTTATCCTGAATTTGAGGACGTGTTCATGCCTGTAGAGCAAAGAAGAGCTCAGACAGAATCAATCCTATTACGCTGACCCAAAATAGCCATGTTGTGAAATTGTCAAAGTCCATGATAACTAGATGTCGGATTTCGGGGTTTGACGTTGAGAATTCAATTTAAACTGCCAACGAGTGTGTCCATATGAGATAATAGAGATGAAATACACATCTCCCTTTATTATATGGTGGAAACTATGTTCGCATCCATGACTATGAGCGGAGAGCATGACTGACGTGACGGTCCGAATTGAGCTTTCTACACAAATCTCCTTAACTAATGTCAAAACATACTGAAACGGTAGATTTACATCGATCCGTCGACATAATCATCCTTGACCTTGACGCATAACTGACAGGCTCTCAAGTCTAGACCATTACAAATACCGCCCCATCTCTGGCTAGGCCCCAATACTGAAGGGGCTTGTACATTAGGGGTATTACGGTATCAATCGCTGATAGCTAGACAGGGTATGGAGTACAAAAAATATAATTATAGACTAAGGTAGATCAACTAGCATAAAGGTAAACTAATAACTTTCCTCCTGCAAACTACCACCTAGAATAATACCTCCGAGGCTATACAGGGTTCACAATTTATCCAGCCCAGTACCCTTGGCGACACCCCTGTCCTATAATGATGAACAAGCGATTATTAGCTAAAGCCTGTGGCTCGTATTTGTATATCATGAATTGACTACCTACCATGATGGATGCTGGCAGGTAGCTGGACCCGAATTTGGTTTCACTGGCATTATTGCCACACCAGAATTTACCCATGACGCCCTTCGTAATCTGATCGACGACTTTGTTGCTGTAAGCCATTAGGGGCATTCGGTCCACGCCATCTTTACCTTGAGCCCGAGACGCAATGATATCCTCAATTGAACTGTACAAAGAATCATCAGGCAACTTAAAGTCTCCAAAATAGGTCTGACCCTGTGATTTCACAGCCCCCGTTACGATAGATAAGACTCCAACATTGAAAGGGCCGAGCTCCAGACGGAGAGTCTCAGCAATGATCTCAATAGATCGCTTTGAGGCAGCGTAACTTCCTGCTCCAATGTATGTGGGTTGGCTTTCAGAATAAACATGTCCATATCCACTGGCCGGATCTGCATGCGCCAAAGCAATATGGCAGTGGGGAATAGACGATGAGGTTGCGTGGCATAACACAGTACCTTTAGTGCAAATGGGATTTCACTTACCCATCCAGGGAACATTGATATAGCCCGAAATTGACGTGATAAAGACAATCCGGCCTTTGGCCTCAATGAGAAATGGTGCGAAGGCCTGGGTGACTGCCACCGGTCCCCAAACATTAGTGTCAAAAATAGCCCGGGTGGCGTTAAGGTCTTCATCTAGAATGGGCATGAAATGGTTACGCCCTGCATTATTGATGAGATAGTCTAGGGTGCCACCCGTTTGATCACGGACTACTCTAGCAGCTGCAGCAATTTGATCTTTTTCCGTCACATCTAGCGCTAAAAGCTCGACATTGGAGAGGCCTTCCAGCTTGGACATCTTTTTGACATCTCGAGTAGTGGCAAAGACAAGGTAGCCTCGTTGCTGTAATGTCAACGCAAGCCCATAGCCAATACCATCGTCACTGCACCCGGTGATGAGGACGGACTGCTGAGGCATGACGACCAAAACGAGAAGGGGTCAAATAAGAACGAGTGAGGAAGGGAAAAAGGAGTTTAGACTTTCGTGCTCGCTAGAACAAACCAAAGGGCGACTGAGTATGATTTGAAGAAGAAACAAAAATCAACTTAGTAGAAGTAAAGGGTTTTAGGTGATAAAATATATTTGCTGTCCGATGTTTCACTAGAAAATGACTATCATCCGACCGGTCCACTGTTCAATGTTGAGGTTTGAAGTACAAAACTGCCTGTAAATAAATGTGCTGGCTATTACTCTCAATCATCCACATAGATCATCTGCGGGGTTGAGAGAATTAGAAGCTAGGGGTGTAAGATAAAAGGCAATTATCCTGACTGGTCCATCCTTTAACCCATCCTGATCCCTGCAGCAATCTAAGCCCAAGCAGGAGGATATACATGTATCTGGTATGTATCGGCGAATATTCGTGGGCATTGCGATGAAATAGGCGAGGTGATGCCTTGAGGTAGATGGTGGCTCAATGGGTGCCTCAAAGATAAGTAATTTTACTGGGTCCTGACATGGTAGAAATATCTATTTTTATATATGTGGCTATGCAGTGGTGCGTTGCATGATTATAAGTCTGTCTTGCGTTCGTTTAACTAAAAAAGGTCGCCAAAAACACTACTACAGAGACTAGGTGACGGATCAGACGGCATTTAAACCATGTCGATTACCCTGGTCGATCAAGGCCGCCGTACTGTGGGTAATTTCTTCCACTCGCCAGTACTGGGACTTGTCTGGTAAGGCACGCAGCAGCCATTGATCGGAGGAATCGTTGGCGAGGCCGGCGTGAATGCGCTTACCTGACCCAAGCCGGGATGAGTGCGAGGAAAGCTGGCTCAGAGCGCTGCCTTTGGTGCGGAAAAAGAGGACCATAGATGGCATGCAGCTTGCTGTAATCCCGACACACATTTCAACCAAACACAAGATGAGCACAGGAAGCGTATAATAATTGAAATCATCTACCATGTAGTTTCTTGCCGGAGAATGTTCAGCTTCGCATCTCAGCTAACCCAGTGCTCCAGTAAAAAGAGTCGGAGCTCTAAGGAACAGTTCGCCATCACGATAACTGGTAAGTCCATCTATGTGCTCACCAATCCGAGGATGTAGCGGAGACGTATCGCCACGAGGATACTCTGTCGATGGACCTGGTAGTGAGGGATTTGTACTCACGCACTGGAATTTCGATGGCGTAGGTCAAACGGCTTTTTACTGCGAGTGCGGAGTCGCCGCACAACAAGGGATTGCCTCGTCCTCTCCACTATGTTGATATGTCGATGGAATACTTTCGTCGGCAGCTGTCACCGGGGGAGTCGCTTGATCGCTGTTTTAATGAGGCTGCTCCTCCTGCAATTATGAAGGCAATTTCGACGTACTCCCACCCATCCGGCAATCCTGCACAATGACGGTGGCTCTCTCGTGGTCTCGTTGGAGAATCATTGTATTGATGCTTTTATCAGTGGCGTGATAGTCACTTACTACGGTCCAAGTATCTGGTAAGTGAATCCCCATTTCGTGCACTCATTTATGAAATGGGAACGGCTGAACTGGAAGTACATCTTCCAGCTGCCGAGTTTTCTCAGCAAGGTCATGCTGGATGCAAGAAATGAATTGATCGACACGTTCGTCACCTACTTTGAAATAGACCGTATCCAACGGAATTGCGGTAATTTCTTTGTAGATTCAGTGGGAAAGTGCTTCGAGAGGCAGAAATGGGAAGTGAGGAGATTGAAACAATATTGTTCTTGTACTCTTGGGTGTACGCCATCTATTCCTTCATTGGTATTGTTCTGGCCCAACTAGATGTTTGATGGTAGCTAACTCAATTTGTAGAATTCTAGGCAACATGCATAAGACCGCGTTCTGGATTATGTCACATCTCATCTACGACCAGAGCTTACTTGAAGCAATCCGCAGTGAGGTTCTTCCGACCGTGAATAGAGGGGAGATCAATCACGAGCATCTCTCCAAGAATTGCCCATTGCTTGGCTCGCCTTACGCAGATGTCCTTCGCGCTATACTAGGTAGTCCTATGGTGCGCGACATATTGGAAACCACCACAACAGCGGGAAAGACGCTGCGAAAAGGAGACCGGATCTTGGTAGGCAATATTAACATCACTAGCACTTCCAAGCTGTTACTGACTATATGCGCCCCCTATGTAGGTATCATATTGTCAGCTTCACCTGAACACTGAAGTTTGGGGATCGAGTCCCGAGTTGGTGCAGCCTGATCGGTTTTGCAGGATAAAAACCTCAAGACGAACATTAGTCACAGACTATTGGGAGGCGGCAGCACGCTCTGTCCGAGTAGATTCTTTGCAAAGAAGGCCATATTTACCTTCATCGCCGTGCTGCTGGTTCGGTACCCGACCATTCACATCGACGAAGAAATAAGAAACAAAATACATCTAAAAACTGTGGTCTAAGGTTAGGCCATTTCCCCCGCTCTACGAAAGAAAGCCATACGGCTCTTGCTCTCCAAATTCCAGTCTGCTGTTGGGGCAGACCGACTGAATTTACAATAATTTTTTTTGTGATTTTGAAAATGCTGTCCTTATCCGAATCGTATCGACGTTGTTTGTAAAGAAGGTAGTTCCAAATGATGGACCAGGCCCGTTAAGAATAGCCTCGTGAAGTCAACAGTGACTAGTATAAGATCGCTTGTTTCTCTGCGACAAAGACTGGATAACGTATTGAATGCTTAGAAGTACCAGGCTGCTGTGTCGGTAAACGCTTACTGAGCTGCTCAGTGAGCATAAGACCGGACTGAAATCTACTCAGTGAGCCGGAACGTGAGCGCCCTCACAAAAGCGGGGCAAGCTGGAACAGGTAAACCCCACCCGGCAGGGAAAACATAGTTGGTATAGTTACCTAGACACGTATATTGAGCTAGAATTAACCGGATGAGAGAGACAGCTTTTCCAAAGATTGATTGGTTTGCATTCCGAATTCGCTTAAATTGCACGGAAAAAGGAAATTTCGGAGGGAAAATACTTACCAGGTTGGGGTTATAATTCAAGAATTCCCGGTCCTTCCATTTCATAAGGCATGCGCCTTATCTCGACCAAGCTCTGATTCTGGGCAGGTTTTATTATCTCAATTCTCTAGTCACAGCCTTTAAGCTCAGTCCTTTTCAGCGGTCATAATTATATACGTTACCAATATAACTGAAATGGCATCGTTAAAAGTGGCAAGTCTGTGGCTCTTGGTAGCCCTTGCGACAGAACAGGCCACCGGATTCGGGCTACCGGACGTCCTTGTCAAGGACGTTGTTATTATTGGCGGAGGTGCATCTGGTGCCTACGCTGGCGTCCGACTGCGAAATGACTTCGGCAAGAGCGTAGCAATTGTAGAGATGCAAGACAGACTGGTAAGAAAGGCTACACAACTACTACGAATTGAACGTTTATCAATCACGTGAGATATTGACATAGCTCTTTTATATAGGGTGGTATGGTCAACACTTATGTTGATCCTGCTACAGGCATTCCGTATGACTACGGTGTTGAGTCCTTCCTGGATCTAGGCAACGCAACGGGCTTCTTCGATCGTTTTGGCATTGAAACGGCCCCTTTAAGTCAAGCAAACGTCACCACCGAATACATTGATTTCAACACTGGGGCGATTGTTAACCTCACCTTACCCTCCTTCACCGATGAGTTGGCTGCTTTTCAAAAATTCATCGACGTGGTAGAGCCATGGACGGACTTTTTACAACCAGGCTACTGGAACTTCCCCCAGCCAGCCGATATTCCCAATGATTTGCTCGTCCCGTATGGTGATTTCATTACTAAATACGGACTCGAGGATGCGATTCCTTTGATCTATGAGACAACAGGGCTGGGTCTCGGAAATATGACTCAGGCAACGACCATGTTCGAGCTACAGGCGTTCGGCACATACATGGCACAAGCAATAGTCGGCCAGCTTAACTCCTACCATCCTGCCACTGGGGGTAATCAAGCGCTCTACAACGCTATTGAGAAGGACTTAGGTAATGATGTGTTGTACAACAGCACAGTCTTGCAGAGTCTACGTACCACCTGGGGGGTCTTTCTAACGGTCCGAAATAATGCCACTGGCCAAATCACCCTCATTACTGCCCGACAGCTCCTAGTCGCCATCGAACCTACTACGCAAAATATGGCCCCGTTTGACCTAGACGACAACGAAAAAAATATACTTTCAAAGTTTACCTACACCAGGGAGTATTCTGGCATTGTCAATAATTCGGCCTTTGCCGCACCGATGTCGTATGCCAATATGGCTGCTGGTGCTGCTCCGGACAACTACCTCGTTTTACCGAATGCTCCATTTACAAATACAATTAGCTACCTAGGAGGTGATAACCTCTTTCATGTTATCATTGTCGGTGACGATACGCTTGATGAGGCCGGGGCGAAGGCTTTGATGCAGCTGAATTTCGAAACGTTACTCAAGGCCGGCAGGCTAAAAGAATCCTACAATGGCCAGCAGATCAACTGGGTTGCATTCTCAAACCATGGACCGATGCACGCGCGTGTGTCTGTAGAAGACGTTCAGGGAGGCTTCTTCCAGGATCTTAACGCACTGCAGGGACAAAGATCAACTTGGTGGACAGGAGGCGCCTTCTCTTGTAACTTCCAGACGACCTTGTGGGAGTTTGATGAAACTCTTATTCCGAAGATTATTGCCAACCTCGATTGAAAATGTTTCTTTTATAATAAGGTTGCATAAATTGAATGCAACAAATTTATATCATTGGCTTTCGTTAAGAAAGCACTATAAATATAGATATATACACTAACGTAGTATCTTATTCATAACTCCAGCGCAAATATGAGCAAACACTAAGGTAGGTAGATAATAGTAGCTATTCATGAATTGAAGCAGACTCCACAAATGGTCGTGAATCTTGACATAATATGTGTAAAGACCATAGTAATTCGATGAGATGATGTTTGCTTCATACTATATCAGTATGAGAGCAGTTTGCTCCACCAGTGGGCCTCAGGGACGCATAGCTCAAGAATTATCAGAATATCCTCCGTTCGACTTCTTTGCAAGTCTCCAATACGCTTCACTCCGGCGCTGCCTGAACGACTTTCCCCATATGATCATAACTACAAAAGCAAGGCAAGCGGCTAAACCCACGAATGCGGCGGATATAAAACAATTTTGGTACCCCATGTTGTCGATCCATGGGGTAATACCATAACCAATTGCAAAAGACATGGTGTTGCGTACAATAATGACTGTTGCCATGGCCTCTCCGCTGATTCCGTGATAACTATCGATGAGATAATTAACACTAAGTGTTATTCCAGTAGTACTACTAAACGATAGCAGGAACATCGCCACGATCAAACCAAACCAGTGTACAGCATGGGCTGCTCCAACACCCCAAAGAATCAGAGCTCCAGGGACAATTGCAGTTGTAAGAATGAATGGGTATAGTCGTTGCTCTGCCTCCATAATACCGTTGTTGCGCCGAGCGAGTTTGATGGTAAGATAGTCACTGAACCGCCCCGTGAAGAGAGCCCTAGATGCGAAGTTAGTCAAGCCAAAGCGGACAGACAGAACCTAACTCACGCGGCGATAACGCCCAGACAGCAAGAAACATAGCTTAAGCCTATCATGGAGGAGCTAAAGTTATATGGGGCCCCCCCAAGGATGATTGACGCTGTCGCATTCATCACGTTGAACCATATCAGATAACTACCGTACGAGAATCCAGCGTAGAATATAACGGGCCAACTGAGATATTTCAAAATCTGGACTGCTGATTTGAACGGATTCTCCCCAGCACATGTCTGCCACAATGAAAGTTTCTGAATAAAGGTTTTCGTAGTACTGAATGAAGTTACTGGCGCGTCATCAGTCGTAGTAGCAGAATTGGGTTTTTTTTCATCCCCTTGTTCAGATATCGCAGGTTCAAAAGTTTGCACCACGCCGACATATGGGCGCTGATAGTTGGTTTCTTCCATGAAGAGAAAGAGAAACACGGTCACAGCTGCAGACCAGATGGCGGGTACGTAAAAGACCCATTTCCACCCAGCATGGTCGGCAATAAATCCACTGATGACAGGTGCAAAGAACGCACTTCCCGAAAGCGTTAGGCTATAAAAACCCATGTACAATCCGCGTTCGTGGGTAAAGTACTGCGCTGCGTCAGCTGCATGTTGAAATGTATCCATTCGTAAATGACACTCACCACATCAGTAACGGAAACTTCTGGCAGGGCCTCAATAGGTGCAGCCAGAATTCCCGATACCACGCACTTTGCAATCCACTCTCCATTACTATGGGCAAAGGGACTCCAAACCAAGCACGCCACGGTGCCGACCATCGATATCAGGTAGGTTAATCTCTTTCCATATCGCAAAGCGAATGGTTGCCAGAATAGCAAGCCCCAGCCGCAAAGGAGAAAAACATATCCAGTTCCTAGCCAGATATTTAGTCAGGGGACATTCAACAAAGGGGGGGCGGGATGTTGCTACTAACCGGCATTAAGATTGCTTACTGAGACACCACTTGCTTCGGACAGTGGAACCAAAACGGAGGCGATCGCCGCAGATATCAGGCCAACAGAGAAGGTGTATCTTTCAGAATGGATTTAGTCCATTTTCTGAGTAACAGGGCAAGGTATTCAAATGACTCACAGGTTGACGCAGATTGTTGATAACAGCTTGCGACGTGGTGCCCAGTTGAGCGGGTCCTCGGGGTCGGATGAGGGTGTGGGCACAAGCACAATATCTCCATTACCTGAATGCTTCGTCTGCATCGAATGATCGAGATCAATGAGATGAATCGTCCCGGGGACCGAGTCGTTCAGTGTTGTAATCATTATGAAAAGCGAACACAATAGCTAAGAGAAACGCTATGTTCAGAGCGAAACGGAAATGGAAGTCATCAAGAGCAGGCTGCTATACGATATTTATAGCGAGGTATCTTTGGATCAAAAGAGGAAATGCGAACAGCAATCTGAACTTGGCGGTTGCATTCATGGTTGGTAGATAGATTAAGATTCCCTCTCGATTTAATCAAATTGGATAACTCAATTTCCTCGTGGTATCATGGAGAGGCGATAGTCGGCGAGGACTCAAGTGTCCAGAAACATACAGTAAATTTCATTTGTTTGTTAGCACAAAAGAATAAGCAGTCCACCATTCGACAATCTCGCCGACAGGAGCCATGTCAACGCCACAAATCCCAGGCGGAAGGTAGGGGATACATTAATGTGGAGAAGCGATAAGTGTATCGCCATTTTCCCACTTGGAACTGATAGCAAAGTTTCTATAAACGGACTAGTGCTGCAGTACTCCTCCGATTACCACGACTCCGCAAATCATCCAGAACAAGCCGGACAGACCAGAGGCTATCATGGACACATAGATACGTTGGGAAATATACTTTGCCTAGCATCTGATGTATGGTACTCCTGAGTCCTGATAGCAAGAAGCCGCCCTAGTACCTGCTGTTGTTATGACACAGGGCTCGGCAAAAATTCCGCGGTGCTTTTCCCACCATACACCATAGCTGAAGCATCGATTCAGGGTTTGATAGTCAAGTTTCAGCAAGCGTGAACCATCTGCTGATAGCTTATTCTCCTGTGTATGTAACTCTAAAAATATTTGTATATGGCTCTCGATTTTCTATCATCTGGCCAACTCCGGGTGATTGAGACCAAGATACAAACGGCCGACTGCATGATTGAACATTTGACGAAACACCAAGACGATTTTTCGAGCTCCAGTATCATCTTCCTTCTATTACAGGAAGCTTACATGAGAGGACGAAAGAATTCAAAGACAAAATCAATCTTCCTGGGAAAAGATTCGCGATGCGAATGAAGAGATGTTACAGAAATCGATTACATACTCAGGAAGTCAAAATAAAAATTTTGAGTTGGGGGACGCGAACTCTTTCTGCAACTCAGCAGCTTTAAGTGCTTGGTCGACGCGATTTGCTCAAAATTTCGAAGGCAAATATGTCAAAGCTCAAATGCTGCTAGGAGTTGCACCCACTGCGTAGTTTTCATTGTTTCCAATTATTGATTTTCCAAATATTATGTACAACAAGATAGGTAGCTTATCGAAGACAATGCTTTTGAATGCACTAAGCTTTTAAGCTTGAGGATCGTGTGCCTTTGAGGCGTAAGATGAATAATTCAAGGAACAATTCAGAGTCGTTGCAGACTCATCAAAGGTATTAGCATCTAAAACTTAGATTGGCACGCATTCCCCAGGATACCGTTTACTCAAGACCATCCAGTTCCAGTCCCCACCTGAATCCCTTGCTTGCCAGACCCTATTCACGACAAAATCCCTAGTTTGAATTGCCGTACCAGTTTTCCTAGTGCTATAAATTGCATTGAAAATCTCAATGACAATACCTCGATCCTCTTGACTCTGCATCTCGCAGCTTGCGATGAAGGCGGGCCATGTTGACAGTCGTAAGTCATCAGGCTCTCCGTTCAGGTGAACTAAAACTTCGCAGGCCATCTGAAACGCTTCTTTATCAGCATCTACTGAGCTTCCAGCAGGCTGAAACAAGCGGTGCAGCATTAATAGAGCGGCTGTCTTTGTCGCATAAGCGTGTGCTAGCAATCGTCTCGAAGTGCACGCTGACACACCATAATCGATACTTGGACGCCAGATCTGGATTTTGACGCGTAGCTCGTGTGTATATTGTGAGACGGGAGATATGTTTGCCACAGATTGTGAAGCCAGTTCTACATGCTCTTGTTCATTAGCTATGGCGCGCTCAGTGTCTGCTTTTTGGTTTAGGTCTGCTGCTAGTGCGCACAGTTCTTCAAGCATTGGCATGAGAGTAGTGGTGTATCCCATAAATTTATCGGCWTTTTTCTGAGCGTACTCATCAAGCCATATCCTTGTTGGAATGGCATTTCGTGAACATTGACTCAGAGACACCATTATGTCCTGTCTTGCCAGAGTTCGGATGAAGTACTTGGCAAGCGGGCCTAATATTAGATCAGATGCAAGGTAGTTATTGATTATACGCGCCGCATATCCGGTTATAATGGGAAACGTGTGATCAAATGCTTCACATTTTGTGTCGACAATCTGTTAGTAATTAGTACGTAGTCAACAGTTAGTCTCAGGTGTTACTTCAAAAAGTATTTCGTACCTCCATGGCTGCTAGTGCTAATGACATGGTCAGTATTTGCTCCAACTCACGGCTGGGATTCTTCACTCTTAGACGAGCCAGAGTTCTCGCTCTACGGTCCAATGCTAGCGGTAATACGGGAACTTGGCCATCTTCGTTGAGATAGATGCTCCCGACGGAATATAGAGCATCTGCAATGGCGGCGGGGTTATCCTGCAGTACAAGCAAAGTCGCGGCTTTCATTTCATTAATGAATTCAGCGCTTATAACCATCTCAGCCGGATGTCGATCAAAAAAGACGTTGATAGTGGGACCGTCAGCTTCAGAAATTACACCCGGAGGAATTTCCGGTAGTGATCGTGGAAAAAAATCCAGCGATGCTTCTAGAACATGAGGCATATTTGCCATAAGTAGATCCATCTTCTCATTCAGACCTAGAGATTTGGCTTCTTTGGCGATTCTCGGCTGGATATCATATCCTAGTGCGTCTGTTTTATTTCCATTCGACCCAACTGATGAAAATATTGATTCGCGTTGATTCGCGTGCGCAGCGTCATTTGAAGGGGATTCGAGTTTGAGATTTGAACGTGTATAGATAGCCGGTTGTAGTTGCTTTTTCTTACCGGGAATCTTTCCCAGGGCATCGTAGGGGTACCCCTGACAGACACGTTGTCGACGAGCACAGGTGCCACATGAAGGTCGGGCTTCATCGCATCTGATCTTGGCTGATTTGCAATCGATGCAGCCAGCCTTCGATCTTCGTCGGATGTCAAAGGTGTCTGGATTCAATGAGAACACGTGTCCAGTCCAGGGGCCTGTCATGACTAAGATAGTGAAACATGAGTGTAGAGGAGACGGAGCAAATTTATGTGTGATACAGGAAGAGATCGCTACATGGCTCGATGAGTATTAAGCTATCGCTCTATCGTCGTGCAGAATGATGCCGATTAGCGTCGGAAAATCGGCCGATGTGGGTTCCTATGATAGATAAGACGTTCGAGCGTCGAATTTGAACATTGAGGTGGATACTAAATATGTCTCTTCACCATAAAAACTCTTTGTCCTCATCTGAGCCATACCAGTGTTATTGGCGGAGAACCAGCAGAGTTCTATCGAGCCATTGTGGAGGATTAGCCATGTGTGTTTCGCAGTCCACTGAAATTTATGCCGAGATCCGGTTTTCCCAGCTAGTGAGTGCGGGGTAGCTTTTTAAGATAGCATATATACTCATTTAAGACAATGGACCATGCAGCCGAATAGCTACTCCGGACACAATCCTCTGCTGCATGCGCAAAATTCCTCTTCGAGACCCGTTGATGAAAGGAAATTTAGGGTTAGACGTGGAGGAGGCGGCCTGAGGCAAGCAACCCCACTCTGTCGCGCTAGTCCAGAAACGGCCTTATGCTATCTCTCGCTATCTTATCGCTCACTACGGTACAGAAGGACTAAAATTGATAGTGAACCATCATTGGAAAATAGCTTCAAGGGCATGGGGCAGCTGGTTTCAGGTTTCTTGGCTTATTCCATACATATCAGTCTTGAAAAAATCTATCTGGTATTCCCAAACGAGACCACTGTGGATAAAAATTAATTAAGAGTACCTAGACGTGTAGGAGCTATTGATAATAAAAGCATACCGCCTCATGTGTTTTCGTTCACCAGCTGATAGTCAGACTTTCAACAATTGAATCCTAATCTACTTAGTTACCTGGTTTATAATTGCGAAACTCCTGCGATATCCTTAGTATGGGCCCTGTATCTTCTTCACGACCGTGGCAAGAAATTGCAGCCGCGAAGCAAGCTGAGCAATTGTCCCGAATCCCCTCTGAGTGGAGGCTTTCGGATGAAACCCTCAAAGATGCCGCAAATACTGTCGATCTAAGACCGATCGCAACGTCTAGTGGCATACTTTCCCTTAGAGAGCTTAAGATTACCGGAACCTACGACGCAATGGAGCTCGGTGCCGAAATTGCAAAGGGCACATATACTGCTGTTGAAGTTACAACCGCATATTGCAAGAGAGCGGCCATTGCGCAACAGCTCCTGAGCTGCCTGACCGAGATCCGATTTCTAGAAGCCATCGAGGATGCTAAGGAGTTGGATGAAGAGTTTGTAAGGACAGGGAAACCGGTCGGCCGCTTGCACGGGGTGCCGATGACCTGCAAGGTTTATCATCTAAGGCCCAACACCGAAACCACAAGATTAACTTTGTCTAGGAATGCTTCCATCTGAAAGGGTTTGATTCGAGCAATGCCTATATATCCCGATGCTTTGATCCTGCAGCCTACGATTCATACTTAATTCAACTGCTTAAAGCCGAAGGCGCAGTGTTCATTGCGAAATCCAACATCCCCCAGAGCATGTTGGCCGCAGAGGCACATAACAATGTTTTTGGCCAAACCAAAAATCCTGTGGTCTCTCATCTCAATTGTGGTGGAAGCAGTGGCGGAGAGGGTTCAGTATTAGCATATAATGGCAGTGCATTGGGCATAGGCACCGATGTCGCCGGTTCTATCAGGTCAGCAAAATTTGCTTTATACTATTTTCATCATCAGGATATGTAATCATTTGATGGTACTTTCTGAACTGACGAAAGAACAGATGTCCATGTGCAGCAAATGGCGTCTATGGAATGAAGCCTTCTTACGGAATATTTCCCATGATCTTCTATGCGGCATCTAACTGGCCAGGAATGAATACTGGCATCCCGGCTGTCTGTGGACCCATGGGAAAATCAGTGAGAGATTTGAGCCTCTTTTACCGAATTGTCCGTGACGCAAAACCATGGCTATACGACCCTGCACTCGTACCGCAGAGGTTCGAATGCCAAACTATGGATAGACGCCCAGTGATAGGAGTCTTTGCACAAAGTGGCGGGTGCACACCGCMCCCTCCAGTTCGCCGCGCCATCGAGGAAGCCACTACAAAGTTGAAGGAGGCCGGTTTTGAAATTAGGGAATTCGTTCCTCCAAACTTTGCCGAAATTCGTGACTTGTCGCACGAGTTGCTCTCCCTTGATGGACTATCCTACGCCAAAGGAGAGATGGAGAAAGCCGGCGAMCCGCCGGTTCCCTCCGTACTCACGTCTGGTTTCKGGGACAAGCCGCGAAAAACTTTCGAAGAAGCATGGGCTTTGAATGCAAGAAAAATGCAACTCCAAAAGACGATGCTTGATGCGTGGCAGGAGGCGAAGGTCGATATTGTCTTGGGCCCAGCGGGTGCACACACCGCAGTCAAACCTAACGAATGGATCAATTACATGTATACTGTAGCATGGAATGCGGTAGATGTGAATTACCCCTAACCTTTCGAGTTACTTCATCGAAGAACTATCAACTAACAACATGGCAGTATCCCGCCATTATCGTTCCATTCACAACCGTTACCCCCGAAAAAGATCCAAAGGACATGTCTTTTAACCCCCAATCTGCACTAGACGCGCAAAATGAAGCCCTGTGTGAGTTCCATGTACCCAAACCAAATCCTTGCCACTATTCTTTACGCACTTTCTTTTTCAAGGAGAGTAAATGTCTGATTATATTTAAAAGACGACCCAGATCTAATGGCCGGAGCTCCTGTCGCCGTTCAATTGATAGGACCACGTCTCAGTGACGAGCAGTTGTTACGGGACGCCGAACTGATTGACGCTGTTTTAAGGTCTTGAGCATTGACATCTGGAATGAAGGGGCTTCCTCAATTGATGCATATGCCCGTATGACGTCTGGTTTATTCTATGCTTAGGAAAAGATGTGCTGTTTCCGGGGGTGAAGTAGTACAAGTATGCAAAAAATAAAGTACGCGTTGAATCCGAGCAGTTGATCTAACCATGAAGAAGAATTCAATACGATAGTTTAATAGAAAAGGTTCACCATCGAGGCCACGTGAATATTTTCATAAAGGCTGTGTGTTGATCCCTTCACTCATCTCTTTGATACCTCGTTTGTGACGTTGTACAAAGACTTTACGCGCTATTGAACTCCTTTGGTCCGCAGAAAACAACGATCGCTCAAATGCTCTAAGTCCGAATAGTAGCTGCATCCCTAGCTCCCCGACAGTCTAGAAGTCTGGCCGGAGATAAATTCGGAACCACAGCCGATTCATGAATCATGAAGCTCTCTATTGATAGCCAATTGAAAGAGAAGACATCTCCTCGTGCGTGTTGACCCCCACGATTATGACGGGTCGCGCTTCCTAGCGCCAATATAAAGTATTTTAGTATCACATTAACACCGCACGTAGCCTTGTTAAGCACGCCATGCCGACCAAGCCGTACCACAGCAATTTAAACGGTGGAGCACAACATTTTGAAGATTGCTGATTGATTAGATCCGACGACAGGCACGTGGGAACAGATCGAAATCAAGGGAGCAGCGCCTCTGGGCTGTTGTGAACTAAGATAAGTACGGTATAAGAAAAACGTTATCCATATGGATGTCACTTTTTTCTTTTTTGAAAGAGACCCTGTTCCGCTAATCTTATTTTTTTCGCGCATTATGCCCTCTATGCTGGGGTATCTGCCCACCGTACTGGCGGCCGCTGGCTGCGTCGTAAACGCAGCTCCAGCGACAACATCATCTGCTGTCAACACCACGGTGTGCAATGGACAAACATATGTCTATGAAGAGCTGGCCGGCTACGGCTACCTAGCCAGCGATTTCAGGGATCGTTATGGCGACAGCGTCAGTCTTGGATCTTCCATTGCTATTGATAAGAGTACCTGGTCTCAAAAAGGAAACGTCTACGAAGGCGTTATGTACGCTTTACCGGGTAGGACCTCCAGAGACCACAAATTTACGCTCATGTAGCTATTGTATTTAATTTTGAGCCTACTACCGTAAAGAACTTGTTGTGACGCTTGCTAACTTGTATTTGAACAACAGATCGCGGCTGGAACACCAACGGCACCCTCAACTTCCAAGGTCGTATCTACAAATTGTGGTTAACGCTTACCCTGGATGAGAAGGCAACAGTTGAAAAGCCTTCGGGGCCAAATTTAGATATCAAGTATCTAGATAGCATTCTGCTGCGCGATATCTATGGCCAGTATATGACCGGCCTGGACGCGGACGCCGATGGTCCTTATTTGTCCTATCCAGAAATTTTCCCTTTCCCACGATTTCCGGAGGTCCCATCGGCAAGGTATTCTGGCAATGGTTTTGGTGGTGCTGGTGCTGGTGGCTTTCACTTGTCCCTTGATTCCGAAGGTCTGGCGCTTGGGGTAGATGGCACATTCTGGGTTAGCGACGAATATGCACCTTATATCTATCAGTTCTCCGCAGACGGACTTCTCTTGCAGGCTATCAAGCCTCCTGCCGCATTTGTGCCAATGCGCAACAACTCCGTCAGTTTCAGTGCCGACTCCCCGCCAATTTATGATCCAGACCTTGAAATCATTCCTTCTGATAACCCAACAGGAAGAGATAACAACCAGGTAAGTGAAAAATTTTCGATACTATTGTAGAAGTTGCAAGAGTCTTGAAGCTCATGTATCTTTCGTTCCATTTCTTAGGGTTTCGAGGGTCTTACCATCTCGAGCGATGGTACCAAACTCTTTGCTCTCACCCAGTCTGCACTTAACCAGGACGGTGGCACTAAAAAGAAGCAAAGACGTTACGCTCGCCTCGTAGAGTACGATCTCACTTGGACCAAGATTAATCCTACTTATGTTGCTGAGTTCGTTGTCCCATTGCCGCTCTACGACGACAACGCACAGGTTGCTGCCCAATCTGAGATCCACTACATTTCGGACACCCAGTTCCTTATACTTGCTCGTGACAAGAATGCTGGCCACGGACAAGATTCTTCTGAGAGTGTTTACAGAAATGCCGACGTCTTTGATATTTCTGCGGCTACTAACATCAAGTCCGATATCTACGATGCGTATAACGGGACAATTTCACCAAGCGGGGTTTTGAACTCAGATATCACGCCAGCTCAATACTGTACTTGGCTAGACTTCAATGTCAACAGCCAACTGAACCGTTTTGGTGTGCACAACGGAGGTGATCAGAACTCGACTCTCTTGAACGAGAAATGGGAGAGTCTCGCCTTGCTCCCAGTGGATCTTAACGGCAAGAATGAGAAGAACGAGTATTTCATGTTCTCATTCAGTGATAACGATTTTATTACACAGAATGGTAAGACTTTCCCTTGGTTTTCTCCTTCTTCGATTTAACTGTATATATAAAGAAGTAAGTTGTTTCACGTGCTAAGGCTCTATTTGTGATTCTTAGGGTACATGAACTTCGGGCGCTACCGCTATGCTGATGCCAGCGGCTACAACTTGGACAACCAGGCGTTGGTCTTCAAGGTCCAGCTGCCAAGCGGTGCAAAACCTCTTGTCTAGGTATATGACTCAATGGAAAGATGGATAGGTACCTGTTTAGACGGAATCTATTTACATTTCAAAAGAGCCTTTCAGGGTTAGTGTTGGTTTCTTCACTATACTAAAAAGTACAGTGTATTATTAATTAGGATCAAAAAGTGCACTCTATTTCAGTACATATCTTGAGGTAATTGGACAATGTTATCTAACCGGGTAGGAATCAATTATTCTCATCTGAGTTTGTTCTGTTGATCACATGAAGGTGCTTTCACAGGACGCGGGTAAATTCATGGCCGTGAAAATGAGATCATTCCAACCCGGAGTGGAGGGGAAGTTTAGTGAACATAACCAAGGTGGGCCTGCCCCGACTTGGTTTTCGTTTTTCTTTGACTTAAAGAAATGACCAACTTCTGCTCGTAGACCTCAGTAGACTCAAGAAACATTGGAAACTCCATAACGACAAGCGTTAAGCATGCCGTGCCGACCAGCAATAGCCTCCATGTCCCTGGGCCGCGCCTGGGTTCATCATCTGCCTGAAAAGTTGAAGCAGGCATCCGAAGCCGGGTTTGAGGGGATCGAGATATTTTACGAAGATCTAGAATATTTTGCTAGTAATTACGGTGACAACAAAAAAGAAAGCAGTCTGCTGGCAGCTGCGCAAGCCATCCGTGATATTTGCGACGACAACAAATTGACCATCATCGGCTTGCAGCCTTTTTTGTTCTATGAAGGCCTGGTCGATACAAAGGAACACGCATCACGAATTACGAAGCTGAAACTATGGTTCAAACTCGTGAAAATATTCGGAACGGACACTATTCAAATACCATCGAATTTTCTGCAGGAGGGTATTACTGGTGACCTGGATGTGATCGTGCAAGATATGCGAGAGGTGGCTGATTTGGGCCTCCAAGAGTCTCCAGTCGTTCAATTTGCATACGAGAATCTAGCGTGGGGAACTTATATCGATACCTGGGAGAAGATGTGGGAGGTTATTGAACGTGTCGACCGACCCAACTTTGGATGTTGTCTCGACACTTTCAACATTGCAGGCCGAGTCTGGGCTGATCCTGCAAGCCCAGACGGCAAGACACCTAATGCTGAGGAAGATTTGAGACTATCGATGGAAAAACTACGCAGAACCATCGATATACGCAAAGTCTTCTACGTACAGGTTGTAGACGCTGAACAGATGACAGAACCGCTGATCAAAGGACACCCGTATTATGCAGAGGATCAGCCTGCAAGAATGTCGTGGAGCCGAAATGCTCGACTTTTTGTCTATGAAACTGACCAGGGAGGTTATCTTCCAGTTGTCGAAATCGCAAAGGTAATACTCAAGGACTTGAAATTCGATGGTTGGGTTTCAATGGAATTGTTTTCGCGTACCCTTGCGTACACCGAATCTACAATACCTCATAGCCATGCTCAAAGAGGCATTGCAGCATGGAAGAAACTCAAATCAGAACTGGTACTTTAACTTGCGCCTTTTGATTTTTCTTGATCTTACTCTTTGTAGAAGGCAGTCATTTTTTAGTCAAGAATCATCTGTTTTTCACTCTCACCAATGACTAGAGTGAACGAGCCTACCTTCATGGATAAAAACTCTTATATGAACTGACTTTTCACGTAAGAGAATTATAATAAATATCAATATGCGAATATTTAATACTAAGCATTGATAATTCTTATCAAAGTTCACCATCTTTACTTTCTGATTAGTGAGAGACTTGTTTAGCCGGTACTCTACCGAGAAATTCAGATTATCGCATACCAGTAAAATTCTCGGGAAACATAATAACCGATGATGTTGAATCCCGAGAGTTTCTATAATTCGGCAACAGGAGTTAATTTCAAGCAAGATCTACTCAGTTCTACACATTGCAGCCTTTGAAATTGCTACAAGTATACCTTCTCATTATTCCTCCAGAACCATGCCGTCAATCCTTGTCATCAACGGACCAAACATCAACCTTCTCGGAACACGAGAACCTCATTTGTATGGAACGGCTACATTAGCAGACGTTATAAACAACTGCTCGAGAATAGCGACAGAGAATGAGACCGATTTTGATGCCCTGCAATCCAATCACGAGGGGATTATCATTGATCGAATACATGAAGCGCGTGGAAAGGTCGATTACATTATCATCAATGCTGGCGCTTTCACGCATACAAGCGTTGCTATCCGCGATGCGCTTGCTGGCGTGTCAATTCCTTTCATTGAAGTACACATAAGTAACGTGTACGCACGTGAATCTTTCCGCCATCGCGGCTATCTTTCAGATAAGGCAGTTGCTTGTATTGTTGGTTTGGGTATATACGGCTACGATGCTGCGATGCACTTTGCAATCCGAAAGATAAATGAGAAGTCAAAGGAGCAGGCATAACTCCAAAATTAATTCATCTTTCATTGGGAACATCTTTTGGGGGCCATGCTGTTAAGGCCGATACACACCTATGTATGCAGGTCCAGCTAAAAAATTGGGGATTAATATCTATAGGGGAGCTACCTGAAAGACCAACGAAACCTCCGATTTTTGTTATTCTACCATGAAGTCTTAATGGATGTAACAGCCAGATCCGATCCGGTAACTTCTGAGAGAGCCGTTTAACCCAGAGGGTAGTTCAAACTACTAATATGTACATTTAAGAAAAATTGGTAAACAACAATGGAAGATTCATGTTTAATCAAGATCTAAATCCCAGACAATCAAGAGAAACCCCGTTTTGATTTGAGTAACGTGGATTTTGTAAATTACCTCATCTTCTTGGAACATATCGAACTTACGGTCCCATGTCTTACAAGATATGATAAGTTAGGTTTGAAAGAGTCAATAATGCATCGCGACATAAGTTAACATTTCGCAATGCTAACAAAGCCATTTGGCTTTCTATTTGAGTCCTATCTCATTGTCTCGGATTCATGTACACGTAAGGCCTCTGTAATTGCTAGCACCGGGGCACGATATCCTGTCCATAACTCAAACTGACCATATGCTTGTCTTTTCAGTACATCCAGGCCAGAATAGACCGACCATAGTTCCAGTCGATGAGCAACTTGCATCATAGCAGTAATTTTCGGTCGGTAAGCCATCTCCACAAGTACACCTGGCTGATTCGCCGCAAATATTCCGTGAGGTATATCAACCTCAGTAATATAATCTGCGGGGACACATGCAACTATGCAGTTAACTGGCGTTGAAACGTCTTGCAAAGTCCTAAAGACAGAGAACTCTACGGTAGGAAAACTCGAGACCATCTCTGTCGCACGCTCCATGGTGCGATTCACGACAATGATACGTGAGAAACCAAGGTCCCGAAGGGCGTAGATGGCGGCCCTGGCAGCGCCTCCGGCCCCTAGCACAATAGCAGATTTCAAGTAGCTGATTTGGATATCGCTGTTTCGTATGCATTTTTGGATACCGAGCCAATCTGTATTCTCGCCAGTCAATATTTTTTTGGTAGGCTCCTTCTCAGACTCTCTCACTACAACAGTATTCACCGCCCCGATGATCTTGGCATTTTCAGATATAGAGTCTAAAAATGGCTGGATATTCAATTTGTGTGGGTAGGTAACTGACGCACCCCCAAAATCCCTGCTTTGCAAGAGGTCTTCCACTGAGTGATCAAGATGTGGCGTCTCATAAATTGAGTAATTGTGTGGTAGCCCCAGTTCAGCAAAAGCAGTGTTATGTATCACTGGGGACAGTGAATGAGAGATGTTATTTCCCAAGATAACAAACTTTTTGGGTGGTATCTTTCCAATTAGATGTCGAACCTGGTTTATATTTTTAACAGACATTTGTCCGGGAGCTGTGGGAACTGGAAGTAGAGGATGGGTCACGATGGATATTGGCCCTAAAACCCTAGATAGTTGACCCTTTGGTCCCATGCCAACTGCAAGAATAGGCTTTTTACTGCGCTCCTGATGATATCGTACAAATAACATCATTTCGTGGTTGTCGCTCTCATCGGTGTGCATTATGCCGAGTTTGATGATATCTGCAAAACCTCATGTTAGTTATCACGGCGATAGCTGCATATCAAAGGCTTGTCCTTTGAAGTATGACTGATGTTGCTCACCTCCAAATCTCATCGCCTTATAGTAGGGCACATTTAGCGAGGATAGGGTCCATGGGACATTCCCCGTCCAGTCATGGAAAGACGCTATCACTTTTGTTCCTCTATTTTTCCCGATTATATCTGATACCAGAGAATCCGGCCAGGTAACTTCTATGTCGATGTATTCACAGCTGGTTTCTATTGCAACTAACATCAACTCGCGAGCCTCGTCAATTGCGTCATCAGGGAACTTCCCCCCTTGGCTTGCAGTTCGTATCGTGAAAATAATCGGAAGAACTGTCATTTTCCTTAGAGCCTTTATTTGCAAAATCACGTAGTCGACCGGTGGAGTGGATGTAGTAGATGTAGTGCTACTAAGAGAGAGATGATCTACTCTTAGCTCCATAACATCAGCTCCGTACATGGCTCTTTCGAATTGGGCGCAATCAAGTTGAGTCACATCGGGGCATGCCAGAGCAACGATGAAGCTCTGCTTCTCCGAATTGTATCGTTTCGACAATGGATCAGTCGCCGATACTGGTGGGGTCGCCATTTTGGTGGCAGAAGGCCACAATTGTGCAGAATGGGAGTAGTGAAGTCTCAGCTCGCAAATATGTACCAACCCATCTCTTTAATATACAAGCAATTAATCTCCTTCCGGTTCATAAAATAAAAAAAGATAAATCCTTAATTAAGTTTGTTGATGTGATGCTAGCAGTAAAATATTTTACCGATGGTCAATACGGCTCTAATCTTACCCGTCAGTCATTTATCATTTTCAGAACGACCTTCCTATAAATCGGACCTACTTTTTTTTACGAATATTCGCAGACAGGGTCGAGATTAGATTTACTAGAAACTCCTATTCATATCATTATACTTTAAAGTGGCGTGTAAAAGGCACAACCGAGAGACATTGTCATCATGGTTGATCTCCATTCTCTCCCTAAGGACTCCAGACCAAGCCACGCTGTGCGCAACAATGGTCCTGACAGCCTCGCCCTTGAGAGATACAAGCTAAGGGAGCTTGCAGAAGGTTGGCCCATGTACCGGTACGTTTAGTGAATGCCCATTGACTGCAACATAGTGTCAACGTTTGGGTGATTTTGAATTGCTGACACTCGAATGTACATGAAAGCGATGCCTGTGAGTGGGAGAACCTGCTATCTATCTTCCATCCCGATGCATTTATCTACACCACCTGGACCGGCAAAACACATCATCTCGATTTCATCAAAGCGTCTCAGGCTGGTATGGATAAGGGTGTATTCATAATGCATCGAATTCACGGCTCGACTACGGACATTACTTTGGATGCTAAACGCGCTGTGACAAAGATGAAAGCGACTATAACACAAAGATTTGAAATTGAAGGAACTGAGGTTGATGCAGAATCGGACTGCCGGTTTTGCTTCTTTTGGGAGAGGCAAGAATCCGGTGACTGGAAAGCACGCTTTGTTCGTCATTGGTACGAAAAAGACAAGTTGATTCCAGTAAATCCGGCAAAGATTCCCCCTTTAGATGAAGAAAAACTCAAAGAATACCCCATCGGGTATAGGTACTTAGCGTACTGTCAAGAACTTACAATGGGAGTTAAAGTTCTTTTAGATATGCCCGGGCATCGGAGAGAAGGTAGCAACGTCAACGGCAAGAAGCATGACCTTCTCTATTGGCAAGCAAAGCAATGGCTCGACGGAGATTCGATTGACTTATGAACTATGTGATATTTTGTGTATCTTTATTTTAAAAATGCCTAGCTTGGTCCTGAATATGTCCTGCCCGGTTATGATTTACATTTACAGTAAATAGTACAGCATATTACGTAGTCTAATAATTGCTGAATCATAGCCGATCATGGCAGATCCCATGGATGCACAGCATGCAAGGGGATAGATGCAGATGTTGGGAATCCGTCTCCAAAGTCTCATCTGCGCAGCAGAGTGTAGGTCTGGGGCCCTGGGAAAAGTAACCTGTCATTATGGCGAGCGTAAACCTAGGATCTTAACATAGCCGTTGATGTGGACCGGAACAGGAAAGTGTTTTCTAATAACATACAATGTCTGCGAAGAGTCGGAATATTGTTTAATCGATACTTGAATACAAGCTGCAAGGATTCGCGAGTCGTTGCTGAGACGCATTTCATGTGGCTAAATTCAATGCCGACGCTGACTTTGAGACCCAGACCTCAAAAGGGAAATGGGAGAATATAGATCCGCTAGTGGCTTAATTTTAATAAAATTATGATATCAGCCTCTGACTGAAAGTAAAATATCCAGTGCACTACAAATAAAATATTCGCACGCGTGTCTCTCTCTCCTTGTGTGTGTGTACTGCATAACGTACTCCTTGTTCCACCGCGCATCATGGCTTCCATAACGACATCTTCGACGGACCAACGGGCTTTCTTATACCTAGTGGGCGTAGGTGTCACGCACTCGATAGCTCCTCCTATGCACAACTACATCGCGGAAGCATTGGGTTTTGATTGGAAATTCATTGCTCAGGAATGCCACACTGTGGAAGATGCTCTTGAGCTGTTCCGGCTACCAAATTTTGCAGGAGGTGTTGTGACGATGCCCTACAAGAAAACTATTATGGAGCACTTGGATGCACTTGATGAATATTCTGTGAAAATTGGAGCTTGCAACAATGTCTACAAGACTGTAGATGGCAAGCTTCGTGGGACAAATACCGACTGGCGAGGGATAAAGGGTTGCTTGTTAGACTCGACATCAGAAGGGAAGGGTAAGCCAGCCCTCATAATAGGCGCTGGCGGAGCATCGCGGGCCGCAGTGTATGCACTCTATGACCAACTACAATGCAATCCTATCTACATTGTGAATCGTGACGAAGATGAAGTAAAAGCCCTGCTACACGATACTAAAAACTACGACGGCGATCTCTCAATCGTGCATCTGACATCAATTGAGCAAGCACGTGAGATTAAAGAGGCACCATTCTACATCGTTGGCACTGTACCGGATTTCGAGCCACGGACACCTGCAGAACTATCTACGCGCGATATCCTTGAGTATTTCCTTAAATCGGGTCCTAAAGGTGTTCTGTTAGACATGTGCTTCAAACCACGAAGAACCCGCATTCTAAAATTAGGTGAATACCACGGTTGGAATACTGTCGATGGCACCATGATAATCGCTCATCAAATCGATGAACAATACAGACTATGGTGTGGTGAGGTAAAGGCCAAACAGATACCAATACAAGGGGCCTGGGCAGTATTAAGAAAAGCTGCAGATGAAAGCCCAAGTATCAACTTTTGATCAGAACAAGTATTTGTGATACAAGAACCAGAGATGAGACTTTCCAATTTGAATGATTTTGACCGGGGCATATGCAGCCTTGATATAGCCAGCAACAAAGTAGATCTAGAACGGAAATCCGAGGGAAAAAAAAATCATTGGTATATTTATGATTTGTAAAATATCAATTATTATGCTCGTAGACCTACGCCGAAGGACCGCTGCATGTCGTGATCTTGAGAGTGTTTAATATAAATAAAATCATACCTACAATTAGACATATTTACGGGTATGCGATGAATTTAGCCGCCATGATCACTTGCGGGAGATGTTATCCTATATTTTCTACTAAGTTATTCACTTACTGGTATAATTTAGGCGACTAGATAGTGGACCTAGAGTTAGGTATTACTGACAGCTTCGGCAATGATTTCTAGACGATGTGAAACGGGTTATGAATGAAACTTTAAATTTTCTTGTATATTCATCTACGATCCCTTTCATGTATATCATGATGATTCAGGGCATAATATAAGCTTAAAGTAAGCCTATGAGATCGGAGCAATAAATATAATTTTCACTAGATTCGACAGACAGATAGGAAGGAATCGGTTACTTAGCAATATAATCAAATACTCATTATATTGATATCGGACAATCCTTCCTCACATGACTATCTTTTATCGAGCAACATACAGCGGGAAAAAGAGGCCAGCAATAATGATTGGTGGGGGAGGAACTGCTCGGAGCGCCATTTATACCTTATACCATCTTCTTGTGTCGAGGGGATATATATGCCACACCGATTAGAGAGTGATCTCAATGAGATTCCAGCTTTGTTTGCCAGCAAAAAGTCTGATACATCATCAGGTGTCAATGCATTTGGCGCAAAATTACGTGGAATTCACTCCCTGGAGGAAGCGAAATTGCTACCCACGCCAGTCCATGTTGTGGGTGCAATCCGGGATTTTGCATATCAAACCGATGGTGAGAGAACCGCATAAGCAATAGTTCAACAATTCATGGATGGGTCGGATCATGCTGACAAAGTATATTAATGGAGATGTGCTACCATCCTAACATCCGAACTTCATAGTTTGACTTCGTCGAAAAAAAGGTTAGAATGGAGTACCAGGCATGGTTGCCATGATATGGCAGGGCATTGCGCAGCACATTCTATGGCCCGAAAATGAATTCCCAGATTTGCACTTGATAGCGTAGGAGCTATGTGAAATCGTGGAGGAGTAAACAGTGAATCGATATTCAAAGTAGCACACTTGATGCGGTCTCAAGCCTTCTTATCTCAGATCCTTTCTTTGCCTCCCAGGGCAGCCCTCAGCGGACGTCAAAATTTTTGATTTCGTGACAAAATATGTAATACCTTGCGAGATACTAAGAGATTTCTTCGTTACGTTTCATAGCCTGCTTTTCCAAGCGGCTGATCCAGGAAATTAAGTAAATCATCGTCCACCGAGTCATGTAAAAATCCCAAGTTGCGGGCGAATGACGAGTCTGGAAAATTTCTGTGAACAGAATTAGATTATACCAAATTGATTTTTCCATGTATGCTTGGGCCTCGGACATACCTTTCTAATGGATATGAAGTCACAATCTGCTCACATAAGGCTTCGAATGGAATCTCCCTAGACATGTCTGTGTGATCAACGAGATCGACTGATCCCATCATATCCGAATATATTTCTGATTCTTCTACCGCTTGCATGTGGTACATTGAAGACTTGTCAGTATTACTGTGGCTTGCGAGTGCAGAAATTGCGAGAGGTAGTCCCTTCCAGTGAACCACCCTGTCTTTTAAGTCACCAGGACTTGGAGCGCTGTCCATTATTCTTCTTAATGATTCACTCATATTTATGCATGTTTGGTCGCTGCTTTTCGACATGTGTAGATCGACCAATTTCCGAGCTTGTGTCACAAATCCTAAGAATAATGGAGGCACCCACGGATTTCCTGTCAGTTTGAGATATTTTTCCAGCAGTTCAATTGACAACTTTGCGGTTTCGGCGCATAAATCCATAGAAGAAAATTCCACATTACAGCTTTTTATAAGCAGCGTCGATATCGCAAAGTTGATGGATAAATGAAGGACCAAAATAGGTGGTTTCAACGAGTCTGGAGAATCCGTCCACTGGCAATAGGTAGGAAGGTTTCTCCGCCAATTTTGTAGGTGCTGTAGGTCTGAATCTATAATTTCCTGGTCTATAATTTCAGAACTTGAGAACTTGGAGGTATGACACATAAGCTCGAAGATGAGTTTAAATGTGCTCAGCGCCCGCAGTGGACTCCTGGAAGATAAATGAGCGTCATTTTGCGGTGGAACAGTCCATATATCCCATTCTTCCAGACCGTCCTCGTCTTCTTCATCTTGATTATTGAAGATACCATGGTTTGTTAGCTGGTCATCCGAAAAGCAAGGCCGTCGATCAAGCAGCGTAGAGACAAAGTTTTCTAGAATGATGCATCCTTGAAAAACCTGCTTGTACTTTTTTGAGTGTATCATGGGACCCAAAAGATCTATCATTCTCACAGCCTGGGCAGTCAACATCCAGGCGGCATGTATATGACCATTTTTCAGACGCAGGAGAGCAAGTATCAAAATTGATTGAACATGGCCTATACTAAAATCCTCGTCGTCAATAAGAGCCCGAGCTCTAATACTGATTTCCAAGTTCTGTGGATTGAGAACGGCATGCCTCTGAGATGGTTGGGGCTGGGATGCGAGTGTATATGCTATAAGCGCCCACAACGACATGCGATGCCCCGTCTCGATGACCTGCCGATCGTTGGCCTTCGATCTAGGCTGACCATGCATGACTCGTAATAGCTTCTGGCGTTCGAGGATGGGAAACCACGAATGTGTGTATGCGAAGTATTCCTCCATCAGCTCAATAGTATTAGGGGGAAAGGGTTGCTTGAAAAGGTCGAATAAATCTGGGGCATTTGTCCTGGAATTCTCCCTCGTGTGTTCAACTGTCGAATTCGTTTGAACGCCCGGTAGAACATTGCTTTGTGGGAAAGAAGTTCCGGTGTTAGCGGTGCCTATTATTGAATCACAAGACGGTCTAGACGGAGACGTCTCCGTTGCATCGTCTTCTGGCAGAGGACTTCCATCCCCGAGGTAAGAAGATTGACGTTGAATGACAGAATGTATTCTTCGAAAAGACGCAGAGGTACGCCATGATTTTATGCAAGATTCGCTGTCCGGTCCGCCGAGTAGACAATCCTTTGTTTCCTGTCGACGGAGGAGCCTCTCGATCTGAACCTCAGTGTCGGGATGACATCGCACAATGAGACCCAACAGAGTCTCCAGCCCTCGCACATAGCCACTCTGTAGCCCCCTACGCTTTGCGATATTGTCGTAAACACACTTTCGTCCAGCAGATTGGCACATCAAACATGAAGGCTGTTCCCCGTCGCATTTCGACTTTCTCGTGCGGCATGGCATGCATGCGCGGCTGATGCGTTGTCTCTTTCCGGGTGGCATATCTTGAGCAAGTGATACAAAAAACAAGAAACTAGAAGCCTTTATCGTCTTTAGTCCTTATATTGACTGCAATTACCTGTTTTATCGATGGCGTTAGGGGACCAAAAATCTGGGGAAGAGAAACCCGTTTCTGACGGCGACATCACGTGAGCGGAGGTGGATTTAACCGAGGTTTTTATTTACGGCGGCAAAAAACGAACGTCACGCTGCACTAAGTGAAATCGAGCCTATATTTTTGTTAATAAGAACATCCTTGCGCGTTGCTATACCAATATATGGCATGATATAACAAGTTCCAATGTTTTTCACTGACAATTCCGAGCAGGATGATTCGAATTTGCGCCTGAAAACGACGTAAAAATGGGGGGTCATAATCGCCGTACGGCCACACAGGCCTACAGCCCTGACGCTTCTTTGGTGCTTATCGGATTCTTCGGAGCTGGGAAGAGGACGCTCGGTGTAATAGCGTCTGTGGCTCTACGTCGTTCCTTCATTCACTATGACAGTTACTTTGCTAAAAAAGTCGGTTCTACGCCACACGCCTATCTGAAGACTCATGGTTCAGCGCGATATCGTGAAACAGAGTATGATATCACAAAAGAAATACTTACTAAGCATCGTTCTGGATGCATTATTGTTGGAATCGGTGCTATGGGAGGTCAACGGCTGAAAACCCTGCTCGAGGAATTCGCTCGTAGCTATCCAGTCGTCCATGTGAGAAGAGACAGAGCCGACATCCAGCGATTGCTTGAAGAACAATTTGAACTTCCATTTAGGACAGGCAATGGGTTCTATGAATCGTGTTCCAATTATGATTTCTATAACGTTACACAACACACAGACTCTGCAGACACTGTCTCGCCATATTGGAGACTCAAAGAGACAGCCAGCTCCTTCAAAAGATTTCTTTTCGGGCTATATGGTATCAAAATGAGCCGGCTCCACTCAAATGATCCTCTGACCTCTGCGTATACGTACATGGTACAGGTTCCCCCTGCGTGGATGGAGAGCAGCGACATGAACCCTGAAGAGCTGGAGTCTGGAGCGGATGCAATAAATCTTGCTGTTCGCCTCGACATCGAAAATACGTTAGAGGATCTTTCACGAAAAGTTGCCATGATCTGGAAACACTCACGCGCCCCGGTGATCTTCGATGTTAAACTGAATCCTAGAAACAACGACCTATATCAGTATTTCACACTCCTTGAGGCGGGTCTTCGCATCAGTCCAGACTTTATGACTATCGATCTAGGATTATCCGACGAACTTATAGAACGTTTGTTTTCTCGACAAGGCTCTGTAAGGTTTATAGCGTCATATTATATCGAGCATGGTTGGCAGCCAAGTCATGTTTGCGATCTATGTAAAAGAGCGATTGAAATCGGCTTCTCCGCAATACGAATAGTGTCCACGCCAAGAAGTTCAAGCGACAACTTCAATATGACTTCCATGGCGATGACATTGACTAAGTCCCTGGACTTTCCAATTATTGCCTATAATACTGGACAGCTCGGACGTGCCTCTGTATGTTTCAATCAAGTACTATCGCCGGTACTTCTTCCATCCGTACATGGAGATGGAATCTTTATGCAAGATGCACAGGCTGCTCTCTACACTTCTTTCGTACTACCCAAGTGTCTTTTCACCATATTCGGAAATAGCTTGCGTCACAGTCCATCGCCGGCCATGCACAACGCTGCATTCACAGCTCTGGGAATGCCACATGCGTACCAGAGCCTGGAAAGTAGCGAGTTCAAAGATATATGGAGCCTGCTAAATAACGAACAGCATCGTGGGGTAGCTGTATCAATACCATACAAGACAGCAGCGCTGTCTTTATTGGATGAGATCAGCCCCGAAGCAAGAGACATTCAAGCTGTTAATACTATACTCATAGTAAGGTCATTGGAACCTGAAGATGGAGTACCCAAATATGTGCTCAAAGGTCATAACACAGATTATATCGGCATTCGAGAATGTATACACAGAAACATATCTCCTGCTAACGCCATCAGGGAAGGAAGCACGGCACTCATTATTGGGGCCGGTGGTATGGCTCSTGCAGCCATATACGCTCTTTTCGAATTGGGACTGCACGATGTTTGTGTATACAATCGAACGCTGCAACACGCCAACGCTCTTGCTGATTACTACAAAAAGTGGGCCGTATTAAAATCAGCATCGAAGTTGGGCCATGTAGCTCGACTGCGAGTTTTATCTTCGTTGGAAACCGACTGGCCAATGACGATGAGACAGCCCGCTGTTATTATATCTTGCATTCCACCTTACGATAAGAATGAAGGATCTCAACCTTTTGTCCTCCCGGACCATTGGCTCCAGAGCCCTACGGGAGGTGTTTTTATCGATGTATGTTCGATATCTTTGATCAAATAATGATTAATTGAACTACTGACTGATGACATTATAGCTCGCTTACCAGAGAAAAGATACGGACCTATCAATACAGATGAGATCAAAAGTATCCCAAGGCTGGATTCTGGTAGACGGATTAGAAGTTCTGCTTGAGCAGGGAATTGTCCAATTCGAATTGTTTACCGGGCGCCCTGCTCCCATACACGTGATGAGACGCGCAGTACAAGATTTACATGAAAATAGAATCCAGTGACTTGAGCGGCATGCTTCTGTATAAATTAATATATGAACAACATTTCTATATGTAATATGAAACGTATATTCCATGAATGAGAATTTCACAAAGCATTCAGTTGTCACTTAGCGAAATCAAAGGGATTTCATTGCAGTAAAACTAGAACTTCTTAGGAACCAAAGTCACGGAAGGGCTCGAAGAAGGAGTCCTTGACGGGGTTCTAGACGCGGTTCTAGATGGACTCCAAGAAGGTGAGCGGGATGAAGACAAAGATGATGCCGTCGCGATGGATGTCACCACGGCAGGGGATGAAGTTGCAACTACTGGTGACGAAGTTGTCGCGGGTGAGCCAATTCCAATACAGTCTGTAGGTAGAGAAATGGTCTCAGACTATGAGGTCAATTAGAAATCAACTCTTATCACTCGCAGTCTATGCTTCTGAGCTTACCGTTATAGTCACTGTGGCTACATCACTGACACTGGCCAAAAACCAGACACCAGCTGACGGAGCAAGCTGAACTCCAAATTCATTATGCTCTGGGTCTTTGGCACAAGCTCCAGATGGCGCTTCACAATTGTCAGTATAGGATTATAGTGCATGGCACCCCTAGAGAAACCAGATTCGGTTACGTACAGTCAATCGCAGAGAGCGTGGCACCAACTAAAGGTTGCAAGCCGATTCCAGCCGATAACCCTTTCCCTATACCCAGAAGTAAGCAATCAATAGTCTTGAAGGAATTGCCCTAGATCTCTTACCAAGCACTGTCAGGTCAAACTCGACGTCAGCTAGTAGGCTGAGAGAAATACCCGCACCAATTGAAGCTGATACAGATGGCGTCAATCCAGCCACCTGTGGAGTCCAACCCGAAGCATTGAAGTGCGATGGGGAAAGAAGGTCGATATACATCTCAGCGGAGTTATCGACGCTAACGTTCACACCAGTTGTTACGGATGCAGTACCCTTCAATGGGCCAATATTCAGAGCTCCGGTGAAGGCAATTTCGGGACCCATATCAACAATACTAGCGACTGTGATGCCATCAATTGGGATCCGAAGAAAGGTATCTTTGAACGATAGGCTTCCACCTATATTACCACTAAGCGAGATTGTAGGATCTAGAACCACTGAAACATCCTGAGGGACTATGGTAAGAGTTGCATCCACAGGGATACCCAACTCAGTTTTTATATCGAAGTCAAAGGCGAAATCACCTGCAGTGTAACAAGTCTTACAAGTGAGACCTACTGAGAATGTAGGATCGATTGGGAAAGACCAGTTGCCAAATCCGAGTTGGTGATTAAAGTCCAAAGTGTAGTCACCGGTGTAGTCGCGTCGAGATAAATCAGTCTGAGGTACTGCACCTAAATGAAGATGATAGTTGGATGCAATATCGCTCCATTCAACACGTGAGCCAGATAACACAGCCGTGATTGTTGCGTTATTGTAGTCGATAGATGATACAGAGAAGGGCTGACGATCCTCATTCCAGCCACACTGGCCGGCACCCGCAACTAGCATGAGAGTATTGTTTGCAGCTTGATTTATCCAGCTCCATTGACTATGCAGCTGCGCATATGCTGGTGCATCTTTAAAGTGCAGAGTCACTGTAGAATTGGAGCATTGAATCGATGTGGTCGAATCTTGAAGCCGCTCAAGGTTAAAAATGCTCTCTGTTTCATCCGACGCATAAAGAGTGAATGTTGCGAGAGCTGCCCGGTCGTCAGTTGCGCCTAGATATATCGATGTTAGTCTAGTTTACATGCATCAGTATCTCTATCTTAGCACATACCACCCCATAAGAACGATTCACTTGATTGCAAGCCTAACGAAGTAGAATGTACTGCTCCTGCGGTAAGGCTAGTAGAAGTTACTGAAACAATTGGCTGTAGCTTCAATGAGTGACTCAAACCGCAAAAAAACGAGAGAATCCACAGGGATAGTTGTAAATGAGAGTATTGTGGTGCCATATTGACAGCAAATCTTTTGGAACCGAATTGGAAGAAAATGAAGGGAAACAGCAAACACAACGGGGAATGCCTGAATGAAACGAATGACCTTTTCGAACCTACCTGCGATTGTCGAGGTTCATTGATCCAGGAACTGAAAATTTTCGATCATTTTTATCAAGGGACGTTCGCTATTTAAGATTCCATTCAAGGGTCTGTTTCAGGATGTCAAAGCCCGTTCCTGGGCTGTGACTTTTGCATGCAGCCCCAATTTTGACAGCTTTCAAGCAACAAGGCTTGTAGATGCTGTGCAGGATGAGCAGGGTAACATTAGCAGAGATGACATCTACCTTCGGCCCCCTACTAGTAATGTAAGCAGGATTGATGATCAGAGTTCCCCTGAGGCTTATTACTCGTGACACTGCGGGCTACAAGCAATTTATGCTTTTATATTTAATTTATGCTAATTCTACTAGTAACCTACGGGGTACTTAATTGAGTAATAGCCTAGAAGCTCTCTTAGCGTTGAGGTCGGTGCTAGAAGGATCAGTGGATCTGTGCCTGGCAGGATGCTCTGCCTATCATAGCCCGAAGTGGATGGAGCGGATTGAACCGGCGTTACAGTTATCGACATCGTGTTTCAGACAATGCAACGCTTCATGTCAGCATGGTCTTATGCCGATCCAGGGTCCAATTTAAATATAGAATTCGAGCATTGGGCGAGTACAAATCCTACATATTTGCGTATCTCGAGACAATCGGGTACTTCACGATCATGCACCTGCATTCCGCTATGATCTCTGCGCTAGATGGCCACCAGATTTAAAAACTCAAACGAACCGTGTCAATCACGAAGATACTTTCATCATTCGTATTGACTGAATTGAAGGATGCTATTCGATGCATATAACAACTTAGCTAGTTACGTAGGCACATTAGCAATACATTATCCATTTACCAATATGATTTCCTGCTTAGATACAGCCACATATCATTCAGTCTCTAAATATGGGAAACCTGCATTATACACTATTATGCGTTGTTTGAGTGCAAGTCGACGCCCAGGTGGTATCGATTTCTACGACATGCCTGTGCATTGACCCTGATACCCTGATACGTACGATGTCGATCCCTGCACAGTGTTATTATTGCTTCACGGTTCTACAAGTAAGCCCGACGAATAGACTCAACATTCTTTCAATCCTCGGAATTATGGAACAACAATGCCGGTCACTTCAAAAGAAGCTTTCTATCAGACAATGATTACTGATCACACGTTGTATACGGCTACGCAGATTCCTCGATTACTGAACAATGATTACTATACATGAAATATTTTCTGAGCGAAGTTAATAACTATAAAACCATATTGTCATATTACTTCCTCTTATGGAATATTCGCGAGGAGATGAAGAGTTTCTTCAAAGAAAATAAAAACGGAAGTTTTTCTTATCATAGAGCAGAAATTATACACATCTTGAGTTCACCAACCACACTCGGCTTCAACTCCTTGCGATGTCACAATACGCGACCTCAAAGATCTTTGTTATCGGCGGAACGGGCGCCCAAGGAATTCCTGTCATTCGAGGTCTTGTGTTTGACAAGGGATACCACTGCAAGATCCTCACTCGTGACCTGAGCTCGTATCGCGCCAAAGAACTTAGTGCTTTACCGAATGTGTCATTTGTTGAGGGTTCTTTTGCCGACGAAGCAACCCTCCGTACAGGCTTCCAAAGCTGCGATGGAGCATTTGTTAACTTGGACGGATTCAACACGGGAGAGAAGGGCGAAACATATTGGGCCATTCGCTGTTACGAACTAGCACTTGAATCTGGTATAAAATTTTTTGTATACGGGAATCTCGATTATGTCTACAAGAAGTCAGGCTACGACCCGAAATTCCGTACCGGTCATTACGATGGTAAAGGTCGAGTAGGGGAGTGGATTCTACAGCAAAATAAAGACAACGGACACAGAATGGGCGCTACCCTGTTTACTACAGGCCCATATATGGAAATGGCAATTGCGAAAGGCACACCAATGACCCCAACAGTTGAGGACGGAATCGTCACATGGCGTGTGCCTCTGGGTGCTGGAGCAGTGGTACATGTTGCCCTCGAGGATTGTGCTTATTATGTCCGCTGGCTTTTTGATAATGCGGAACGTGCGAGTGGGATGGATCTTGAGGTCGCCATTGCACACATTGGGTATAATGAAATGGCAGAAGCCTTTGCGAAAGTGACCGGCCACCCGGCTCAGTACATCAATACAGACCTTGACGAGTACTGGAAGACCGGCCCATTAAGCCGTATCTCAGAAGCGTCGGCCGGATATAGTGCTGATCTGAATGATAAATCGACGATGACCACAAAGGAGAACTTCACGGGGTTCTGGAATATGTGGAAGTTCTCCGGCAGTAATCTCGGCGTAGTGCGCAGAGACTATGCTCTTTTAGATGAGATTTTTCCTGGGCGGATCAGGAGTGCTGAACAGTGGTTTAGAAGAGAAGATCAAAGGGGTAGAGAAAAAGGGCTAGGTGGATTGTGGGAGAGGGTACAGGCAAACAATATCAAGCCTATTCTCAAGATTGCGGAGGACGGGATGCGCGGTCGTCTCTAATCATTTTTCGAGATGAGAAAGTAGGAAAGGTCGGTCATCTGCTGATCATGCGATGACGCACCAATCAGACTAGGTATTACTCACCGAATATTTAAATTCTGTTGATAATTCGCGAATCTAAAATTAAATTGTCAATGTCAAATTCCCCCAAGCAATGAGCACAGCCTACAAGCTATGTCTGTCACCAGTTGTCAACAGCAATAGAGATGGAAACACTCTCAATTGATCAGAAAAAGTCGTACAAATGGCGAAGCATTGCTAAATATCGGTAAACCGATCGGATCAATAACCTATGCTTCCTTATTTCGTCAAACAACGAAAACTGCAAGGGAAATCCTCGGACTAAGTAATGCTTGCATGGAATAATCTTTGTTCAAAACAGATCTACATTTTAACGACGAGACGTATCTCTCATTCCTCATAAATGAGATTTGGCGCTGCAACTCAGAAGTAAGGACGCCGCTACTTTTTAACTATTGGCCAGCAGCACGATCTCGGGGACTTGGTTTATCCACAACTCTTTCGGAGTCGGACATGCAAGTAAATCTCTTGCATGCGGCGCGGTAGTCGCAAATCGCTCTTTTACTAGTACAGGCATCGTTATTGACACCAAACTTTGTAAATAATGTTAGTGCTCTGAGTTACAAACGCTCCTTGGGACGGTGAGTGAAAATGGCACAGATCCAGCAGTCTTCTCGAGCAATACGTCCTATATGGAAAATATGGTGCTGCAGGTTCATACATAGCGATTGGAAAGAAGATCGTTATCGACAACGAAATTGGTAAGGTGTTTAAAGTAACCCCGGCAAATCACCCCGAAGCAACCCATGGGCCCGACAAATTATTACTCCGAGCGCCATTTGCCGGTGCTTTTTTCGGTGACACGAGAGTGATATATAGGAAGACCTATCGGGTAAGTTAGTCCATGAATTCTAAATATTTCTTGTTGGCAGATCGGTCACTGTCCACAGTAAGCTCCGCCACATACGGAGTGAAAAGGCAATTCAAGGAGTGTCGTGCCTGGCATATTGGTATATGGCTCTTTTACAGGAGGGCAGGCAGTAAAACATCGTGAAATAATGTCACTGCGAACAGAATTTGTGGAGATGTTTCAAATATCACCTACGATACTGCTCAGCGCCCTGGTGGTGTTAGGACTGGTAAATCCTACGAGAATCTGATTTGATAATCAAGAACTAAATTCGTGACCCGAGAGCATATTCGTCTTTCGTGCAGAGAACGGTGCCTTATCAAAGTATCCTGGGCCGCGGATATCGAAGTACACCGATCTTGTCGCCAAATATCATTTTCTCTCGGGTGATCGGCCCTTATACGTGCATAAGCTTCATAAGAAATATGGTAACGTCGTGCCCAGTTCTTAGATTCTGACGTCCGCTAATACCAGCGTTCTTTTCGCGACCCAACAGGTCCTGTAGTGCGAATCAGTCCCTATGAACTAGACATTTCCGAAATCAACGCGGTCAAAGAAATCCATCGAGTTGGCGGCCATTACCGCAAATCCAACTTTTACAGCAACATTGGACATCGCAGCATCAAAACCCTCTTCAGCACAACCGATACGCAACACCATGCCGTGCGCCGGCGTCTCCTTTCGGCAGGAATGGCTCATACCAACCTTGTACGCGTAGAACCGGCGGTACAGGATCGTATTCAGCTTACCATAAAACAAATGGATGGCGAAATGTCTCGCCGTGGGGCGGTTGACATTTTCAAGTGGTGGACTTTTATGGCTACTGACGTTATTGGAGAGCTGAGTTTTGGCCAGTCGTTTCAGACTTTGGAACATGGCGAGGTATGTTTGAATGAACGCAAGACTAGAAGAATTATTCGCATGATCATCATGAAGAGAAAGCTAAAATAGAAACCTAGAAAACCCAATATGTAAAAGACTTGGAGAATATGTCTTCTTTCATGGCCGTTAGAGTGACATTCCCAACTCTAATAGCATACTCCGCCATCTTACCGATACCCCTGTTCAAACGAGTACAGGAAGCTGGGCGTCGCATGGCTCAGTATGCCCACCAAGCGATCAAGAACTATCAATCGGTGATTCAGAAAAACCCAGAGAATCCCAAACAGACACTCTTCACGAAGATGTTTAACGGAGGACCAGAGGGACTCCAGCTTCAAGAGATTATTCCTGAGGCCGGTGGTTATATTGTGGCCGGAAGTGATACGACGGCAATTACATTGACCTATCTTGTGTGGGCAGTTTGTCGAAAGCCATTTATCAGAGATAAACTAGTCGCTGAAGTCAGCGCATTACCACCTCATTTTACCCAGGATTCTGTCCGTGATCTTCCCTATCTTAACCAGGTTATACAGGAGGCTCTGCGTATACATTCTGCTGTTCCTAGTGCACTTCCACGCGCTGTACCACCCGAGGGTGCTAGTCTAGCTGGATATAGGATTCCTGGAGGTGTCACAGTGTCCACCCAGGCATATACTCTACATCGCGACCCTGATGCGTTTCCCAATCCTCATGTGTGAGTGGTTTCTAAACCTTATTAACCGTCATTCTGCCTTTGGAAGCATGGAAGGATGTTCAACATCGTATCACTAACCATTGATGTCTGAATGTAGCTTTGACCCAAGTAGATGGGAGCATCCAACGAAAGAGATGAAGCATATGTTTATGCCGTTTGGTGGCGGGTCTCGCAGTAAGTCTTTTATTGCAAATTTCTACCATCGACACTCAGGATCATTGAATCGCTAAATAAAATACTTACTAGTATGTATCGGTATGCATCTTGCCTGGATGGAGCTACTGCTTGCAACTGCTCTGTTCTTTCGAACGTTCCCAAAAGCAAGGGTTTCGGAGAAGGAAGGAATGTGCGAGGAAGATATGGAGGCCAAAATTTTTTTCTTGGTCTCTCCGAAAGGCCGTCGATGCTTGATTGAAACGCGATAAAAACTGGTTGACTACTGAAGGGGTAGGTGTTAACACCTCAATTGTCAATGGGTAAAAGTTTATGGCCGTTCCAAGACATGTGCATCATTACTAATTTGCTTTTGACTTCAAAATGAATGACTGAATTGATGTTGCTCGCGTTGGAAATCCCGGTGCTACACATAGGGGATAATGCTTTCAAACCTGTGCAATCAGAGAGACAGTGATTACTATGAAACACTTATTCCTTTTGATAGTGGACTAATGAAATTTCGAACATGAAAATTCTTCTCATTCCTCCCATGGGTCATTATGATGTGCCGATCGATGAAGGGATAATTGTTCAACAAACTTCATTGAAAAAGGCTCAAGACACGGTGATTGTGCTAGAACCACTACTCTCGTATCCTTCGGTGGACACGATCATATAGTTATAAGTTCCCATCTCAAGTCCAAGTGCCTTCCATGCTGCAAAGTGGTTGGCCGTGGTGACAGTTCCGCCGACTCGTTTCTCTGTACGAACTGACCAGTACTGATTGAAGGTTGAAGTTCCCTCGATGGAAGGTTGATTGACGCGTTGTGTGGAGTAGATATCGTACGTGCCACCATCGCTAGTAACTTGGCCAAGTGAAGTAAGACCAGATGCTGGGTTATATGTGCCGTAGGACTCCAGGATGTAATATTCGACAAGAGGATCGGTTGTCCAGCCGTAGATAGCAAGATAGGCATTTCCAGAGGTATCGAATTCTCCGGAGTACGTAACGGTCCTGCAGATTTTGATGTGAGTATGTACAATGTAAGCTTCGAACGTAAAGATAGAATGCTTACTGTGCATTGGCTGGATTCCAGCCCTTGCCAGATGTAAAGTCCCCGCAATCGACCCAGGTCACACTGTACTCGCCATTGGCACCATTCGTGTAAGTTACCTCTCCTCCGCCGTTGGTCCAGAACGAGTAATAATAGCCATTGTTCGTTCCCGTCTGACTGGTCGTGATCGATTGACGCTTGCCAAGGTCTCCTGCAGCACGTTGAGCAAGTTCTGATGGTAAGGCGACCGCAGCAGTCGCACAGAGGCCAAGTGTAGCTATAGAGAGCTTCATCCTGCTTATAATAATACTTTGTGAATGCTGAGAATTATGGAGATTCAAACAATGGAGGAATTCACTGGCAATTCTTTTGTTTTAGAAGACATATTCTATCGGGGATGTTCCACATATTTATATACCAGCTTCTCAATTCTCATTTAACAATAACAGACTGGACGTTTCATCACGCCCTATAATGCATCGCACCCATCCATATGACCCCTTTCAAGGTCTCCATCGCGGAGTTTCGGTGACTCGAGGGTATTCGTAATGGAGCGCTTTTCTGTCGCCGATCTGGGGTCAACTTCGCGTAGCGGGAAATTTGTGGCTGAATTCTCCTCAATGTTTCAGTCACGATGTTCAACGAATTAATCTGTATGGCCACAATCCTTGATGTTGAAGAAAACACGCAGAATTGTTGCGTCAATTAATGTATAAACCGACGAAGTCTTAATAGCCGTCTTGGTTGCATAGGTACACGAACCCTGAAACAGATTCGTTTGGTATTTATTAGATGAGTAGACTTCTATTTGACTCGTTCCATGTTGATTCAAGTTGTTGCATAAAGCGGAGTTGTTCTGTTCCAAAGCTGGTTGGATCATTCGTCACCTCAAGTTTCAGGTAAAATGAGACCATGATTTCCGTTGACGCATTTGGGCTGAACTCCCGAGGTCATATGCCGGTAGAGCGCTGGTGATCGACAATGTTTATTGTCTAATCGAAGTTCAAACATAAAAAGTGTCGATATTGATCAGCGAAAATGTCCTTGAAGATCTTTTTAATTTTAGATAAGTCCCTGGTCAGCGACTTGTGTATTTAGCCTTGACCAACCAACAAGGTATCAGCCTACACTTGCCTATGTGACTAATAATGACCATGTAGGCATGAATCAACGATTCAATTCCTTTCATATAAACTCCCCACGGTATTGCTCAAATCACGGATGTTGGTGTTGGTCATGGTGTCGATGAGATTGCCCACCACTGCTTTTAGTGGCCTGCGTACTAGGGTTGGCATGTCAAGGAGCAGGCCGTGACGGAATCCGGATAGACGCGTGCAATATTGAGCCATAATAATATGTGAAAGGACGTATGTCTATAGCTAGACACTGTGGCAAAAGAAGTAGAGAAAAAAAAGAGAGGTAGTGAAGAAAAGCGAGAGAAGCCTGCAATCCTGCCTAGTCCGAAGTTGTCTACTGCCTAAGTACTTGGAAACAAGACAATCTGGAACCTAAGACGCATGTTATACATTCATCCTGTATTACCGAGATTATGCGCCAGAACTGCGCAATAAGAAAGGGCTAGAGTACGTATGGCGCAGGCCTACATAAATGGAGCCACAGGTAAGACGAAGCGGAAATGCTGGAAAACATTAAGAATTGTGAGCGAATTCATGAGTACACAAGTCGTCAAATTTGATTTCAGGAGAAATTCCAAGCCCTTATCATGGCATGACCGAAGGATCCATGGCCTGTAAGCGCAACGATGACCCTGTGCTCTGTTCGTAGATAAGAGCGTGTGTACGACCTCAAAAGTCACCGGCGCATCAATGGGCGTTGGATAAAGGTCTATCTCTCGATAAGACGGATAAATTGAATTGGATGTCAGCTATCTAGGGATATCTTCAAGTCGGATGTAATTGCCAGATGGGTCGTAGTCGACGTGGTAGATGGTAATCAGGAATGAGGAATTCGGTCCTTCTCCGTGCAGGGCGTACGCGCTTTGTAGAATAGCATACTATGTGTATCTTGCTACTTACAGTTCCTTGAGCCAAATGCATAGGAATACTGAGATAGGAAGTCGCGTGCCTTATCAGCTACAACAGAGACGATTTTTTGTATCTGTCGATGTAACGCTTGAGAAGGCTTTCGCTCAGTTAGGAGAGGAAGTCCTGGCTCTTATCAACTAATTGAGGTCGATGATTGGCTGTGGATTGGTATTTGATACATGGTGCTAAGCTGTTTGAAGCCTTGGCAGGTCGAATGCCGCAATTTTATTGGATAGTGAGTCGTACAGATGTTACTCTAGCGTGTATAAGTTGTAACGGTGTATGTTGACAGCCAATAAGTCTTGGATGTCTCACCCACTCTATGTATACTAAGTGTATTGTACCGTAATACGTAGCTGTACATACGGCGGCCGGAACAACGCTCATGCCGGCGTTTGCGATGTTCCTGAAAAGCCTAACTCTATTGATCATCACCATCTTCAACCAATACTATGTATGCGTACTACCCAGATTGAAGAGCTCCATATCACGTGGCACTGTGCCTGTGGTCCAAGCACAATGATGGCAGTGGCTGCGTCGCGTAAGGAAAAGTCGATTTTAGCGCAACGCCAGAGCCGCCAAGAGGCGCGCCATTCCCGACTGGCAAAATCGCGCACGCCATGATTGGCTTGAAACTAACAAAACAATCCGTCTCTTCGTCTGGCCGTATCAGCATGTCAGGATGTGCATGGGGTGGATGGGACTATTCCACTGGGCATGGCGCTGTGCGGTGGCTAATCATACCTACCAGACTTTTGCAGGATGCCCTTCCCAGTGCGCACGGTGCGTAGTACGTGGAATCTACACACGACGAGCACTAGAAAAGACTTCCTTGAATGATGGATACATTCACCAACTATCATACCTTGTCCCAAGTCACTACGGAGTACAATGAAATGACTCGTTAAAGAAACTCTCTAATGACTCGCAAACAGGTCTGATCAAGCCAAGGCTGAATGCCAAATGGGGCATGGGGAAAAGATTCGGGAAGTTCCCTGACTCCGACATCTAAGCCCACGCGATGGCGTGAACTTACTGTATGGAATCTTACAACTATGGAGTCTTGGTGGAGTCATCTCCATGTCGCTAGACCAGTCATGGGGCTAGTTTCTGGCCCTGGATATACTAGTAATTATTGATCCAAGCGCGATTGGCTTATCAAAGTCGAGAGACAGGACGATGTAATTTCAATCATAGTGTGATTTTCGATTGGGAAATGTATTAAAGACAGAGAAGGATGCTAAAATAAAACATTCCGAAAAGTTTGAACGAAAAAAAAGCATTGAAAAAGCAGCGCGGTGGTTTTGTTATTACCCCAGCTGTCTTTCTTTTTCTTCTCTTCTTCTCTTCATCTCTTTTCTTTTTCTGTTTCTTTTTCGTTAACGCTTATTTAAGCTTGTTTACCCACCTCGGCCTTACAAGTACACCACTTGCGCAACGTCTAGACGCCATGGAAGGCGCGCGAAAGTACCCCGAGGACAAGGCCGTCGGGCCCGATGTGACACAAGATGTGAGCAGTGGCGAGTTGATAGACGACAATCATGGATTGAAGCGACACTTGAGCAACCGTAAGGTCCAAATGATCGCTATAGGTGGTGCCATTGGAACCGCCATGTTCGTCAGTATCGGTGGCGCATTGAATACGGGAGGTCCGGCCGGCTTACTGTTGGCTTACGGGTTGTATTCATGCGTGATCGCCCTCGTTAATAATTCCATGGCCGAGATGGCGATTTACATGCCTGTCAACGCCTCCTTCATCCGCCACGCTTCGGTCTGGGTCGACGATGCCTGGGGTTTCATGGCCGGCTGGAACTTTTTTCTCTACGAGGCCATTTTGATTCCATTCGAGATTAGTGCCTTGAACCTGGTCATCCGATTTTGGAGTGACTCTGTGCCGGTTGGAGCTATTTGCGCTGCTTGTATTGTGACTTACGGGTATGTGCTCTACCCAACCCCTCTGCACATGTTCCATTCCTATCTTCGGATGCCTTCGACTAGTCTTTTCTATAAACCCATTTACTGATTTTCTTGTGCCCGTTTTGGGTTTTGTATCTTCGTGAAGTATTATCAACCTAGCAGCCGTTAGATGGTACGGAGAAGCCGAATTTTGGCTATCTTGGGGAAAACTTCTTCTAATGGGGATTGTTTTTGCTTTCACTTTTGTCACCATGGTTGGAGGTAACCCTAAGCACGATGCATACGGTTTCCGGTACTGGAACAATCCTGTAAGCTTCCCCGCGCGCCCATTATCTTTTCGAAATGATGTTTTATGGCTTTGCCAATATTTTTCCCTAATACGACCTTACTCTAATTCGGCACTTCAGGGCCCATTTGCCGAATATCTATCTGGAGGTGCCATGGGCCGATGGGAAGGTTTCCTTGGAGCTTTGTGGGCTGCTAGTTTTGCTATCGTTGGCCCAGAATATATGGCCATGGTAGCTGGAGAGGCCAAACTTCCTCGTATTACGGTCAAACGTGCTTTCAAAGCTGTGTATATCCGCTTCGGTGTTTTCTTCATTGGAGGTGCCATCTGCGTCGGGATCGTGCTCCCATCCAACGACAAGACCCTCGTTGCCAATGAAGGTAGCGGAACCGGTGCTGCTTCGCCATATGTCATTGCCATGCAAAACCTCGGTGTCAGCGGTCTGCCGCACTTGGTCAATGCATTGCTAGTAACGTCTATATACTCTGCTGGTGACGCATACGTGTATTGCGCCTCCCGAACTCTGCACGGATTAGCCCACGATGGACACGCTCCTGCTTTCTTGAAGAAATGCACCAAATCAGGTGTCCCAATCTATTGCCTTCTGATCACTATGCTCTTCCCATTTTTGTCTCTGCTCCAGCTATCAAATGGTGCTTATGTGGTCCTTACCTGGTAAGTGGCACCTGCCCCAATTTCTGAAATACAACATACTCACAATTGCAACCTTTTACAGGCTTATAAACATCGTTACAGCCGGTGGTATTATTGATTACATTGTTATCTGTGTCAACTACATATTCTTTTGGCGTGCCTGTAGAGCCCAGGGAGTCAACCGTCGCGAATTCGCATACTACGCCTATCTCCAACCTTGGAGTACTGTCTTCGCCCTCTGCTTCGAGATTTGCGTTGTTGTATGCTACGGCTACGTCAACTTCATGCCTGGGAGCTTCGATATCTCTTCTTTTTTCACTCACTACGCTATGGTCTTCGCAGCTATTATTCTCTTCTTCTTCTGGAAGATTTTCAAGCGCACCAAATTTGTTAAGCCTCACGAAGCAGATTTGGTCTGGGATCGACCGGCTATTGAGCAATATGAACTGACGACTCTTGATCAGGATATTGGTTTCTGGAGAGAAATTCTAGAGATTGTTGGCTTGAAGAAGAAGAAGAAGGTGTCAGGGGAAGAGGCAATGACTTTTTAGGCATTCTACATATTTCAGAGTGCTGTTACCGGAGACGATCAATGGCGTCCCTCGCCGTTGATCGGATAGAAAAGTTTGACGATATATACCTAGGTATTCCAAGGTTGAATACGACGAGAACCATGGATGTTTTGATAGTTTTATACCAATGATACCCATTCATACTATCACAGCTATTTTACACCATTTTATGGCCTTAAATGATTCCAGCGAGCACTGCCCGAATATTTCGGAACCAAAACTGTACAGATAGACATTGTCCCAAAATCATTTTGACAGTGATCGATTTGCGTAAGGTATTATGCGCCGGCAAAGCTTACCCCGCAAACGATCATCTCTGTATAATTGGGTCTACAAATGGGACCTTATCCACTTGAAAGAATACAACTGATTAGACTGTGAGGAGTATTTCTGCAACAATTATTGTCCTGATTGACAGCAACAATTGATACGCACCTTCTCATTCTCGGATCCCTTGTCAACATGGAACCCTATCCGTTCAAGTTCGACACCGAAGAAACAATCCATCCAGCCCAATCCGACCAGTCCGATGTTACACTACACTTGAAGAATGTTCGCGGGCGTATACCATCTCCGCAGGCGTGTCGCTTGCGAAGTCTATGGTTAGAGGCACACAAAGACCCAGCAAAAATACTAGCCTTCCCTTGCTCATATGACGGACTGTCATCTCGACTAATTGAAGAAGCTGGCTTTCCGATGATCTTCATATCCGGATTCGCCGTGTCTAGTGCCCATGGACTTCCGGATACTGGATATATCGCGATGCAGGAAATGTGTGATAAGATTCAGGAAATTGCTAGGCAAGTCTCTATCCCGATTTTGGCGGACGGTGACACCGGATATGGCAGCCCGATGAATGTTAGACGAACTGTAGAATCGTTTGCGAAAGCTGGTGCAGCGGGAGTTATGATTGAGGATCAAACATGGCCGAAGCGTAAGGACTACCATGATTGTTATCAATGCCTAGAGTATTATTTGAGATATAGGGATCTTGCTAAGCCCCATTGTTCATTCAGGCTGTGGTCACACCAAAGGTAAATCCGTTGTTTCTCGAGAGGAAGCCTATGCAAGAATTCGAGCTGCCTGCGACGCCCGCAATCACGGTCAGGATATATTCATTCTAGCACGCACCGATGCCCTAGTTGTCGGCTGGGACGAAGCCATCACTCGCGCCAAAGAGTTCAAGCGCATAGGCGCAGATGCGATCTTTGTCGAAGCACTTCCAGATCGAGCAGCAATGAGAGAGTCTATAGCGGAGATTGACATGCCTATGCTAGCGAATATCATTGAAGGAGGCAAAACGGAGAATTTGTCTGCCAAGGAACTCTCCGAATTGGGGTTTGCGGCCGCGGCGTACCCGTGGACGCTAGTGGCGGCCAAGTTGAAGAGTATTCGTGATGCTCTGGAAAGTCTCAAAAGGAGTTTCATGGTAGGACCACCAGATATGATTCTGTCATACGATGAGGTTGTCAAGGGCGTTGGGTTTGAGGAGTATTGGGTACGTTGCGTTCATCTACTATAATTTGGATCATGATTGATAAATTCTATAGGAACTAGAAGAGAGGTATAAACATTGAGGGAACTTTTCCTTTGGAAACAACCTTCAAGATATCAGGAGTTGAGGCTCAATTGAAGTCATAAGAAACTTTTTCAAGGATCGACGTATCAGCGGCGAGAGAAGAGATATGTACTTCGGGCAATCAATTGCCACAGACGCGATATTATCATGCTTTTTTAGAGAGAATGATCAATGAATGGATGCTAAAGCAATAGCCTACGCTGTTACGCTGCAACATGCTAAATCAATGAGTTCAAGGATAAGACCACTACGTATTACCCCCCCATCCCATAGTCATATTCCAATCCTGTCTGACTTCACTCACCCCTCGAGCTAACCCGATTACCGAATCCACAAATGTGCCATCTCCACGATCAACTCGTCGTCTTCGTTCAAGCTCAGCGTCCGACTCGGTTGTGCGAGCGCGGAGTACTTGCTCTGTTGTAAGACCTTGCAGGCGTTCTGCATCTTGAAGTAGGAGAATCTCGTTGTCTTTGCGTCGCCCCCATGCTGCTTGTTTGACAGCCGGGGCCCAAAATTCAGCCAAAGTGTGCTCATCACGACCACGAGCATATATCCTCCTCGCAATAGCGCCCGTGCCTTCATCAACAGTGTGCGATGAATACCAGCACGAGTAGACCACAGCGTATTTCTTCTCCAACAGCCATATTATGGGCCATGTGATAATCCATAGCTGCAGAATAATACAAGCCCAAAACACCATCCAATTATTGCGCAATTTGTTAACCCAGTGGGGTGAGTAGATTGTAACTTTGCCGTTGACGATCTCCATCTCCGCAGTGATCTGGCCTCTGTAGTTTGTCTCTCGGATTTGAGACTTCAAGTAATCTGCCATAGATCCCTCTTTGAAATTGTGAACGTGACGAGTCAGGGTGAACCTACAAAATAGTAAATCGAAAGTTTTTATGACCAGAAAATAAAAGCGAGAGGTAAGATACTCACGATTTGACGGGCGACGGATCATTGCAGTATCTCTGACACCACTCCAGCAAACCACTTTTATCTCCCTGGATCAGCCTCTCCTGTTCTGCGTCAGCTGGAGGAAGGCCCTCTTCTTCATCTCGATACGAAGCATCCCGATCCAGCGTAGCCGAAGATGGTGCGACTAGTCCCCCTTTTGGCCCTTTCCAGACAAGAGTCTTCCTCCGCGTTCCTCTGTACGTTTTTCTCTCATCGTAATCCATAGACACACTCGCTCTAAACCAGGTGGACTGGGGGAGGACATCTCGTGTAGCCGTCGTCGGTAGGCTTTCCCATCCAGTTAGCAGCGTTTCTGCGAGGTCAAGGCGGAAGTTGAAGTCTGTGACGGCATTGCTTTGTTTTTTGTTGTCTTTATTGTTGGTCGATGTCTCGGTGTGACTACCATGAATGATAACCTGTGGACGTGGCGGTAGGCGGACTTGCTGTGCCATCAAAGCAGCCAGCTCCTCGGCGTAAAGAGTATACTCTGGCTGTAAAGTGACAATATGTGTATTCCGTACACTTGACCTCACGCTCTGAGCTCTCCTGCCGCCAATCAATCTGTAATCAGCATCGATCAACCTTGCACTGGGAACCGATACACCTGCGCGAGTGCGGCTGTTCGATGACGATCCGGAGATCGGCCCGTTTTCGTTGATCGCCGCATCGTAGGATGGAGGGTCCTCGTAGTTGTCATCGTCGACAAGCAAGTCGGTATCGTCATGATCCAGAAGTTGCAAAGAATGGACGGACTGCGAGGATGAACCTGCCGCCGGCTGAGCGGGTGTCAGCTTGCCCATTGTGTACTGCTCGTTGTTATTGTTGAAAGACAAAACATGAGCTCGTTAATTTATCTTTGAGAGGGTGCCTGGGCGGCGGGTGCCTGGAGAGTGGGGTGAGAAACATAGGTATCGCCAAGCTGCCCGATTGGCCAATAGCGTCGCACCACCTCGTACTCTGAGGCTGCAAATTCCACGCTAGCCGTACCGTACCGTCCCAATACGTGATTTTTTAACGCATCGTGTATTGCCATACGAAAGGAAAGATACGGCACTAACTGGATATGGGTAGGTGTCCGTGTGGCTTTGAAACCCGGTCAATATAGTACAAATATAAGGAGTACTCTCTGCATACTCTCTGAACAACTCTAAAGAATATACCTCGCTGGGATCATTTTGTGATAGATTAGTATTGTGTTACATCAGCAATCCAATTCCCTCTTCAATAATGTATCATGCAATCATACCTAGACATCACGTTCGGGAAGGTCCTTTGTTCGTTAATTAATACACCATTCGGACATTTCAATCACGCCCAGTCCAATACGACATCAGAATCGGACAATGGAGGAGGTGCTTGCCTATATGTTAGCAACTATGCTTGTCCTTGTTCACGGGACGATCCTGTTGCCATCCATCCTTGATATATTAACCCCGCTGTTCACCCGGTCATATGCTCGCCCAAAATGCAATTGAGATCGGGAAGAAGGACACGTACTGCGTGTCATCATCATACATGACTGCATTGCTCTACCTACGTCGATCGCTCGAATTATTTATTCCTCATTGGGTCTTAAGCGACTGCTCAAGTGTCGATAATTTCCCCCCCCCCTCATTGGGTCTTAAGCGACTGCTCAAGTGTCGATAATTTCCCCCCCC